TGTCGCTCATAAGACCCTCCGCTTGGAAGCCTCTAGCAGTCCCCCGATGGGGGCCCTGAATCTCAGAATGCCCCCAAGCCCCCCCCCCCTCCACCCTGCGTCACCACTGAAGCCTCGAGCCCCCCCCCCCAAATAAATATGGGGGGGTACCAGGTACAAAATGACGGTACCCTAACAAGTTCAGTCGGTAGGTTGACAACACGGTGTCCGGCATAGGTTTCCACCAATCCGGAATTGGAACTTCTGAAAGTTATGACGTGCTCGGTAGACTGCTTCTTTATGTATGTCCGAAACAACAATTCTGCATAATACTGGTCCGAGTTTGCAAAATTCCGGAATTTAAGGGCCGACGGCGATAGTGGATATACTCTAGCTTGCAGACGGAATTCTGCTGCATGAGACTCAGAGACCCTCATATCCCGGCGGAAGCAGGAATGGGCGGAACCCAGGCCTTGGCTAGCTCAAAATTCTCCTCTGACTCTGAGTCGTCAACATCAACATCTGTCAATTCGAGCAGAAGGTGTGCAGCAAAAAGCTGAAGTGGGGCGCATAATATTGGAGCTTTTCTCACCACCGGGAGACGGGGCATGGCAGCTCCAAGGAGTACAACGTAAGCCGTCAAAGTCGCCATGAATCGTGCTAGGCGGCAGCCGTTGGGCAGCTTGATTACGCAGCTCATGCGAGTGATCAGACGAGCCTCCACCACTCCTTCCCCATGGCTGCAGGGGTCATTAACAGATATCAAACTCATTGAAAATGAGCTGAGAGCTGTCAGAAACGTGAGCAATTCGGCACTCTGTCAAGATGCTGTCAGCCCAAGCACCCGTCACACTGTGATCGCTCAGGTATACCCTTTCCTCTTGGGGAGCAAACGTTTGTGTGGTTGGTTTCACGATGCAGCAGCCGCACGTCGCTGGATGAGTACGGCATCAACAGTGAGCAACTGCTGCATTTGCGAGCTTAAACTTTTCTTGCACTCGTATAGGCGATCTGAGATGGAGGAGGGGGCGGCGCTGTGACTTTGAGCTGAATCTGAAAATGATTGTCAAGCTATCTGATTCACACGTGTGCAGAATTTCTTGAGTACCTCCAACATAAGCCCTCACTGTGACAAATCCGGACAAGCAGTGCCACACAAGGTGGACCATGAAATTAAGGAACCTCAGAACGGCAGGGGTCACTTCAACAAGGATGTCAGAAAAGGACTGTCAAACTAAGAGGATATCAACATGGAGAGACAAAAAGCGAGAAGAGTCTAGCTCATGATGTGACCCTGGCATTGACGGTTAGCCTCCATTGATCCAAAACCACATAATTGATAGCCTCTGGTTGAAGTGGTACCCCATCACTGGGCTAAGAATGTCAACTTTTTTGTACACTTGAAACTGATATTGGGTCCTCTAAGCAGACCTTTTGGCAATCCTCAACATGCCGCGTTGAGCCAGATCTGAGAAACCATCTAGTTCTTAACGTTTCTTGCCATAGGTTGGATCATGACTGTAGCTGTATATTTACCATTGGTGGTTTACAAAACTGATGTCAATACCTATTGCAGGTTGGCGTGGTTGAAGCATCATCTGAGACAACAAAAGTTTGCACCACATGTAAGATCGAAAAGAAGTCGCGGGACTTCCACATCATGTCGACCAGTCCCGACGGGCGCCACTTTTTGTGTAGAGCATGTAAGGAAGAGTATGAGGCAAGGCATCGAGGTGTGCAGTTCCATTTGGGTCTGTCTCTGGAGGCGTCTAAGGAGATGGGAAAGATTTGTCGTCAGTGTGGAGTGAGAAAAGAAGCTCGTGATTTTACGTTGAACAAGAGAGCAAAAGATGGACTGTCGCGGAAGTGCAGGGCTTGCAACGCCGAGTGCATTGCCCTTTTTAGGAGCAGAGCACAGAGGGAAGTCCCTCCGGAGCAGGTCTGTCGAGTCTGCTGCCTGCTGAAGCCAAAGACCGATTTTGTGAAGGATGCCACGTTGATCTCGGGTTTGATGCGCAGCTGTAAAGCCTGTGAGCGAGAGCGTCATAGGCAGGATTACGATAGGCGGCGGAGATTCTCGTACGGCAGTCATTTCGAGATCGAAACAAAGAGGTGCGTAATCTGCAATGAAACCAAAGACCGAAGCGAATTTGCCCGAAGGAGGATGGTACTGGACGGTTTGCAGGCTGTCTGCAGGGCTTGTGTCAAGGTCGATAAGCAGAAGAGAAAAGACTCAAAAGCTGCAAATCTATCATGACTGCATACGTTTTGCTCGAGCAAATGGGTGATGGCCGCGCCCTCTCTGGATTATTCAATGCATCCAAAGGAGTCATGCAGCCCTGATGCATGGTTGTCTTTCCGGCAGAAGCTTAAGTGTGTTATTTCAAGGTTGTCAGAACGCATGGAAGGAGAACATGGACTCCAGTTTTCATTTCTGGACCCCCACACCGGTTGGTACTCTGCACACGCAACTTAGATTGACTTGGTTACGTTCCGGGTCATCGGGTTGTTTCTTTGTCGACTGCCAGGTATAAACGCCTGCATTTGAGCGCTCGGTGGAAGTCGGGGAGGTCGGTCAACAGCACGCTTTGAGTTACGGTACTATGGGTTATGCTAGGTTGTGCGCGTAGCCAGTCCAACTTAAATCTTCAAGCGCGCGCAAACTGACCAGTACCAAACGGTGTGGGGGTCTCGACTGCAAACTCCCTAGTCCGCGTTCTCCTTCCATCCGTTCTGTCAGGACACGTACAGATAATGTCCGGTGCCCTACCTATGTGCAATTTGAACATCGACTTACCATGACGTACAGAGCCAAAATCGTGTCGTTCATGCAATTACTTCAACGGGCAGAATGTGCATCATGATCGGCCAGAATTGCAGTTCATTGGATACAATGATATGTGTATAATGATCATGATATATGTTAGTATGGTCATATGGGCACGTTCCTAGATGAATCTTGTGCAGCGACCGTCACGCTACGAAAGATGGACATGAGCGGCTGAATTCAAAAGCACGGTCGATCTGCTTCAAAATGCATGCTAGGCTTTCTTCAACCGTCCGTAGTAAATTGGCCCACTGCATGAAGGCTGCTGCCTCGGGCAGGGCCCCAAAGTTTGCTAACCCCCATTTCAATAGGACCTATAGCAAACTTAAGTGCAGAGTACACGCGGATAGATATAAATTACCGATCAGATTCATGTTCACAATTTCCTAAAAGTATGGTAGTCTATGGATCTGGGATGAACACAGTATTGCATGTACTTACTTGGACCTTTCACGAGCTACGAAAGGGACGAGGACTATTCCGCTCCGCAGAGGGCTGTACCACTTCGGTTGCAGGCCTTACAATACTGAACACAACTTTCTGTGTCGCAACTACTTGCATTCCGCTCCTGCAAGAGCAGCCGGAATGCTCGCGGTACCCCCTTGGACGGCTCACAGATCGTCGTTATGCTTGTTCCGGTTCCAGATCGGCATCAGCTCGTCCTCGTCCTTATACCGCTTGGCCTCCCGACGGGCTCCGCAAGAAACGCACCAAACGACCAACTGCAGACAGATGCGATGCTTAGCTTCCCGCAGATCAAAGTGCGGCCTTTTCATTCCGATCCTTCGCTTCCCTAGAATGATTGCGAGCTTCAAATCAGCAACAGCTTGCAAACCAAACCGACATGACGGTCGCCTCGTCTTTTAGACTCGGTAAGATTGCGAGTTTTACAACCGGTTGTTCATCCCAGCCTGCTTTTCTTACTTACTTACCTTTCTTTCTTCAAGATAAGCGGGTACCCCGTCAAAACTGGCTTATCTTGCAGGATTGAGCCCATGGTTGTTGGGTCACGGAAACCTGATCTGAAGATGCAGTTGCTTCCACCGACCGCGCTGAGGGAAACGTGTTCTTCGACACACTGAGAATGTGAAGGCGTTCCTTGAATGCATCATCTCCAATGGATAATTCAAAAAGTGTCTTCTAACAGGGTGTCAATGTACGCAGCCTTCCTTCTGGTGTGAGTTTCTTAGCACCACTCACCACTAGGGCAAGGATCGCCGAGTTCCCAATCGCGACGATCTTCCACTTGCCCTTCAACTCTTGAAGGAAGCCCGCCCTGTCGACAGAAAAGCGCCAGGAATCGTAAGTGCAAAGCCGAATCCAACAACAAAGCAAAGTGCAATTACAAGCTGACGTCTTAGGGGCTCACAATAGATGACGTCGAGCATGGTCGCTTCGTATCGAGAGTCTAGTTGATTTCTTCGCTGACCATTCCGCAGTGTGCGACACTCCAGCCAGCAGCCTGCTTTTTTGATTCTCGACATGAACTTCCTCACCGGCACGAATTGCAGTCGAGGCACTCCTGTTCACTCCTGTTGACCCGCAGCCCACACACGCTCTGAGGATCTAGGGTTCTAAGTAACCCTGTAGATAACGAACTTACTGACTATCTTTGAAGTTGTCTTGAGGGGAAGGCTCACCGGCACGAGTTGCAGTCGAGGCACTCCTGTTGGATGTTGCTGCTGTATGTCAGGCAGTCCGTGTCGTTACCCAGGGGGGTGGTGGTGTCGTATGACGTGCTGGTGATGATCGGGAAGCCGCACCTGCGCATGCATCCGCCGGTTGTTCAGAGAGAGCTTCAGAGTTACTTTTCCGGTTCAGCGCCTTTGGAAGAAGCTCTCCGACCGTCTGACCAAAATTCAGCGAAAGTAGCTTTCAAAGGAGGTCAGGAGGACCGACCCACTCTGACGTGATCGGCGAACGCTGCATTCTGATTGCGGCATTCCCGCCCGTATCACGTCACTTGTCGCACGTGGCATAATTCCAGTTTTGCGGAGTGCAAACGGAAAAAAACCCGCGAAAGATTCTCGACCCCTCGTTTCCTTCGAACAAGTTGAGCGCAATTGCCGATGAAACCGAGCAAGTTCCGAACATGTGTCGGGTCTCCAAAATCTACTGATTAAGGCCGTATATTTAGTCTGACGCCCTTTCCAAGCATGGAGAAAGAGGGTTTAGGGCTTACGAGGACGGAGGCCGGCAGCAACCCGACTCGATGGGGCTCAGGTTGCCCAGGTTTGCGAGGAAGATGTCCGTTGTCTGCAATTTGGATCAGACGACTTAGCTGCATATTGAGAACACTTTCTGGGGGGCGGAAGCTACTGGGGTGATTCGCGCCCGAGGATAAGCCCACACGGTTAGCCGACTCTTGTTGCAGGGTCGTCTGATCGGCTACAATGTTATCGAGATTGCTGAACCGAAGTAAAGGGTCACTATATTCTGTTGGCTGAGGAAATTGAGCGCGCTTGTGTTCGAATTCGATCGAGCAGGCAATCAATGGTGAAAGTTCGATGCCACACTTGACAAGGACCAAGGCCGTTCGGCAGGTAATGGAAATCAGATTCGCGGACATACAAATTTGTGGCCTTTTCCCATCAGGCACTACGTCAAACGGCTTGATCCAAACTCAACATCACGGACTTTGAAAGGGACTGTAATCCAGTTTTTTGAAGGGGCCGGTTCAGGGCTGACCGGGGGCGCTGGGGAAGGTTCTGGCAGTAGCCTTTCCCCAGCAAGGCACGGCTTGAACGACTTGACCCAAAACTTCAAATGACGGTCCTTGAGCAAGACCGTAACCAACAACGGCTTGACAACGTGGACCTCTAGGAAAACCGTAACCCGGTTCTTAACCGGTGGTTTAGGTGCTCACGGGAAAGCGCTGGGGAAGTCTTGGCGGCAGCCTTTCTCTCGCAGGCACAAGCTCAAAAGGCTTGATCAAAATTCAACAACATGGACCTTAAGAGACACCCCAGTCATTGAAGAGACACCCCAGTTCTTAACCGGGCCGGTTAAAAGCTTACCGGGAAGCGCTGGGGAAAGTCTTGGCAGTAGCCCTTCTCCTGCAGGCACGACTTGATGGACCGCCACGTGCTGGGCTTCTCCACTTGTTTCTGGAGCCACGCCGAGTAGTCCTGCAGCCGATACTCGAGCACGCTGCGAAACCGGGTTTGCAAGGAGGTTACGAAGGTTTCGGAAGGGGTATAGCAGGTCCAAAACCATGTTAGAGGGGGTACGAAGGGGTTTTAGAATGTTTCGACTGGGTCGTCAGATCTGACATGCGTTAAGAAGACCTGCAGCCGGTACTCGAGCACGCTGCGAAACCGGGTTTGCAAGGAGGTCACGAGGGTTTGGGAGGGATCTAGCACATCCCGGACCACATCAGGTGGATTGTAACGGTTTGGAAATTACGAAGCGGGTCGTTGAATTTTTGCGTGCGTTTATAAATACCTGCAGCCAGCACTCAAGCCCGCTGCAGCAAAGTTTCGGTTTGCAACGGGGTTTAGCCGAACACATTGGACGTGCAGCATCTAGCTAACAAGTTGCGAATCTCGTCAAGCGATCGAAGCCACGAAAATACGTGCGCGATCGCTCGAAGCAGACACCGGCATTTCGTAAGCAACTTAGAAAGATTGTACGATGGCTACTAGCAACCGTGCGCAAAGGTGAGTCGCGGTCATCCTCACCCTTGCCCGGCTAGCTCCTTGCCCGCCCCGTCATTCGTGACAATGAAACTGCATGTGATACGAGCAGACATTAACCTTCCCACCCGAGCCCATCGTCAATAGCAACAGCAGGTTTGTGAAATATGACTGTGAGAAACCTTTCCTGGGGCCAATTGAGAAAGAAACAGCGGGACCACTTTACTGTGCGGAGCCAAAACTGCCGGGCGGAACTACCTGTCCCGGGCGGAACCACCTTCTTTGGACGGAACAACCGGTCTTCGAAGGGGCCCGCGAGTTTTTAAAGGGGGTCAGAACCAGCACTGTTTTGGCCAATCCTCTGGCCAGACGAGTCAGGTGACTTGCAAATGTGGACACATGCACGATCTGCGCTAAGAAGTCACGGCCATAACGAAAGAGAACTCTGTGCCTGACACGAGTCTGTTGCCTTCAACTCAAAAGACAAGCACCGTGCAAAGTGCGCCCCACTCGGACCCATCCTTTGTAGAATATATACCCCAGACCACTTTTCCAACTTTTCTGTAAGAATGTTTTTTCTTATCGACGCGTGAGATCAGTCAAAACTTATCGACACGTGAGATCAGTCAAAACCTGGATAGAAATTCTGACTCCCTCCGGAAGGCATCAGTGTCGCATCAGAAGGCAAAGCTTTCAAGTGGCTACGCAAGAGAAGAACGCTACAAGTAGGAAAGCGAACGGAGGGTACTCACGAGAAGATGGTGAAGGCGAGAAGCGCCAGCCACAGGATCGCCATCAGGAGCCCGTACTGGAGCGTGCCACGTGTCAAGGAAAAAGCTCGAGCATTCTGCTTCAGGACTAACATCGCAATCTTCCAAATACCAACCCCAGTGCCGCAAGGGCATCAAATTTCCAACGTCGAATACCCGATGCTGCCACTTCAAGAGCTTGGCTACGAAAGACGTAGCCGAATACTTCTGCAGATGTTACGTGAAGACAACCCCCATCTCGCAAATACAGAGAGAACAACAGAGTTTTGACTGTGCAACGGTGGCGCCTTGAAGGCCAAATCGGAAGGATACGATCCAGAGGAAGCAGGCGGAGTGGGTCCATGCTCCGGCGATGCCCAGGAGCGACCTGCAAACAGGAATGCCACGTGTCGTTCAATTTTTGATATGTCGCCTGCAGGCGGACCGCAGAACCACGAGATGGCTACGGGATGACCCAGAATCGCAGCGCTGCCGTTTGACGTCGCAAATCGAACGCTCGAGACCTTTCGTTTGCATTTGGTCAGGCACGGTTTGTCTGAACCCCAGTATCGGAACCGGTTCTGCCAAAGTTTGCGACACCCTGGCTGAACCCTGCAGACTGGAGTCCTTATGTTGCAAACGGACGGTAGCGATGCGAATTGGACTATGGTGAAGTTCTGCGGTCCGCCTGCCTGCATCCTATTACAGGCAGATTGAACAGCTAGACGCTGCACAAGCGGAATCCTTGCAGCATACTATCAGCGTCCAGAATCGTCCTTCCGTGCTTGTTGGCGAATCAAGAGATCCATGTCTTCACCGCAAGTATGACCCAAGATTGGCGACCATGAAAAAGCAGCGAGCTTCTGAAGTTCTTGACCTTCCCCAGTATCAGCGCTTCAGATCTAATCTTGGGCCAGAAATGCCTAAATCAAAAATCAAGTTTAAACCAGATGTCAACAATCTGTCGCCCCTCCTTTCTATCTTCAAGCACTCCCTTCCCTCCTTTTCCTGCGCTACCGCGTTCTTGCATGATGATACGTAGAATATGGTGCTCACAAACAGGACTTCAATGTCTGCCGCCATGACTTTATTAAGTCCAGAAACAGCAGAAGCAGCATGATCCATCTTTGGGACATTGAAGCCCATAGGTCAAAAAAATGCCCACCTTCCTTGAGTCGAATGACAAGGACATTATATTGAAGCCTCAATCCGGATGTTCAGAAATGCCAAGGATTGACTTACAGGAATAGGAGGAGCACCCCAAGGATCAGCACTGGGTACATGAAGAAGCGGTAGCACTGGGGGGTGCTTGCGACGGCCAGGTAGATCCCAAAGCCGATAATGGGCAGCGACAGAAGCTGCAAATCCACCGTAATGTCGATAAGTCTCTATCTTGAGAAAAAGAAATTCTACAAAGATCATTGTACTGGGCTGAGACAATTTGACACACTGACCTGAACATTCGCGGTCTCCAACCCCGAACCCACCCCTACCCCCGAGCTAACCCCAACTGTCCCTCGAGCTGATCTTATGATTCATAGAGCTTACGTTCGAGACATACTGAAGCATCTGAGAGCTTCCATTCTTGTGCAAGGTTTTGACCCGAGGGCTTAAATGTACCTAACAGTTGCAGCAGAACTTAGTGTCAGCCGGGTCAACAACGTTCTCTGAAATTCAGTTACTTTTCATTGCCTCAAGAAAGAAAGCGAAATGCCACATTCACTATCATTGAAAGCTAGTAAGGCTTACAAAAACAAACTTGGTGTTCTGATCCTGAAAGGAAGCCTTCTTCAGGTGGGACCTGCAGTTTGACTATCGTCCAGTGGGCAATCCTAGACCGTCATAATTCACCAGCAATGGATCAAGCTTCAAAATATCGCAGTGCGCCTGGTTTGGCAGTGGCGTTATTGTGTCCCAAATCTTTGATACCGACGCAAGGCCATGCTTATTCTAAAAAGGCTGGATCAACAATGCCATGCTGGCTGATGAATTTGGAATGAAAGATTGGTTCACAGTCAAATGGTACCCAGGAAGACATGTGGGACGTTGGATAACTTTTGAATGAGTGGGCCCTTACCAGTGTCAGAATGTTGAGCCATTTGATGCTCCAGGTGGCGCACCCCATTATGGAAACCCGCTCAGTGACCACCAGGTGACAATTGAATAACCGCTGCGGAACCACCACCAACTACTTATAGCTGGCAGCTATCCTCAATCAAATGTTCGACTAGTTGTGCTGGAGGGGTCTTCAGAGGTGCCGCCTGCACAGACGAACTTTCAATGGTCACATTGATGCGAGAACCAAACCGCCTCCTTGGAAAACCGATATAGAAGTTCTTGGATCACAACTGCGACAAAAGTGATTGGACGCCCTTGCACATAATAGGATGATCAAAAATTCGTGCGCAGACAACTATGAATCCGTCAACCTGAGGAACTGTCAAGAGAAGTCTCAAACTAAAGTGGGCGGTGCTGAAAGATGCACGAGCCGTGTGAAGTTAAAATGCAATTTCGAAGATACAAAAAGCCAATTCCACCCCAAGCGATTAGCGCGAAGTGATCTGACTGGTACAATTTCTCTCTGTTGACCATTGATGTTGGTATATGACGTCACTGAGTGTGGTGCACTTGCAGCAACGAGGACAAGCTAAGGGTACTCCAAACATGCTTTTACTCCCCCAGTGACACTTCTGATTCTCAACCTGAGCAGCTAGATCAAGAATCGCATTGATGCACATTTAATTGCCAGGACCCCTAGGATTTGAAAGCCAGGACCCCTTGAGCCTTGAGTTCCAACTTCCACGTTGATCTCCATCACAAGGGGCAGCGTGAACGAAGCAATGTCGAGTGGATTGACAGACATCTTGGGGAATGTCAAGGTCCACGAACGCAGGGGGGATCAAAACGAAACCCTCACTGGCACAGATAATGTCAACATGAACCTTGTCTCAAGGCACTCCTCCACTGACGCAGGTAGCTGTTTCAAACACAAGAAATTACGCCAGTAAATTTGACATGGTAGAGCAACACATCGCAGAAAGGTTTTTTTCTTCTTGCCAGTAGAGAACGGCGGGGCAGGAATGTAATCAAGTGTGCTGATCTTGGTACAAACCTTGGAGCTTACCCAGAAGACACAACAGCTCAACTAACACTCATACACGAGAATCTGACAAGTGAGGTTCTCGGCAGCTCACATGGGGATGTCTGAAGCCTGAACGTCTGAAGAAAGAAACATCGACGTCAACCCCTAATGTTACTAGCCGAAAGAGAAGGCCCGTCCGAACTCTTTTCTAGTGCTGCCAGCTAGATTGAAGAAAGGAGGAGAGAGAAGTCGAAGGACAATGCTGAGGGCCTATCCTCTGATGTGATAGCGCAAGAGTTTGCGTCCTCCTGATGCAGAAAGGATCGTGAGAATTGCGACGAGGCGCAAGAAAGAAACAAACGAATGCTGCGAAAGGTGTGGCTCAGATCTTTGACACCAGCAGTACCAGTGCTGACATTGTTGCTCGAACTTCGAAGAGATCCAGGGACAACGAAGGACAGTGTCATGAGCTGTAGAGGGATCACCAGACCAGAGCGGAATATTCGGACGGGCCAAACAAAACCGAGGGGCAGGCCGCGGCCGCGTTTGCGACGAGCGCGCAGCCCCGGCGCCGCGGCTCTCCTTGCCTGGCTGACGGGGTTTAGCAGACTATCGGAGATTGCCAATTGGGTAGAAGCAGGAACTCCAAGAAAATTCTACGTTGATGGCAATTTCTGTATCGCATCCAGACCGTTTAGACGTTCCCCATCGCCCTTGAAGAGCTTCTCCCTTGCTCGTCTTCTTCCTCTTTCCGAATCCTAGCCGGCAGTCCAGTCGCGCCAGGGCGGCTACTTCCCCCCCGTGCTGCCACCATGCCTGCCGGACATGGGATGCGCGCCCGGACGAGGGACCTGTTCTCTCGGGGCTTCAGGCAAAAGGGTTTCATTCCCTTGACCGTGTACCTGCGTTCGTTCAAGGTCGGCGACTACGTTGATGTGAAGGTCAATTCGGCGGTGCACAACGGCATGCCCTTCAAGTACTACCATGATAAGTTGCCAATACTTGATCTCTTATGAAGTTTTTAGATAAGTCACATGATTGGGCCGCGGTGGGTTCCATTGGCAATGGTGCTTTTCTGATGGTCTGGGAAGTTAGGGTTGCTCTTCGTTCTGCGGTGAAATTTTGCCTGTGGTCATCTTAATCATAATGAGTGTGTTCTTGTATACAACTGACACGTTTTAGGGCGTCATCATCCTGCACCGGAAACGAGATTATGTGCAAGGAATGGAAAGCAGAAGCCCATGATTCCGGAATGTCATCTCTGCATACGCAGAGTTTGTGCTCTGATTTCTGAGCTTGACAAGTCCCATCTTCGGTCGTGCACGCAGGACAGGGAAGGTCTGGAATGTCACAAAGCGGTCGGTCGGAGTTGAGATCAACAAGCAGGTAAGAAGCTGCCCATGCTCATTGCGGTAACGGTTTCAGGGAGCCCATGTTGGGATTGTTGGCTTCGGAGCTCAGGAAGGGCTGCCAGCTTACTCCATATCGGTTCGCAGCGGTTGTGTGCAAGAGAGGAAAGGAAAGGTGGTAACGATGGCAGGCGAAGTTTACAAGCCAGTCAGAATGGTTTCCTGCCCCACAGCAACAACAGTCTTGACAAAGCTCCCGTGTATCTGAGCCACATGGAAGACTTTTGACAGCATGCGGCAGAGGTTGACAGGGACTATTAAGGCCTCGGGCTATCATAGTCTCAGCTTTCCTTGGGAAGAAGACACCCTCTGGCTCTGGGATCTGATTTGAAGGGTGGTTTGCTTGTTTTGCGGGAAAGCCAGTAGACTGTCCAGCAGGAGCGACAGCCTGGGAGTAGCCTCCGGGTAATTGCAGGGCATCCAGAATCTCTTCCAATGGTCCCGGCAGACTCTTTCTAAGTTCGTTCTTGTAGCGCCCTTGGAGATTGCTGAGAATAAGAGCGCAATCGATGTAAAGGCAAAATAGAGATTATTATGACGCAATAGATGTCCGTCCTACCTGTAATGACAGCAGAGCATAAAGAAACGGAGATGTGTAACAGAAGGGGGTTGTACGCGTTGCTAAAAGCGGGGGATTCAAGCTGGACAGAACGCCCCTGCCAGGCCTTTATGGGACATTCCCTGCCCCCGCACGCACTAACTTTGCGCCCTGTAGATGCCGTGCAAGAAAAGAAGCGAGCTTCTCTTCTCTGTAACCAGCGCAATTTCTCGGTCTGGGTTCTGGGGTGCCAAGGACGTAGTCGTGGATTTTGTCCCAAGCCTTAGAATTTCACAGTGAGTTTGGACCTCACACAATGAGTCCAGATGTTGAGCAGGAACCTGCATTTTGTCAGGGAGATGGTCGTTAGTGTCAGGTTGACAGTTGCCTGATGAAACCAGTCCGCAGCAGCGGGTTTTAATGGAGGCGCGAGCAAGTGGTCACCTTTTTGCCCATCTCCACAGGTGGGAGGTCGCATCATCAAGAAGAGGATCCATGTGAGGATTGAGCATGTGAAGCCGTCTCGGTGTCACGAGGACTTCTTGGAGAGGAGGAAGAAGAACGACCAGCTCAAGGTGAGAGTGTGCTCCAATGTTTATGTCATGGCCAGTATGGGAAGCATCAGAAGTTGGTCAGTTGTCTGAGTGAGACTCTATTGAGAAGTTCTGGATGATTACTTCTCAGGCAGGCAGGAATCTGCGGGGTCTGCTTGTGAGGGTCCCATCCTTTCGCGGGACTTGCAGAGGACGGCAATTGGTCTGTGAGAATTGCCGGCAGTGTTGCGGTAGGCCTGTTTTACCATGCCGTTTATGGGAGGGGGGAGGGAGGGAGGCCAGGGTGGCTGTGCTCCTCCGGCCAGTAGGTAGCGAAGTTCCATGAAATCGGTGGTTGAGAGATTAGGGGACAAACAGATAGCATTCTGGAAGCAAGAAGTTGTAGTTTGCGCTATGGCAGGGGTGTTTAGACTTCTCTCGGGGTTGTTTTGTATGCACATAGGAGCCCCACAGACCCATTGCCAGCAGATGAGTTGCGCTGGCCAGAAGCTCGCAGTGAGACAGCGTACTGTCTCGCCTGCGTTGGTGAAGTGTGAAGCGGTAGAGAGCGGAGCTTGTGTGGTTATAACATTATCCATCTTTCACAAGTAGGCAGCAGAAGACGAGCAAGAGATGAGGGATTAAGAGCATTCTGTAGTTGAGTTCCGCGTTTGTGGAAAGCTGCACATCTGCTCTTGTTTTCTGGTTGTGTTTGAAACCCCCCATGCATGCAACGGGTCAGTCAGGATGTGGGGTTAGTTGAGTTTGAGGCTTGAACATGTCATTCTTTCTTCAGGTTGACAAATAGACTTCGATTCTTTGCAGGCTGAGGCAAAGAAGCGCGGGGAGAGCCTCCATGTGAGAAGACAACCCGCGGGACCTAAGCCCGGTTTCTTGGTGGAGAAGGCTGACATCGAGACCGTCACTCCTATCCCCTACGACGTCGTCAACGATCTCAAGGGAGGATATTAATGGGGCTAGAAGAGTACAGGAGTACAGACTTGCCAGTGTGTCCTTGAAGATTTACCCCCTTCTCATTGGTTCTTCTCTCACCTTGCGCTGTGGCTTACAAGAGGTATGGTTCTGCATGATGGAACCACCTTGTATCAATGCTCCTTATTGCACTCGTTGAACATGACTTCATGCTTGCGATATCTCAGAAGAAAGAAAAAAGAAATCAAGTATCAATTGGGTTCTATCAGCCGCACAGTGTATAGTCCGAGGTATTGCTATCACATTATGGCAGTATGGCCGGATGTTCTTAGTCAGCTCCGTCGCACGCAATGCAGTATGTGGTGATGGTAAAAGTTCTTTAGTAGTCTCGCCCGGCGCTTGGCCACATCAGGCAGCATGGAGTGTGGCTTTCAGCGGATCCTGAATCTCTGTCGCACGCCATGCAGCCTTGCTGTAGTTGCAAATCATGTTCAGGACCAAATAAAGCAAACCTAACCAAAGAAGCAGGACATAACTCGAGCCCCCAGTCACTAAGTTCTTATATGATCAATCGGAGCCATTGGCAAAATGTGGCTCAGGTTTCACTGCAACGGCTCGGGGAAACCCAAATGATAAGATACCGATTGATGTTGCATTCCGATTGAAGAGCGAAGATATAGGGGCTCATTGAGTTGACGCCCACAGACCTATCTTCGAATCATGCACATGATTGAGTGCACCGTTAGATCATAGAGTGGTGAAGCTCCCCGTGTCATGGGCCCGACGGTAGAGCCCACCATTGTGGTCTGTCAGAACAACTAATGGGTTAAAAGTAAAGTTTGCCTACTGGTTCTTGGGTAACCGTTGATTGCATGATCCAAATCAATTGCAACACGATAGACTTTATATGCATGATGACGTCACTAGGCCGCATGCAAGCTCCATGCGCCGGGCTTCTTGCTCATATTTGATTTGGGCTCAATGCAATCTACCTAAGCATGTCACCACGTTGAGAATTTTGATGTTGGACACGCTATTGCATGATCGACTCAATGCTTTCAAAAGTGACCGGTTTGAAGAAAGAAACATCTAACTCGTCTTATAGGCTATTGCTTGGTATATACCATGCATGCTCGACCACTTCTGTTGTGATGCAAACCGCAGCTAGCCCTTCAATGAAGCCAATACAGCGGAAGTCTGGTTATCTCCGAACTTGAATGGCATTGAAACATAAGGCTCGTTCGATTGAGAACGAGCCTTATGTTTAGGCTCATGCTCTGTGCAATCGTAGCTGTCAGAGTCGCTCGCTCTCGATCGAACCTTATGTTTCAATGCCATCATAGTGACAAGCACAAGCCTTCGAAATTCATCGACTCCACCTTTCAGCGTTCGACCTCGCGACTGTTTCAAGGTTGCCAGATTCGAACGAGCTGCGCTTTGTCTTAAATTCACCCATACATCTAGGGACTTCAGCAAACAAGACAGACTTTTAGGGCAGAATTCCACGGTATACGTATGCATGTCAGACGGTCAGACTAATCAGCTTGTCATGTAGTACCCGTCATGTATGCCATGAACTCCCGAACTGCTGTCATGCAGGCCGGGCTTGTCCTCTAGATTGCAACGCATGCCATGTTCCCTTGCTGTCATCATTGCTCTTTACATTTTGGTGGATTTTGGCGGACTTGCGGGTCACATGTCAAGAGCCTGTGGTCACTTCCGACCCAGATGCTCGTCAATCACAACGGGTCAACAATCTCAGCTAGCCAATAAAAAAAGAAAGAAACGAACGCGGTCCTACTTGCGTAATCGTTTTCCTACTACCTTGAGCGCGGTAATGCATCCTCCCACCAACCCCGACGCAAACGACAGGAACGTCCGCCACAGCGTGGCCTCCTTGCGCTTTACCGTAACCGCATAAAGCAAGCCGAAACCCAGCATGGCATAACCATAATAGGCATAAACTTGGGTGGCCAACTCAAACCAGCTCCATGGGTCTATTGCCTTGACGACATTGACCCCCCGGGAGTTCAATCGCATGTTGACGATTGCAATTTCAGACGGACCGCTGGGGTAGAATGAGATTTGACCGTCGAACGGCGGGAGGGTATAGATGGACTCCCCGGTCCCCGTTCTGTCCTGCACCCGGTATTGCCAGAGGAAAAACTCATCAGAACAAACGTAGCTTCAACAGAACACGCATTGCAACACGATGTGTGCCCAAGGTTTGAAACTATATCAGTCCGATGCACCAGGCGCCAAGCCGTAAGATTGAAAAGAGGATCAGAACGAAGCTGACTGGCGACGAAACAAAGAAATGAGGATGGCAGTAAATTAGTGCATTCAGGCAAGCCCCTTCAGGTCAGGCCTACGTCCGCAAACCGGTCGACCTAACCGCTCTCTGTCGGTTCGACCTTTTCGTGTCTGCAATTAAGGCTGAAGCTTCAGCAATCATCCAACAATGTGTCACATCCGAACTTTTCCTCGGAATCTGTTAAAAGACCCGGCTTTCGAATAATTCCTGAGACTCTAACGAGCGACCAATAGACCAAACAAAGTCAAATGGTGTCTAGCAGCCATGTGGGCCACTCGAATCTGGGCGATCTTCCAAACCAGCGAACCATCATATCCAGTTGCAGAGACCCCTGAAGCAAGAGATTATTGAAACCTGACCGATGTTCCGCTAGGTCCGATACTGCCGGAAACTTCCTCCTCAAGGATCGAGAGTGACGGGTACCGGCGACCACACAAGTTGGAAAAGATTTAGAGTCCTAAAGAAGCAGCTGAAGTCACTCCTAACAAGAGGACTCACATGATTCTTGTTGAGATCGACCGAATCCATCAGGGACAAAGTCAAGCGCGCCTGTTGGGATAGAGGGAGCTCCTGGATGAATCGAGACCTGATGCTTGTAGTCTGGTTCGGTAGCGGCTCCGATGAGAAAGTAGACAAGAGGAAATACGTGCGCTGGAAGAGAGGGTCCGCGGGCGGTGAACGATACGTGAACGTAATCGAGAGTGCGATCGTATCCCCTATGTAATCGTCTTTCTTGACAGTGTACCCCGTAAGATTGTATCCGAAGCAGAGGCCGTAGTTAGTCACCGTAGTTTGAACGGGACAATTGCTGGAAACGACTTCAAACACCCGATCAGCCGTCCGACTGGCATTCCACATCAAGGGCAGCGTTGCGTTATAATCAAAGGGCGGCGAGTCTCCGGAAATGAATTGGCAACTGGCAACAAATCCGTACAGGATGATGTCATCAAAAACGGTGCTTGTCGGGGTGGGGCAGATATAAAAGTATGGGAGATTGATGTCCTGAGCTTCATATGCAGAAGAGATGGCAGGATGGTCGCGCGCCTGTCGCCTCTGCAGGGGGAGAACGGAAACTAATCGGACTGGTCGTATGGTAGAGCATTCTGTTTCATTGGGATGATCCTTTAGCTCCTCTGCAAAGCGGGCGGGTTGTCTTGATGTTTAAGCGAGGCAACCAAGCGTGCTGTTACTCACGGCAGGTGCTAGCCTTTGCCTTGACACTCATGCATCCAGTCTTAACCGTGACTTAGGCAACCAGAAATATTACCCGAGATGCAAATCAGAGTCCAGAACCTTTAGGGGCTTAAGGTTATAACTTGGTATGAAAGAGGCCTTCTTCTACCGCTAGGCTCTCAGGTGCCAGGGGCATGTCAAAAGGCAACAAGAAGTACACAGATGTAAGTTAAACTCTATCGTTGGCTGCTCCACTGAGCTCAAGACTTGAACGATCTGACTTGCTCGAAGTGGGCAGATTAAGCGCGTGGCAATGTCAAGTAAAACCTGGCGGCACCGCTGGTTGATGGCTCCTATTATCCTGTGTAGGAGCAGGACCTACAGGGCTCCATTCCAAGTGCTGTGCAAGTGTAAGCACTTGAACCTCCTCAACAGTGCATTGACGCTATGGTGCTCCCATGGTACTATAAATCACTATCTGGGCACTTCTACTCAATCAGCAAAAATCTGAAAATTGGACCTCTTACAATGATGCATGACAGTGTCTCAGACGCATCTCAGACTGGGGCTGGATTCTAGAAGAGAGGGGCAGAGGTGCGCGCCACAGAGGGGCAGATCGAGGCACTCACCCCAATGATATAGAAGATGGTTGGCAGCAATGGTAACAGCATTATGAAAACAAACGTTCTCCATGCGCAGCATTGTTCCTTGTCGCCTTCCACGTCGCTGGGGGGAAGCAGGCTGAGGATGCCCATTGCCAGGTGTCAGCTCTCAGTCCACCAATCGATTGGCACACCGCTGGCAAAAGGACTGGTGGATTCCTCACTTACCCAGAGTTTGAGAGTTCAGTCAATGAAACAGAGTCAATGGGTTCAATGAGCGTTGCCAGCAGGACTTTCCTGCCTCCCAATGAGCGCTGGCCAGCAGGACTTTCAATGAGCGCTGCAGGCCAGCAGGACTTTCAATGAACGCTGGCAAGCAGGACCTTCAATGAGCGCTGGCCAGCAGGGTTTTCTTGCCTCCCAATATTGGCGTGACCTTAAGTTAGCGGACAGGCGCACTTCTTTGAGCCGCAGGACCCCAAACACTCAGCAGGCAAATGTGAGGCAAATATCAGCAGCTTCATTAAATAGTGATGGGGGGACGACTTGCAGCCAACCCGGAAACTTTGTGACGGGTTCCCAGCAGCGCCAATTCAGGCAGGCCGAGGAGAAGGAGGAGGAGCCAGGGCCCAGCGAGCTCGGGCTTACCCAGCTTGGCACTGGCAGCTGGTTAGACGGTCTCCAGATCCCGATTTTGAAATACCGTACTGCTACGAATTTTCGGCAAAAATAAATAATAATATGTGCCCTCAGGCTTCAGCTGGAAAATGTTTTGGAGCCACAATGGTCGATCACGGTACTTTTTAGCGGGTAACACTAGGTCTGCCGAAAGGATAGGCGTCGAAGGTGCCGAAATCAAATAGCAGTACGGTATGACAAAAAATGAGTAAGGCCACGGACTCGGGAGTGCGCAAACGTCCTGCACAAGTACGACGGACGTGCACCAGCGCCTGCTTCAAAGTTCATATCGTACGGTACTAGGTAGGTACCACTTTAATAGGGCCTATTCAGACCAAAAGTTGGGTCAGCGCTCCACAATCGAGGTTTTTTGGCCAATTGCAAGGTACATTTCTCCGGGTTCTCGGTCACAAATCTGGTGTATTCAGACCGGTTCTAGGTTTCAGGGTGAAAATTTGGGTTCCCTGCCACGTGGAAGCTGGGCCTGTCAACTGGATTCGCCGAGCGACGTCACGACTGGCACAGAGACCCAAGAATCGAAGAACCGAGAACCGAGAACCCGCCCGAATAGCACGTTCACGGGTTTCGACATTTTCGAGAACCTGGGTCTCCGAAAACAACCGAGAACCGAGTTCGGTCTGATGCACCGTCTGTCAACTTGGGTTCCCGATCGCGACCCAGGTTCTCCATTTTGGCTGGGGAACCCGAAACCCAAAGCTCGGTCTGAATAGGCCCTTATTAGTATACCCGGTACCGTGCTACCGTACGTACCTCTTTAAAGTGTACCGGTCCGCTTATCCCGAAGGTTCGGGCTACAGTAAGTGCGCCTGACTCGGACAAGTCTCCGAGTCACACACTTGCAGCAAGACCGTACAACCGCGCCAGATGGCTTCCTGTCAGCACCCCCGCCTGATTCAACAAGAAAGCATATGATTAAACAAAGTACGGTACATGTGCTCCAAAAGAGTCTAAATCCGGGTCCCGCCGGCCGGCGCGTTTGACGTCGAGTCTGACAGGTCCACCAGGCGGGCCCCGGGGCTGCGCGTATTGACACTTTAATTTGACAGTCGGTTAAATCCGAGCACTGTGTATAGCTGCCTGGCTGGTTGAGTAGCCAGCCGAGACTGCCCGGCGTCGGAGCCCGGCCTCTGGGCTCCTCGACGTGCCAGTCCGATTCCCGGCGGGTGAGTTGCTCGCACAGTGCACTGATCGGATGACGTCAACGTCCTCACCGGTCACTGTAGCTACTGCTACCGTTCTGGTACATACAAAGTACCGGTACTACCGGTACCGATGCTACAGGGTTGAAGCACTGGGTAGTAGGTACTCGATCGATCCGACAAAGCAAGTGGCTCCAAGGAAGTTTCTGAACGCCAGCTTCAGCTCATCATATGGCCTCCCTTCCACTATTAATTCTAGCTGGCATCCTTTCCTCAGGAACTCACCCTGCCACTAACTACATGGAGGCATTTCCAGGAAGGTCACAGCTCGAGTATTCTGACTTTAAATGCAAGTCACGACGTGCCCATCAGTGAGGCACTGCACGGAGCTGCTACAGCCAAACGCGCTTCACATACCGTATCAGACAGAGGCCGTGTCTTTCCATTACCCTGGCACAAGGAAGCCAGGGAGCCCGACAATGCACACACCCAGATAGAATATAAGGCTGCGGCTTCTGCGCCAAACGAACAAGGTACACAAGGTTGGGGAGTGAGCACTAGGAGAAAGAAGAGATTGCAGCACTGTATATAGTGACTGTGCTTCATTTCCCTGATCGACAAACCTCTCCTTCGGACACAGAACGAGCATCAACGCTGCTGAAATCTTTCCCACCTCTACGCGGCTTTCCGACGTCTGTGTCATTTTGAAAAGACTGCAACAAAGATCGCACCCTGCTCTCGTTGAACGTGACTGCATTGCTGTTTCAAGGTAGCCAGGTGAGTCAGGGAGAGCGCATAGGATCCTTCAATGCAAGTATTTCTGGAAGGCTATCTTTCATTCAAACAACATAGGTCTCTGGCTATGTTTTGCGTCCATCTCGTCCAAGACTTTCCATTCACCAAAATGCACCTGGAAGGGCTAAGAAGAATCCATTTTGGTGCACGTCTCACAAAGGACAGCTGACAGCGGCTGGCAGAACAAAAGGTGACACCTTTTGGACTCATATGCACTTCTCGCTGGATCTGAGGCCCACTGCTGTTGGTTGTGCCAGGACACTGAGTAAGACCAGGAATGCAAGCTTCACCCTTCGTCAAGGTGGACAAGCTCTGTTTTCTGACTGAATCTACTACCGGTAGACATCTTCTCGGCAATCTAATCTTGCAGAATACATTCTGGCAAGCTGGTTCAAGTGAGGGAACAGGTAGCTCAGTCAAAAATGTTTATCTGGGCTTGCTGAAATTGGCTAGAGGCTATGGCTTCTTTGTTTTCTGTATGCAGAGTTTGGGCCCAGTCTGTGCTAGCGCCCAACAGTGCCCGGCACTTCCAAACCTCACTTATGTTCTCCAGCTATGAAAGGGAACATGTGCATTGCCCAGAAGCATCACTTCTGGCAGCAATTAGTTCCAAAAATAACCCACCTCTGACAATGCTGGTCTTGCTGTCTTTCCAAACTCAAGCTATTCTGAACTGAAATGCTGAAGTCCAGGTTGGCTCAGGACATTCGAGGCCATTCTGCACAGCCTCAGGTTATACAAAACCCTCTGCCTCTTTCCCCGAGCTTCTTTCTGTGTTCTGACCGCCGTGCGCTTCCTGTTCACTCCTTGCAGAATGGCTGCCCGTCAACTATCAATCATACGGCTCCGTGCCCTCCTTGGCCCATGCATGGTTATCCACCTCCTGCACTCTGCTCGCATCGCGGCAGCTGTGGTTGGCACAGTCGACCCAGCCACCGGACTCCTACCTTACCATGGGGACAACGGGCAATACATTACGTCCTCTGGGCGCGTCTTTGTCACCTACCAAAGATGCCCCCCCGGCACCTTCATCGCAAACTGGACGATTGGGCTGTCCATTGTGGAAGGTTCGGCGGGGACTGTTGCGGGGGCCAGGGTGAAAGTGGTCACTGGGCTCTCGGGCAGTTGTTTCACGATCAACCCGCCGGCAACCTTTGTGCGCCGGCTATGGGGTTACGGCGTCGCTTTCGAGGAGGTGCAGAACGTCTCTGTTACTTTCGCGGGCGGAAATTCCGTTGCGGGGACTTCGTTCAACGGGGTCGACTACGCCCCCGGAGGGTTGGGTGCGCTTCTTGGGTTGGGAACGGCGACGTTTCCCCGGGCGACAGCCTGGCAGGACCGATGCCCAGACGGCTCTGCCATAGACGGTTACACTATAGGTTTGTATAACCCACCCTTGAGTTACGCAATGGATCTGGTTACCGTGCAGTTTTCATGCAGCGGGGTGGCGCAAACCACAAACAATGGGAACGCGTTAGAGGGGCCCCGGCCTTGGTACCCTCCGGCTGCTGAGCTCCTTCCAATTGACAGTCTAGACGGGTATTCTAAAACAAAGTACCCGGTTAATCCAAGCCCTCCGGTTAGCGCTCAAGAGACCTGGCTCCCATGGCACGGAAAGGGCGATCGAGAACTCCTTGAGGCGACCCAGCTGACGGCCGACAACCTTCTTCTGTTCCAAACCCAGATCTGCCCGGTTGGCAGTTTCATGGCCAGCTTGCAGATTGGTCTTTTCGGCGCCCCCACTCCAAAGGTCACTTACATCCAGGCGAATTGCTCCAACGCAACAACCGGCACGTTTGTGGCCCGCTTGCAGCCCCTAGCAGGCAACGACCGGTCCGGGTCAATCGTAACAGTGACCCTAAGCCTGGCTAACGCAACCCGGGTTAACGGGAGCACGTCCATCACGGCCGCGGGCTCTCACCCGAGCAGCCTGTTCGGGCTTGGCACGACGTCGATTTTGGGCAACACGTGGAACGACACGTGTCCGGACGGCCAGGTTTTGGACGGCTTCCAAGGAGTGTCCGGCGGTTTGGACACCGCCGTTCAGTCGCTCCGCTTCCATTGCTCCGCCCTCAACGCGACCCCCCCCGCCGCTAATGCGTCAGTTGTGCGCCAAATTGCGGGGAATCCCCCGGGCCCAGGCCCGGCCCCTGCACCGACCGCTCTTCAAAATGTGACCTATCCGTCGGCTGCCGTCGCGGAAGGGCAGATCTTGGACCTGCTCAACGAGTTGCGGGGTCAGCAGGGGGTGGTTAACCTAACCTCGACACCGGTTGAGAAGTGCACGGCGGCAGCGCTGGCCCAGGCGCGGGGCCTGACGTTTCCGCCCAACTGCTCAAGGGTGGACCCGTATAACCCGTAAGTCGACCAACTCTAGTTCGACGATCTTGGCCGCAACTTTGCGGCAGAAAGGTCTAGTCGAACTTTTTGAACCGCTTTCGATTTGCTATTGTCAGCGTGTGCAAACCGCCGCCTGTCATTGATCTTCTTGGCTCCCGCTTGGCAACTCTCGAAGCTGCTGTCTCTGTTGCTCGAATCAGGAAGGCCTCTTCTTCACAGCTATGTGGTCTGACTTTTGTCTTCTTATCACCTGTGACAATTTGAATTGCTCAATCATAGCAATCGTAAAACATTTTTTTCATAAGCTTCTGGAAGGAAAGCTTCCTTTCTAGCACGCCTGGTGACGTAAAGGAGCTGCAGCCGTAATGCTTTTTGTCAGACATACAAAGAAGTGTTTCCTAATGGCGACTGAATACCAGTGGCCCTGTTCATCAAAAGACAAAAAACTGGGGCGTTATAGCATCCTCCGAGATACGTCCCTTTTGTACCTTCCGCATCTGTTCATCCAAGCAAAGTTGCTCCGAGATTCTGATCGTTTCGCCGCTCGCATTAGTCGTCGTGTTATCCGTTCAAGTCGCAGGGTTAGCGAACTCCGACTCAACGCCAACCGCGGCAGTAAGGTCTCGTCTAGCTAGAACAAGAAGTTACGTTCGAGAAGTTCACTTGGAAAGAAAGCAGGAGCCTCGCCTGCGTGCAAAGACCTTTCAGTGCACCATGTCGGAGTTTTAGGGCACAATCGTTGTTGAATCCACGAATCAATGCACCAGCTTAAGCTCCCGTCAACCATTACGTCTTTCCTATGGCCACTCTTTGGATTCAACGCTAGGAACCGGGGCATCCTTGCTTTGCAGGCGTGAACACATGGAACGTCCGTTGAAGTGCCGTCGTACTGCATGTTATTTAAAGCTGATTGGAAAGTGGTCATTGAGCGGAACCGATCATGCGCGCGCAGGTTTCTCAACTGCCTCCCAAGCAAAGCGGCGCCGGTCCCGGAGAGCCTCTTCTGGCTGACGTATTGCGAGGGCCCGGCGACTCCGCAGGAGATCGTCGCGTCGTGGAACGAGCCGGAAATCCTGCCCTTTAGCACCACACTCAACCCCAAGTTCGTCAACGTGGGGATCTCCCAGGTGGGCGCGTATACCATCGGGATATTCACAAGTGCCTACCCTCCAGCCTAATATACTATATTATGCTGGTATAGTGTAGTATAATATAGTCGAAGGGTTCGGGCCGGGCACGTATTAAGAAAGACGCTTCATATGAGGTGTTTGGAGCCGCTTTCAAGAAGAACGGTAAGGCAAGCCTGGCATGACTCGGAGTCGCCCCTTAGGATCTAGAGTGTTGCGTAGGAACAAGTGATAGCACTTAGTCAGCTGCTCCGCAGTTTTCCGAATGATTGAGAGCCCGATTGCCTTACTCATGTGCGCACGGCGAGTGCACGTACGGGAAAGCTCTGATCGCCTGGTTTTCTAGTGGCAGCCTCGAGCACGAAGACCACTACGTGCTTTACGCATTGTCTTGCAGTAAAGATACCAAATTTGTCTTTCAATTAAACTTGAATCCATGCGCAAATTAAATGCTGTCAGTGTAGCCTCCATTTAATCATGCACTCAGTGCTTCAATATTCCAACGCATGCTATAGTCCATCTGCAAAACGTCGGCCCACTCACTATCGTGGCGAGTGCATAAATTGGGTGCCGCCACGTGACGATGCTAGGTCGCCCATGCAAGCGACCGGACGTTGAGCGGACTGAGTCCAATTGACTGGACGATATACGTATGCGTTGTGCAGTTAAGCGCATCTTAACTGTGCTGTAGATTCGCGAGTCCGGCCAAGTCGGAATATAACTTGCTTGAGAGTATCCGGATTGGTAGGCGTGCATGAAAGATCATCATTCATCATTGACATGCATGCATGCACTGCAAATAATGAACAACCGACTCTGGAAATGCAAGTGACTCAGTATGCTTATGTACGTCGATTGTAAGAGCAGCAATCAATGGCCGTTGAAACGGGTATCGAAAGTTGCAAGCGGCGGGCCCGGCCTCAATAAAGTAGGTAATGCCTCTGGCTTACAAGTTTGCGACGAGAAGCTGCGAGTAGTTTCTACGATTTTGCAGTTGGATTGTGTCACCGTGAGGTCACTCGTCTACGTGTTTTACCGTCCTCCTCAATCTAGCTCAACAACAACAAGAAAAGCGATCTGTAGTCATCTACCATGATCTGCTTAGGGAATCGAGAAAATATGCGCCGCTCATCGGAATTGACCAAACTGGTTGTTGTAGCCGCCCATCTGGGGGTTAGCGCCGAAGCCTCCTGGGGCGCCGAAACCAGGTTGGGGAGCGGCACCAAACCCTGCTTGGGGTGCCCCAAACCCTGCCTGCGGGGCTCCAAACCCTCCCGGGCCACCAAACCCTGGTTGAGGGCCGCCAAACCCTACTCCGGGCGCAGGCGCAAAACCTGGCTGGGGACCACCCATGCCTGAATTGGAGCAACAAAATTCCCATGAGAGAAGGTTATTCCTGAGACAAGTTCTCTTTCTGAGGGAGCAAAACAAAACAAAATAGACCCTGTTTCGGAATAAGGCAAAGGACGTATCACGGTCACGGTGTCCGCTTGGACGGTCGTGGAAGAAGAAAAGGAGTGCACGCACGCAGTCCCGTCAGGATGCACCGCACTCAACCACGGGAATCCCACCTCGTTGGCGCCCTAGAACGATTTCATGTCTCGATTCAGAACCAACGCACGTCACCTTAACACCATACAGCCGACCCCCAACAGATCCAAACAAAAACTCCCACCTCCAAACCCGCCACGAAAACAGCCGAACCCCAAAGAAAACAAATGTACTCACCTCCAAACCCGCCAAACGGAGCGGCAGGTGGCGCGATGCCGGCGGCACCCTGCAGCCCGAGGCCGCTGCCGCCGCCCATGGCCCGGCCCATCCCGGTGGGGGTGCTCGTCTCGGCCTTCTTGGGTTCCGGCATAAACGAGGATCCGTCCAGCTGGCCGACGATGCCCAGGTGCGCCAGGTTGCTCTGGGCGCCTGCAAACCGTGGGTTAAAGCTGGGTTAGGGGACTGGTTGACAAGGAAATGTTTGAGTTGATTGCTTGATGGGGTTTAGGCTCGCTTAGACCGGTTCGGCTGTGCGCTGCATGAAGCTATGCAGAGATCTCGGTTACACAAAGCTTTGGAAACAGTGAGTTGCGGTGGTTCTCTGAACGTTTGGCCCCCGGCTTGAGCACATGGCCCGGACACTTCATTTAAGCCCAACCAGATTGCCAGTTTGAACTGCTCTAGTTAGGTTGTTTGTAACAGCTTCTGCTTTGACCTGCCCAGAACGCTTGAAAACAAGATGCGGGTTTCCGGTCGACTTAAGCGTGAGTGGACCAATGCCTTCAAACGCAGTACGCAGATAAACGAGTCCTGCGCCTTTCGCCGAAGGGCACAAGCTTCATGTTTCAGGAGCTCCAGCCCCCCTCTGGCAGTGGCAGCCTCTTTCCACGCTGCAACTTCAAGGGAGGCGTTGCATTCTGAATCCTTCTGGCCCTTGGCAGGCCCTGGGCATGTATTTCCTCGGAAAAAGCTAAAATAAGAACATTTGCTTGGTATAGTCAGTAAATCGGGTGTTTTACCCTTCAAGCAGATTGCGGCTGCTGCTGCAGGCGAATTTGCCAGCGGACCGGCAAATATCAAAATTACCTTTCAAGCTTTGCGCGTGTATATTCTGAAAGATGCTTCAAACGCAGTACGCAGATATCTTTATCCGAAAGGCAACACGCTCTGGTGTCAACCAGTTTCCCAGCATCTGATCGTCCAACTCGAACCACACCAAACTTCCAAATGTGAAGACCGGCAAACGGCTTCAATTCAGCGCCAGCACGAGCCGCGAACACCCTCTAATCGCATTTCAATCAAGGGCTGCAGAGTACGACGAGATCGGCTCTTCGGAGCAAGTCCTGAGCAGCAACTGCGTCGTTTTCGACGCATCCAGGGATCCTTACTTGGCTTCAGGTTGAGGTCCACGATGCCCGTGCTGAGGGTATCTGCCCAGAGCTTAGAGCTCGGCTGCGAAGTGCTGGGCTTGTTCTGGGAGGAGAGCGGAGCAGGCGCCTGGTTGGTTTGCGTAGCGGGGGCCGGCTTGCTGACGGGTGCAGGGGCCGGCGCCGACCCGAAAGATCCAAAGCCGTCATCGCCTGCGTATACAATGACATTTGGCTGTCAGATGAGCGTTCGATTTCGAGCAGAAGCTGGCCTCTCGGAAGATTTCTTCTAGCTGACCGAGATAGAAGGGCAATGAAGCACAACGGAATATGGTAGCACGCAGGCTGTGAAAAAGGGCGTCTACGCAACGTCATCACTTGGCCACTTTTAGCAGGGCCCGGTGCTCGGGGCACAAATTCGATACCGGCTTGTGGGCGACAGGATAGTGGAAAGCCCTGCTTCGATGTCGCTATGTGACGTCAGGCGTTCCGGTTCCCAGGACGCCCACTTTACACTTCAAGGTAGACTAATTTCGCAAAGGGAACTCCAGACGTAGAAGGTCCAGACATAGGAACCTTGATACAGAGAAGGTTCTGAAGGGGTCTAAAGACAATTAGGCGAAGGAAACCGTTGACGAAGTATTACAGTCCACACACGACGGCGACAGCCCCCGTGTAAAGAGCAGCATACACGGCTTGTGGAGAGACCCAGATTGACTTGAGAGACAGCACGGTTGTCCACACGCAACCAGCTGGAAAGTGAAAGATTAGCTGAAGGTTTCGCTTCAAAAGAAGACGCCTCCGCCAACCAAAGTAAGCGTGCAAGAAGAACTCACCGAAAGCATCAAACCCTCCTGCCGCGGGAGCCGGCTTCTGCGGCGCCTGGACCCCGAACCCGTTGCTCGGCGGCGCCTGAATCCCGAAGCCGTTGCTCGACGGCGCACCAAAAGCATCGAAACCTGTGGGGGCCGCTTGCTTCGGGGCCGGGACCGATGCGAAGTCTCCGAATGCGTCGTGAGCGGGGGCAGCCGGGGCAGGGGCTCCGAAGAAGTCGTTCGTTGCTTGAGTGGCGGGCGCGTTGAAGCCACCTCCGAAAAAGTCCTAGAATAGGGTGGAGACGAGTTTAGGGGGTTGGCTAGGGCGGAGGGATAATGCGTCTGGAGCCACGAATCGAGCCGTGTGTGTAGAATCGACGCATGTCGTTCTGGACTGTAGAGGCAAGAAGCAAAGGGAGGTGAAAGGCAGCGGGCGGCTCGGAAAGGTCTTCAGTTTCGGTGGACCATGTAGCATACGTAGGGCCTCGACCACGATCCCCAGCAGCGTCTCATAAGCAGCAGTTGTACTTATGAGAAGTTTGCGCAAGACTCGAAACACGACAGGGGCGCCCAAGTCACAGGTACCTCGTCCATTTCTGAGCAAGCTGGGTCAAGGTCTGATTCTCAACCAGAGCTACACAGAAGGCGTTATGAGCCGTCTTAAAGCCCTAAAACAACGAGTGTGAAGCAACTTTAAGAATGTAAGTATTGCACGCTTACCTGAGCCGGTGCAGCAGCAGGGGCGGCGGGCGCAGGGGCCGCCACTGGAGCCGACTGGAACGACACGTCTCCGAACAGGTCCTCCACACCGGCGGACTTGCTGGCTGGTGCAGCAGTGGAGGCACCGAAAAAGTCCATCTGGGCAGCTGCAAGAAGACGGAAGAAGAGTTTAGCAGCTGTGAAAATTTCGAAAAGGCTTTGGGTCCCGTTGGCAGGCTGGGTAAAACGGCTTTTATTATGGAGTGGTGCAGGGATTAAAAGATAGGGGTGCGATGGTGCTATTGTAGGGCGAGTGTGCGAGCAGTTCCTGGATTAGTAGGGGCGCCTGGGCTTCCTCCCCTTGTCACAGATTAGTAATCTGCTGTAGGCAACATAATCAGTCCTCTTTGAAGCTGCTGATACACTGCATAAAACGGAGACGCCAAGTGAAGCTTTCCAGTCTTCCATCAGGGCCTCGCGAGCAGCCACGTATCTTCCCAACATCCCACCGACGAACTGTGAAACAACAACCAACACAATGTTCAGAAGCATTTTGTGATTGCAATATGTTCACAGCTTGGCAAGCTCGAAAGACAGTGAGTCAATCTCCTGAAGAAATCACGCACCTGCGGGTGGAGCTGCCTTGAACTCTGCGCCCCTCGGGTCGAACTCATCGAACCCTCCCGCCTCTTGCTGGTTGAACTGAGCTCCCGCTGAGCCGCTCCCAGGCTTCCCTACGGAAGTGGGGGGCGTGGCACGGCCGCTGCGATTGGCAGCCCTGCTGACGGCGGCCGCCAATGATGACGAGTCCCTGAACAAAAAGGGGCAGAACTTACTAAAAACAAACTCGAAGTTGATTGAAAATATTTGCGTCCTCCGCTGCCTCGTCTGTGCTCATCTTCTTTCCGCCTCAGCAGACAATCGTGGACAATGATTGCAAAGCTTCCATTCGTGGAAAGATATTTGATACAGCCGCATTCGACGCTAATCTCGGGAGAAGAGGGGCAGAAGAGAGCTCATTGGGCTTGTCACTGGAACCCAATTGTATCAATGTAGTTGGACAAACCAGGATTGCCAACCTTCAGCTGATTAACCAACGTCTCACAGAAAGGCACTATGTTGGCAGTGGCTTCGCAGGTTTAGAGGCTAGCAGGGCAGACGTGATTTGAGACTAATAAGCAGACAAGGAGCACTCACTTTTTGTGGTCGTCGTTGTCATTTCCGTAGTACGTCTCCTCGTAGCTTGGCGGGGCTGCCATCCGGCCGCGCGCCTCCTTGCGCTCCGATCTGGCGTCCTGGTGCTGGCCGCCCGATTTGCTCGACGAGCCCCTGCAACGATCGACAGGTTATACCTAGTAGTTAGAAAAAGATGGTTTTCCATGAGCTTCTCGCAAAGGCCCTGTCGTGAAGTTGATGCAAATTGCTAGAAGTTTGTTTTCCCAAACAGGCAGAGAAAGTGGTCTTCAAAATAGGGGCATCGCGATGCAGATGCAGTCACCCTGATACCAAAAAGGGCTTAATGAGCTACTTCGACGTTTCTTTTGAAAACCAGTTTGTCGTTCTGAAGCAGTCAGGCTGAAGGCAACCTTTTGTGATGAGAGGACTTGCTCAAAATCGTTTCCTGGCTGCTCAGATTACTTTCTCAGCTGACTTGCAGACAAACTGAGCACCAATACTTATGTGACGCAAGATAGTACTCTGAGCTGACCGTTAACCAACTAGCCAACCAAAGTGCTGAAAGAAACACCTTGAGATCAGCGGACGATGTGACCAGCAATGAATGTGACTCTTGACAAGTAGAGCCATGTGGGGTGGCTCGCAGTAGCAAACCTCACCTGACATCAAAGTCGTCATCATAGTCGCCCTTGCTCCCTCCTTCGTAACCAGAGTACTTGTCTTTCTCTTCCCTGTCGTACTTGTCGTCGCCGTACTTATCTTCCCTCGCGCCGTACTTGTCGCCTCCTGACCGGCTGCTGTACTTGTCATCGCTGCCATAACCGCCATACTTGCTGCCCCCTCCATACTTGTCATCATTTCCATAACCGCCATATTTGTCGTCACTCCCATGACCTCCGTACTTACCCCCGCTCCCACCATCGTATGAGCCTGGGGTGTGGATCGCCCCGGTCGAGGAGACCCCACGATACCTGGGCCGATAAAGCTCAACGTGTGAGCGGGTGCCGTACGATACATCAGGCTGTCTCTGCGCTTCTTGCTTGAGGAGAGAACTGACAGTAGTCCAAGGCAAAACTTGTAGTTGACGACATCGGGACAAAATGATTTCGTCCAGTGTGAAGATAGGTACAGCACCCACAATTCTGCAGGATACTATCGGGTGCAACACCTACATGAAAAGACATCTCTCACAATAGCAGTGTCTTCGAGTCATTGCTGTCAAGTGAGATCGTTGATCTACTCACTTGTCCCGGTTCTTCTGGGCCTTGTCACGCACCTCCCTGATCTTCTCCTTGTCATTGACCAGGGCAATGACTGTCTGGGCCTTCTTGCGCACATTGATGCCCTGATCTTTTCCATTCGGCTCAACAAACTGGAAGTCAACAAGAGTCTGCAGAAAAGCAGCTGCAGATCAGCGAGCGTGCACCTAGCGACTGGTAGGACTAGGACTGCCTCTTTATCCCTGACTTTGCTCCCGGTCAATCTAAGCACATGTGCCGATGATCCGAGATCGCAGATTCAGTCAAGCAATAGTTTAGAGGCATGAGTCAGCACCTAGTTTGCATTCCATATGCTGGCCCCTTTGTTTCTCAAGCCCAGCAACATGGTTATCAAGGTCAAAAGACAACAACGCCAACCAGTACTCACTGTAGTCTCTTCTTGAAGATGGAACACTAGCTGATAAAGGGACTTTGCGTGAAAGGGAGGATTCTTGCTCCTCCGGTTTTGGGCAGAGAACCCCTTCTCTACCCACTCACCTGAATTTGATACTGATGCTCCCGAAGCTCGTCAATAACTCTCTCCGTCCCCTGCGCCACTAGAAACTCCAACACGGTGAGGGACTTGTAAACGTGCCGCCAGTCTTTGCCTGTGTCGTTCAACCGCTTCCACAGGATGCTCATGATGAGTTGGTAGTCATTGAAGTTTCTCGTCGCCGAGGCAATGTCCGACATGAGTGTACCATGAGGACCCCATGGCTCATTGCTTGTGGCCTCCAAAACCTGCATGGCCAAAGGTGCATGGATTGAGATTGGCACGGATCGCCTTGCAGCAAAAAGCAGACCGCCAGGACTTGCAACTTCCTGAGATGCAAGAAGAAGCATAGAGTGGGCCTTCCAAATCCTTGCATGACTCACAACAGCGGAAGGCAACACGTCTCTGCCGGGTACTCCTGAACTGCTCATTAGCATTTTAGGGTTCAAGGAGAAAGAGTCCCGCTCTGCAAGAATTGCTGAGCCCCCTGCAGGTTGCGTTACTAGGGCTTACCTTCTGCTCAATTTCAGGCAATTTGAGAATCTTCTTGTTGACTTCCCTCTTCCTGCAACCGGAGAAAGACATATGAGGGCTTCGGCTGGAAATTGGCAGCAAAGGTAAGCCCCAATGAATCTTGCTGGATCAGATCTGTGCATTGAGAACCGAATGCAGGACCAATCTGCGTGAAACTTACACTTGACGCACTGTCTGGTCGACCAACTTGCTGATGTTTAACATAGACATGGTGCCCCGTCTTCTTGCACAGCCTCGATCGGCGTCCTCTGTGCTCTGGGCCTTGGGCCCTAATTGATCCTCTTCGCGATCAGCGCACAATCCTTACACAGGCACTTCAATCCAGGGTTCCACACCTCTGAGGCTGCAATGGGCACAGAAACCGTGCAAATGAGAGCAATCTGTCTACTGCGGCGCCCTGAAACAGCCTGCGTGCTCTGTGACTGTCTACCACCAATCGGCCTTCGACAGAGATCGTTTGGTCAGCAGTCAGCGCCGCCCTGCACCTTGACCCTGGATGAGAGGTGGTCAACGTAGACTCAAGAACATGATGATGAAGTTGGACAGCGGAGAGACTCGACGCTGCGTGGGTAAACCGCTGCCCTGAAGATCTAGTACAGGTATTTACGTCAGATTTTAGTGAGCCAATCAGAGGTCCTCCCCTCCGTCCGATTTGTAATACCGGTAACTCTCGTGTGACCTAACGGGCGTGTGACCTAAGATACAGTTTACCCGGGCACTTCAAACTAAAACACCTAACCCAAATAATCACCCGCTCCGCACCCCAACCCACCCTAACCACCATACCAACCCCACCCGTCCCCCGGGTGCCTATCTTAGGTCACACGGCTCTTAGGTCACACGAGAGTTATCGAAGTCGATTTGTAGACTTCTGCCTTCCATACCGTCAGATTGAAACTGCACTCACGATGACACCGTTAGAACTGCACGTCCGATCGTCCCAAGGATGAGCCTTTCCTGGCGGCCTAATCTCAAATCTGAGGGTGGCTCTTCACCGATCAGACGGTTTGCGAGTGGTGTGCGACAGGCAAGCTGCGCAGTCCTCGGCAAACGCGCCGCAGCCTCGCAGGGGAGTGGAAACAGGTGGAGCTGGCGGGCCGGTGGCAGCGACTTTCGCTGGCACCCTTGCTGCTCTGAATGATAGCGTTGTCAGTACATTCATTTCCTACCATCTATCGGAGGGGTGAAAGCCAGGATGCCGCTGTATGATGTCATTTGCCTTTTCAAGGCAGCTGCGGCGAGAAAAGATGTTGTCGAGATAATGGCGTCAGTTGGAAGGCGTGTCTATGCAAGGAACGGAGTTGTGACGAACGTCACTAGCTATGGAGTGCAGCCACTTGGTTACCAGATAAAGAGGCAGGGCACGCGCTTTGATGAGGTGAGACTCTGTATCTGCTTTCAGGGAGAGCTCCAGTGCCCGGAGTGTGGCGCTCTCAGGGCTCACATCCTTCTGCCAGTTTTTCAAAAGGAGTGGTAGGAAAGAACAAAAAAAAAAATACAGTGGAAAACATTACTAATGCAGCAGGGAAGTTTGCTGGCGTCTCCATGGCTCACAATAGGGCAGGAGTTCAAAACGCGCATACCAACGAAGGGCAGCTTGCTGAGAAGGGAGTGGTTCTCTGGCAAACGAAAAGGCTCTGGCATTCTGTATGCATGAGGAATTGGTGGTGGCAACTTGATTCGTAAATCAAAAGCATCAAGCTCGGAGTTTTGCATTTCATGTCCAAAGATTGTTTCTCAGACCCGCTCCTGGGAGATTGTGTCCAAAGCTCGGTAGGGAGCTATAATGCTGTTTACCAATCTATCGCTTCCTAGGTTGGAGGTGGTGTAGCTGGATGGGCACGTAATTTATGTGGGGCAGGATGATCTTCTTAAGGCACACCATCTAATGAAATATCGGCCCTTCTTTGCACTCCCGCGCGAGAAGTCTCCTGTCCCTTTACGGGATTCTACAAGCTTGTTGTTAAAGCCCTATCCATGGTGGTGATTCTTGCTTTGTATCCAGGCTTGATTGCATCGTGCCGTGTTTCATTCATCTGCTGATGCGTAACTTTTAGTGGAACCATTTGAAGCTTGTTTTTGGCTTGTCTTTTGACAGCATGTTCGCATGGCCCTGTTGCAGAGGCCCCTCGGAATCTCGGATCGTAAGTGGGATTGTTTGTATCATTCATCAACTTAAAACGTTGGTTGTCAAGTTCCTGATCTTGTCGGTGTTGGAGTGGTAGGCAACAACCAGAAAATGTAGGGGGATTAACTGTACTTCTGATTTCAACCTTCACCTCCTCTCTCCAATTTGCAGGCCCAGCTGATGCAGATGACATTTATGGCGCCAACAGCAATGGTCAAAGAGCTGCACGTCCTGCAACAAGACGACCGCCTGCTGCGACACTCTGTCCTGAAGCACAAGCCGTTCTGGAAGGAGGAGGTCATCGACAACCAGTTGTGGTCGTACTTGGTCAACAAGAGTTCTGATGCTTGGGACGAGGCTCGCGAAGAGGAAATGGTGCCTGCTTCAACGAGCGAAGCAACGGAGGACTTCGAGGGCTTCGAGGACTTTGATCCTGACTATGATCCGGAACTGGAGTTTGCTGCTGATGAGCTTGATGAGACTGACCTGGAGTCGGAGGAACCGGAAGCCAGTGGTGAATCTAACGACACAGTCCGACATGCGTACAACGCGGAAGATCCGAGTGGGGAAACGCACGCAAGTGCATCTGATGACGACAAGCAAGGGGCTTATGAGGCGCTTTTGAAATGGAGAATGGATTTTAGAAATAGGCAGAGACGAAGAACACGGACTGCCGTTGACGAAGACGACGAAGATGGCAAGGATGCTTGAAGAAGGCTTCCACTCTTTATATGCAAAAGTAAGTAACCCGATTTTCTCGTGATCGTCATGCATGGCAGTGGGTTTCTGTGGCTATGCATCATAAGCGTTTGCCTGGTATGAAGAAGGTTTTTGAGCATCTCCTCAAAATGAGGATGCAAATGCTGCCATGCTGGACTACAGTCACATATATAACCAGAATTAAATCAGATATGTTTCGTTTGGAATTGAACATGCAGATCTGAGATGGGTATACCTAGGTATACCCCGACATGCACCATCTTAACCAATCAAACTCAGCTAGTGCGCTTGCATATGCATGTGAAAAATCAATTTGCAAGCGCACTAGCTGAGTTTGATTGGTTAAGATGGTTTAATTTTTAAATTGCAGCCTTCGTCTCAGCGTGTTACATGTACATGGTCAGTTGTCGAGCGGTGCATCATGGACTTGTATAGAAGCACACATATTATACTGAATACACGCGCGCGCATCGATCACAAGATAACCGAGACCCATGGCCTGATTAAGGATGTTTGTGAGTCCGCGATTGACACTTGCCCGTCTGCATAAGTAATCCGTTTCGAAGAACAAACTGAGTCCTCGGCTGAGGTCCACATGAAGGGTCAATCACAGCAGAAGCATGTTGCACATTGTGATATTGGCTTAGCGAGACGGGCTGCAGACAACGAATAAATGGACCAGAGCAACAAAGAACGACACAATCAGACTAACCAACTAAGCTTTGGAGACCATACATTCGCGAAGTACTTGTTCTGATGACAATCTGTAGAACACTCGACTTTTGTGCCAGAGACCGCCAGGTATTAGATGCCTCACGAATTCAACTGGTCATAGGGGATGACAAACGAGCAGATATACACAATGTACAGACAACCTATGGTATTTGCCTGTTGTATGGCATGTCTGATCCAATCTCCGCTCGCTCGTCCCGTTCATCTTTGATCTGCAAGATTTGGAGAACGTGACCAGTAAGGCACCAAGTTAGAAAACGAAATTTGTACACAAGATAGGATGCTCTCTGTATGAATCTTCAGGTTACCAAAAACATGAGCACTTGCAAGAAGCAGAAGCCCTGAGCTAAGAAGTCAGTCCAAGATTCAATCAGGTATAGGGCAGATCCGTCACTCGCACTAAATGGTAGCCAGGAACCCAACTTAGCTGCACATTCAAACCCACTTAAGTCTGCATTCTGTGAGCTGGATGCCCCATGAAATGGCATGAGTGGTGGATTGCTTTTAAGGTAAGCTTACCTCAGCCAACTGCTTTTGAATGTAGAATGCATACGGCGTTTGCTTTTCCTGCAGAAGCATGCACCTCAGGTTCAATCACCAAAATATCAATCTCTTGACAGTAAGAGTCAAGCTTTGTGACATGTGCACTTCCATAGCCTTTATCGAGCGCAGAAAGACTGTGCCATGGGCCTCTGCTGAATTGAATGTAGATGCTATCATGTTCCTTTGCCCCAGACCTTCTGCAGAAACGGCACACAATGTTCCTTTGCCCCAGACCTTCCCTAAATTCTGCACACATTACCTGGACAGTAACTACCTCTCACCTTGCAAAGCCCCACAAATGAAAGCTAAAGTAGTCGCCTTGCTCTTCACAATTGAGCACCAAAACCAGCATGGTCTGCCTTACAAGAAAATTTCCCAAGAGTTCCTACCTGGAGCTCTTTGGACAGGTAGTTATGCTTCATTGAAAGGTCAATGGCCCGCTTCAACCGCTGGTTACGAGCATCCGTCTCTTCCCGGGGCAGCCTTTTGAGGGCCTCCTTGACATCCAAGTCATAAAGGTCGTCGTACAGGTCATCGTACCTCAACCCTGCAGGAAAGGTGGACATGATCAGGCGGTGATTGAAATATGTGCAGCGCAAGCTGATCTAATCGCAAATCAAAGCTGCCAATGTCTGAGAAGGACAACGCCATACTTAAGTGTAGGCGAGAGCTCATAACCATCAAGGCTCCACTTGAGCACTAACCAAAAGGCACAAAGTAGACAAGATGGTCACAGATAACGTGGCATAGCATACTCTAAGACGCCATACCTACCACAAATATCCTTCAAGCTGGAAAACACGCAACACTTTTCAAACAAGCCAGATTTACAAGAGCAGACAACTACATTAGGGGGACACACTTTTGCGAATAAGTGCAAATGTAATTTCTCAAATCTCCCTACTCTCTGCTTTATCAGCACCATGATTGTACGGCAAAAGCTCGAATGGTCCAGCACAACAATGACGAGCGCTTAGGTGGACAGATCATAAATGCAAGTGGCTCTCAACGAAGAATCTGCTGAGTTCTCCACATTTACTGTGCATCTTAATGCTGCAACCTCACGCCGCATTCTGTTGTGTAAATCTGTTCACGCTGGTGTGAATACAGATCCATACAACATCAACAGACTAATCCCGTACCGTATTTTTTCAGCGCCTTTCCAACGGCCGCCTGATACCTTGTTACCGCCCACAACCAGGCAGGTTCTGTGAGCTTGGCAAAAAACTTGGAAACTCCGGTCATGGCCATGGTGCCACCTGCCAAGCAACCACCGATCGATGCCTCCTCAGCAAGATGTTAGTAGCCCTGGCAGTGCCCCCTGGACCTTTGACGAGATTGCCGCCCTACCAGGCTACCTGCCGTACCTCCTCCTGTTTGCATGAGGGTCTCAGGCTAGAGAGGCTCAAGCTTCCCTGATCCGCCCTGGGGCAGCAGAACTAGGCAAGCGAGAAGGTTTTGATGTTCTCACAAGTTGAGGCTGGAATCGATTCGGGCTATCCACGAGCGAGGATGGGCCACATGCTATCCGACGGTTCACAGGCCATCGATCTCTGTCGCTTGGCTCCATGCTTGAATCGGACCGTCGAGGCCTGCTGAGTAGAAGCGTGGACGGTGTCCAGGACTCCAAAAATCCTGCCAGTTAAAGTTGGAGTTCAGACTTCAGCTCGATCGGATGCTCAAGCCTCAAGGTCGGAGCAAGATGGCAATCAGCTGAAATCAGTCTGATTTTTGAGGTGGTGTCCAATTAACATTCTGCACAAACCCCCAAAGTGGTGCTTTCAGAGGTTTGAGAGGCACACAAGCTTCCTGTCAGGTTTGAGTTGGTCCTTGCTTGAGATGATGGCGACCACAGCGTCCGCTCCGGCGGCCAAGTGTTTCCTTCTCAAAGAACAAATGCTGCAATCACAGCGTTGCAGCTCATGCTCTACTCTCAGAGGCCCAGGAGCATTTCCTCTCATACAACACCGGAAGGCTTTACGACCGATGAGCAGTCACTCAAAGCCAGCCTTGACCTTCACTTCTTCAAAGCAGTCTACTTCACAACTGCATCGTAGTTTGCAAAACAAACAGCATTCGGCAGCGTTCAGAGTCTCTGCTCAAAGTAGTCTTTCAGCTGCATCAGAGCCAGCTGGTTACGCGCAGCGAAAAAGTGACACGAGGGCCAGGGGGGACGTTCGCACGCTAGCGGTAGCGGAAGCAGTGGGAAGAGATTTGGGGAGTCATGAAGAGGAGGAAGAGATAGAAGCGAACACTGGTGATGAGCGGGAGTTGCCAGCATTCGACTGGAAAGCTCATTGGTATGCTGTGGGGGTGGTGCAAGTAAGCGTTTTCTCATTGCGCTTCTGGTATCTTTGCGCCTACAGCTAAGGTCGATGGAAGCAACTTCAAGTGTTTGAATTTTGTGTGTATGGATAATCTGTGTAAAGCGAGCTTGTCTGGCTGACTGCTGGTGCTTTCCTTTCCTGAGGTGGTGCACAGATGAAGTTTGTGCTGCATCAAAGCGGTGCTACTCAGTACTTTATGCGGGGCCAATGCTCTACTTGATGCTTGTCAGAAAGCAAATAATATGCTCATAGGGCATGTTGCGGGAGATTCTTGAAGTTTGAAAAAGTGTCCGTTTTTCTCGGTTTGTTGCTCGCAATTCTCTGACTTCCTGAGACTATCAGAGTAAGGGTCGTTCAAGTGGCATCTATCAGTAGAAAAGAGACTTTTTCCCAAGTCCTATCAGGCTGCTGTTGCTGTGTTGATCGAGGATGGGAAGCTTGATGATTCTGTCCCTGATATATCCCAGTGTTTATGCCACTCTTGAGAGTATGCAAAGGATTGTGATTGTTAATCCGGACAAGCCAGAGGCCGTTTAAGCTTATTCGTGTAAGCTGATTATGAAAACGATACACAAATCAGAAGCGTTGTAGGACAGGAACATGACGTGTCGGAATCCATCCCTTATTCAGGTGTATTATACAAAGTAGTGTGATTAATACCAGGTTCGTTCATTGCTGTGGAAGAAACCTCTTGTGGCACCATCAACTGACACTCAGAGTTCTCCCCAGGACATGGACCCGAGCATCCCCCACCCGCTCACCATCCTAGGCCAGCCAGTCGTCCTCTGGTACGATAGGAACGAAGCTAAGTGGCGCTGCTTCTTGGACCAGTGTCCCCACCGCCTTGCGCCCCTTTCCGAGGGCAGGATCGACGAGGAAGGCCGTCTTCAGTGCAGCTACCATGGGTGGTCGTTCGAGGGACGGGGGGCGTGTGCGTGCATCCCACAGGTGAGCTAAAGTTATCAGGCCTTTTGCGCACTATTCAGCGTGTTAAAGTGGAGATACTATTGGTTGTGATTTGAGCTTAACAACCACTGGTTTTAATTGAGAGTCGGCATCTTGAGGGGGTCAGGTGGGGAGGTGTGCGCCAGCTACCCACAGCTTACACATCTACTCATTGCGAGTGTTCCAGCTGTTTGAACTGTTTGAGAACCGGTTTGAGCTAAGTCTGGAAGACTAGAAGGGTTCTCGGTCTGAGTTATAGCCGTGCTTACCCGATACAATCTTCCTAGATTGACACCATCGAACGAGCCTACTTGGCTCTTTCCCTGCATCCATCTTGACACCTGTCTTGAGTAACGGCAAGGGGCCACTTAGATGCAGTACATACTGCCTCTTGACTCCATGGCTCGGCTTTCCTTGGTTTGTCGTTTTCCTTGTATTATATTTTCTTTGTTTGTTGTTCTCCTTCGTGTTTGTTTCGTCGAAGTGAGGGACATCGTCTTTGTGTTTGTTATTGCAGAATTGAAAGAACTTTACGGGTTGTACCCGTCAACTGTTCTGCACTTTTTCTCTCTTTTACGGTTAGAGTATCTCTGGCCTCTGACAAAGCATACGGCCATCAAATCAAAGCGGTCCTAAGACCTTACTTACAAATCTCTTGCGAGTCGTGTCTGTTTGGTCGTGCTCCTACAATTTTCAGCAGGCTTTTTTGTCTGGGAAACATAACGACGTCTTGGGTTGAGGTACACAGAAGTGTCGAATCGTTTTGAGTCTCACCATTGTTTGCAACGGCACTCTCATGATGGAAGATCTGGATGGCTCCCAGCCTGATAGTGGGTGGGGCTTTCCGATATCTTTCTTCCAACATGAACAAGCGAGAAGGACTCAAAGCCCCTCTTGCGGCGGCAGTGCGCGACCTTCTTTCTGAGCGGTGGAAGCAGGACTCGAGCTGCACCATAATATTTGCTAGACTATTCCTTGGATTTTTCCACAATTCGTTTGGACATCCAGCAGTTTAAGAAAAGGTTCCTTCAACCTTTGAAATGTATGGGCCGCAGTATGGTGCGACTCTATTGACTCGCTGTTTCCTTTGTCGCTGTCGCGTAGCCACTTTTTCTTTTGATACATTGACCAAGACATCTTCATTGTTTTGTCTGCCGTGGACCTTTCGAGATGCAGCAGTGGGGTTCACAATGAAGAGGGTTTGAAGTACAATCTCTTTACTAGTCTGTGCTTCGCAGCCAAAGCCCTGCCTTGTTTGACGGCCATGCCATGTTTATTCAGATTTTCGGCGGAACCTATTTTCCTTTTGTTTTCAACAAAACAGGAGGATTTGGGGCGACACGATGTGACCTGCCGACGATTGTCTTCATCTTATGTTCCTTCTCCCCAACCTGCTGACCTCAAATCCCGTCAACCGCCGGGCTTCATGGGCTCCTAGCGACCGTTGTAACGTTCCGAGTCACTTCAGAGCCAAGCGTTACTCGTCTCCACAGGCTGCTTCTGAAGGCCCTGAGGCGAAGGCAGCCGCCAACCCGCGCGCAGCGGTGCGCACTTTCCCCATCTCTGAGGCGGGCGGGCTGCTTTTTGTGTGGCCCGACAGTGATCCCAAGGCGGCCTACAAGGCGGCCTACTCGCGCTTGCCTTTGACGCCAGGTGAGAGAAGCGGTGGATGCAGAACGTGCCACTTCCGTTTGTCTTTGTGAGTTCTCCTCTGCTGTTTTCTGCGGACTTCAACCGTTGAGATTTCCAGTGTGACCCTTTTTTCAGATTTGTTGTCGAGGCAGTCATGTGCACTCCCATGAAGGTCTGACTCCTACACGTCCGTTCAGGATAGAGGGCGAGCTGAGAACCGTGTAATCAAACACAGTTATATTCTGTTTGCAACAGTTCGGTGTTCGAGTACCTAACATAATAGCCGTGATGCTACGACACATTGAAAAGATCAGCAGAAGGCCTTTCGGGGCGCGGATTACTTTCTTTTCATGGTCTGAGAACCGACAAGCGGGTTTGGACGACCCTCTTCAAATCCGAGAGCGTGTTACTCAATGCGTTACCTTTGGATCTGTAAGACAATAAAAATGCAGCCGGAGCTTTGTCATCCTCTTCCCGTGGTTCGTACCTTAAGCTGAATATCGTGGTCACTCTTGTGCTCGAGAAGAACGTAGATATACAATGATTGGATTTTGTTCACCGCCCCTGCAGGCGTCGCGGACGATTGGATGACATCACACTACGCCCGCGACATGGAGTACGGGTACGAGATCCTGGTGGAGAATCTGGTGGATCCCGCCCACGTGCCATTCAGCCACAACGGCGTCGGAGGGATCAACCGGAAGTCGGTGAGAACGAGCTCGCTACAAACGAACAAGTTTGACCGGGACAGCCTGCTTTAGAAGTTCTGGACGGATACCCGAAACTCTAACGTTGAGGTATTGAATCCAGGTTCGCCTGTTCAAGTTGGTGAATCTAATCCGAAACAGGTGGTTGCTATTTCTTCGAATGCATTTCTCAAGGCAGCTTTTATGTTTACCCTTGGATTGGTCCCAAGTCTGCTCAACGTGAGATTTTTGAAGATGGAGCTCCTTTCAAGGTAGACGTAACTTTGGCGGCTCTGAAGAGAAACAATATCCTACCCCAATGAGAAGAACGCAGTTGAAGGCCGTAAAGTTACCCCGTTGGGTTCTTTTATCCAGGCCGCTCCCCTCGAGTTTCGCATCACGCGCATGGACCACACCGGCTTCTTCGGCAGAGGCGTCAGCGGCAGCTTTGCCCCGAACACGGTCGGGGGGAACGAGTTCCTAGCGCCCAACCGCTTCTCCTACACTCGAACCACCCCCCGAGACGACGGCTCGGAATCCAACTTCATCATCACTGTACACGTCACCCCGCGGGGGCCCGGGAAGAGCCGCGTAATCCTGTCTACGTACGCAAAGACTTTGAACGAGAAGAAAGTGAAAACGGGGCTTCTGGCGAGGGTGAAGGGGTTCAACTTCCGGCGGCTGCTGTTCCGGTTCCGGCCCCGGTGGCTGACCCACCTGGTGCTGGACGCGATCTTCGACGGGGACGCGGTGTTCCTCCGGGGGCAGGTGAGAGCGCATTCGGAAGACCTTTGAAGGCAAGCAAAAACGAAGACACTGAAGGGGTCATGGTGAATGAAAAGAGAAGGTCACCGTTCATTAGTTCTTACCTGGGTGGGTGAGCAGAGGAGGAGGATCCGTAGGTTTGGATGATTGTGAAGTAGGTTCTAAGACGCGTACATTTGACTTGCGGGTCATTCTAGCTCTCCGCGTCACGCATCTGACGAAAGCAGAGCTTGGCTTCGGGGAGAAGGCGAATGGGGCAGTGGCGAGAAACGGGTTGTCCAAAAGACGTTCGTAGGGCCGGAGATTGCACCGTGATTATCCAGTGAGTGCTTGTAACGCCGTTCCAAACATACCTATGACTTGCTCCCGCTCTCGGCCGACCACTGCACAAGCGAATCTTTTGAGCTTGCACGCAAGCCCTTCGTTTTCTGTCCACAGGAGATTGCGCTGCAGACCACGCCAGCGAACGCGTCCGCGACGTCAGCGGTCGACGAGCGCGGGGTCCGCAAAGTCGACGCTCCGCGGGAGTACTTCATGCCCACGCCCGCAGACCGGTTCGTGCTCGCGTTCCGACAGTGGCTCAACCGGTATGCAGGTACGTGGGTTCTCTCGGCCCTCCTCTCTTTTAGCGCCTCTCTTGGTTGGTTTGTTCTATGTTCTGCCTGAACGGTGACGAGCAGCTTGGACCAGGTTGAGCTTAGATGGAGGTGCCTGGCAAGAACTATTGTGGAGCTTTTGCCGGAGAACGGATCCAATAGGATGCGCCGTTCTCTTCAAAATTGGAGTTCCCGGACCGTACGTTCGCGCAGATATTCATCCGGATTCTGGAAGTAATGGCAAGGCGTTACCATGACACGCAGAGATAGTGAATCTTAAATCGAGTTTACTGGAACGGCGCCGCCTGTAACTCAGTCTCCGAGCGATTGCCGATGCTCGGACATGACGACGACTCGCGTCATAAAAGATTCTGCATATATTGCTCTGCCGCCCACGTGTTTCATCTCATCTTCGACGTCTCTTCTCGTGTCAGGCGGCGGCGTCCCGTGGGCCGAGCTGGGCGTGCCAGAACTTGACGTCAAGCTGACGTCACGGGAGGCCGTCATGGACCGCTGGCATCAGCACACCACGCAGTGCACCACCTGTTCCGGCGCGCTCGAGAAGGCGCGCACCGCCCAGAAAGGTGGCGTCTCCTTCTTGCTTCTTTTCAAAGCTTTTCCCTCTTTGGTCGTCGATGCCAGAAGCGGTTTTCAGCAGAAGACGTCCAGCTTTCAGCAGGTTGCTGCGTAGTCAAGTAATCAGCGCGCCTGATTTCGTGTGACCGAATCTGAAAGGTTTCCTGCAACATAGACAGGTTTCGAAACGGCTTCTGTGTCGCTCATTCCATGTCGATTACTTGTAGCAACGAGTACGACGTTCAATCCTGAATTACTCACCGTTACTTTGAGACATCTTCGCTTCTGTATTCGCAAAGCTTTTGAGTCTCTGCGAAACGTGGGTTCTTTAAGTCCTTGTCTCGTGCATCGGAACGGATGCATCATATGCAAAAAAGACGTATGCGCTGTTCTTTTCTTCAGCTCTTTGGGTGGCTGCCGCGCTTCTTGTCGCCGCCACCCTAGTTGCCGGCCAGGCGTGGGGACCGCTAGCGCGCGGGGGGTTGGTCTCGCTCGCGCTGCTTTCGACGGCCGCAGGATTCGCGCTCAACGGGCTCGTTCAGCGCTTCATCTACACCGGGTACAACCACGCCAAGTAGGAAGGGTATAATCTAGTGCGGTCTGCATTGGACCATAGGCAAAGGTCTCGCGGCACGAGCTGTACATAGCATGCGGTGTACATAGTTGGTCAAGTAAAGCGCTTCATTAGGTGCATACGAGTCGGATATATCCATGCGAACACTCTTAAGACCTTCCTTGCTCAGCTGGAAACCACAAGGTCGAACATCGATCGATACCAAGAACGCGATAGTTGCTCATTTGACCCTAGTTTAATGACTCCTTGCCGAATCGACACATGTGGCACCAAGATTGAATTGCAATCTGCACGCTGTATAGCACGCAGTACGTAGCCAAGTTCAAACCGATCAAGCTGTCTGGCTATCGAAAGGCTTCTGGCACCGTCTCCAACGTCAAGGGCATGCCCGGAGAAAATAAACCGTAATTGGAGATCGACTAGATCGAGTCATGCAAGGCCGGCGGCCACTTAGTATTGCGCACTGAGTAAAGATTCGTTGAGCAATGGGTTGGAACATGCTGGCAAGTTGCAGTGCATGGTCAAGGCCGCTGCTCGTTGTCCGACCAGGGGCATGTTGATTGTACTATGATAATCTGTCGACTGCTTCATGGATTCGTTGCGCGCGCCGCTGACCAGGTTGGAGCATGCAGCATGAGGCTTATGCATAACTTATATCAAGCGTCCGGCGCATGTGCAGAACCGTTGACATGTATACATGAATTGCAGTGATCGATATCAGAATTTGCAGAGTCTGACATGTACGTGGTGGCACAAAGTCTCGAATGTGGACCAATGCTAATGGGCCGTATAGCTTGAGCTTCCAATGTGCACAAGCTAGGTTCATGCATGACATGGGCAACCGCGTTAGCTGCGGCTTTAAGTTATAGCACGGCTCAAGAACTGCGGTGTTAATGAATTGCATCCACGTCCTTGTACAAAGTCCTCCTTCAAACTTATCAAAAAGTTAAGGCGGCTCTGCGCCACTGCTATGGGCACTGACGCATCCGAGCGGCTGCCCATAGCAGCCGTTGATGAATCTGAATGAACGATGGAGCGGACACGTTACGATTGCGTTGGTTCTGGACGCCATAAGAAACGCTTTGTAGAGATACATATGTCGGTCAATAGGACGCTGGTTACTGCTTCGGAACAGGTCTGAATCGATTCTTTTTCAACCCCGCAACGCACAGTAGACGGCAGGCCAGATTGACGACAATAGTAAGCCGTGCAGAATCATGCGGATGTGTGCTGCGCGAGATTTTGACAAACGCTGGCCATGAACAGAAGCGAGCACTACGATGTGTTTTGGTATGAAAACGCAGGGACGGGGTAAGAAGACAGACATGATTATCGATCTATAACGGCATGCGTGCAGTAAGTACGGCAGCTTTATTTACTTGCTCAGGTTCGAGACGTTGCGACGTTCGCAACGCATGTCTATGTCTAGGCGGCCGGCCCTCCATCGCTTCCGACTTTTAGGGTCCACGTATCCATGTCATGTACACACTCCTTTGTTGAGTTTTGTAGAGAGACTCGTTTGAGGACACTACTACGTTCTTATGGTGGGTTTGAACCTAACGTAAACCGCTGATACCACTTTAGACCCAAATCCCAAACCCTGCTACGCCCCGGAAGGGCCGGCCGCGATGCCCGCGCCGGGCGCGGGCGCGGGCGCGAGCACGGGGCGGGGCCCCGGTAGAACGTTGATGGCGACCTTCATGCCGTCGAGACAGTGGCCGTCGACCCTGCCCAGAAACAGAACGGACGAATCTGTAGTTAGTACCAACTTTGCCTGGCGCTTCCGCATTTTCGAATTTGTAAACCATAGGTTGGCCGATTGGGGGATCTGATTGTAAATTCGTCAGAAAGCGAAGCTCAGATGAATCGGTCGACCAGATGTCTACCTTTACTGAGATCAGAGAAGCACATTTTGAGCGCGCGTACCTATGCATGCACGGGAAGTACAATAAGTGGCCCGTGTCGTTCCGTGGGCTTTGCGGACTTGCGCGGATTCAAAGCCGACGAGTCCGTGACGCGAGATCACAAAACCGGGCGTCGACGTTTCTCGAACAACTTTGGTTACACCATCCAAACGCGCGCGCTCAAGAATCACATTTCCGCTTTTTTTGACCGAACTTGTTCAGAGAAGACGACTTGCTTCGTGTATTGGGTCACAGCCTCGTCGAGAGTATTGGTGATAAATCTCCCTGGCACAAATTCTCAGATTCTCCGAAAGCAGGGTAGTTCGAACTACAGTAGCTCTCACAAGGTAATCGCTGCGCATCCGACGGAATGAGCAGTCGGCATACAAGCGCAATGCAGACAAGGGTTGGTTGGAGTGGTACTGACTCGCATGCGTAGTAGTCCGGGCCAGGCGCTGAGACCGGTACGTTCACGCCGACCAGTCCCGGGGCAACGTTGGAGTTGTTGGGCTGACTCAGGTTGGTTGAGTTGGAAAAGTCGCACGCGGTCAGGGACTGGTTATTGGGCAGCGCGAAGACGGTGTGAATCGCTGGGGGGAACACGAAGACTGCACGAGACAACAGAAAGAGGCTTTCGAAGTTCGAAGATGGGCAAATGAGCTGAGGGCTGAGACGGGTAGGCCAGCGAAAGTGCGTGTGGGCCGCAGCAATCTTTCTGATTAAATGTTGAAGCCGAATGGACCTTTCAGTACCCCGGAAAGAGGCTTCATTCTCTCAATCCTCAGTTCTCTTGGCCTGTCCGGTTGTAACCTCTTTCATGTTGCTGACCTTCAGTCTTCAAGCACTTCGGTCTCTCAGATGGTCAAATTCCGAAAAGACTGCCTTACACAACGAAATGAGAACGATTGCCAGGACAGAAATTTTCACTTCGTCTCTCATCCCCTCACGTTGCAAAAGTTCAATCTGGTCAGAAGAGAGATCGAGAAATGATGTCATCTCCGGACAGCGCCGAGGTCCAGAACGAGCAGGAAAGAACTAGATATGGGACTCACAGAGAACGTCGCCCACGTAGACTGGGTTCTGCTCCGCCCACAGCGGGTAGTTGATTCCGAGCCCCCATCCCGACGATCCCCCGACTTGAACCAGGTCAGCTCTTGCCCCCTGAACCAATCAGACGAGTTGGGAGTAATTGTTTATTTTTCAACATATTAGTGAAAAGATGGGGCATTTCTGCAGTCACTGAAATATAAAGGCACTGCCAAAGCCTTTGACCAGGTTCAAAGTATGGCAAGTGCTGTCAGCGTGCTGACAGCTTGGAAGTTGGGCCAAGCGGCTATTTTTGAAATGGTCGTTTCAGGTGTCGAAAGGCTGATTTCTTGGACAGCAAAAAGAGCTTGCAATAGGCAGAGGGCTGCTTTCCAAGGGGGGTTTTTCACGACTTCAAAAGGTTCTCTACCTGTCCTTTTGCTCCCCAAACCAAATAGATTGCCCCACAAATCGATTTCTGGGAAACGCAGAAACTTTGGCACGCAAGGGCTTTCCACCACGAATGCTCCTTATATACGGCTAATCAACAAAAGCGACGATCCGAGGGAGTCAGAGAAGGGAATCGCAGAACGTGCTCCTCACCAGCGTAGCAGCGCCAAGGCAAATTAGAGCCGCGAGAAGTGCCCGTTGCAACACCTCTTCGCGCGCCATTGTGGTTTCGCCCAACCTCGCCTCGCCCTAGCCCGTGTTAGAGATCAATTCTCTCCTGTTTAATGTGCCTCTTACAGACCAAAAAACAACCGGCGCAGGCCTCAACGGAGTTGTCACCGAACTTTTCCACGTTGATAAGAGTCGCGTCAGGACCTTCTTGCAACGACTCCCTGTATATTGCCTTTTCTGCTAGAAGGAAATAGAAACAGGGGCTGCAAATACGCAGCTTTCACCTGTCAAAAAGCAGGGAGTCCCTCTGAAAGGATCGTCCTTCCAATCCGCTTGTAAATATAGTTGGAGCTTTCCGTAATACTACTCTAGCAGTCCTAAGTTCCTTTGAACGAAGAGGGAGAGAACTCTTCCAGCCGGATAACTCAAGTTCATGCCTGCGGAGTGACTGTTTAGGGGGCTTCCTTTTACAGCGCTGTATCTGTACGGTACTTCACATGTGTTTGACCATTCGCATGACAATGCAGGAAAGTCGAACTGGCGGCTTGAAGCACGGCTAGCGAGATCCTGCTGGACGAAAGTCAACTCACCGCCGCGGTGCATGGGGTGGTGGTACAGGCTGTGCCGTAAGACATTCGCCATTGGGCTTCAGCGAGACTTTCGGGTAATTGTCCCTGAGCCCTTCGTCTGTTCTTCTGCTTGGTTAGACTGAGACTAAGAGGTTGCGCAGTAACGGAAGGCAGGTGCTTCCAGACCCGTAGGCACCCACTATACAGCCCACGTAAGTTGCCCCCCCATAAGATCAGCCAGCTGGGGCTGTTGCGGCAGCTGGTTGCTTTTTTGTTGTGCTGATCTCATGCGTGAAGAGTTGGTGGAGGCGTCGAGCTCCTCGCTGCGGAACCACCGGATCAGTAAGAGCACCACTGTCGTTGGCCGCACCGCGTGTCTCCTTGAGGAACCGGGACGCTGCCCAGAACGTAGCCCGAAGCGCTCGAATGCGCGACAAAATATGGTAAGTGCTTAGGAACGAAGGCAAGAGGTAGAGCGCGCGCAGTTCTTGCAGCCACCATGTTTCCCTGGCTGTTATCCGCGATCTGCTTCTTCAAAAGGCGGTCGAATCCTGTCATCACAGCATCGCAAAATGCAGCGCAGATTCCAAGAAATCAAGCATTGAAGCGGCCAAACGGCACAGTGATCGATACGGGGCGCGCAAAGCGACTGCGTTTGATGGGCTTTCATGGGATCAGTGAGTACGAAGAAGCAGTCGCCCCTAGAGAAAGTGCAGGTGATCAAACCAAAGCGGAAGTCTTCGCCTCAGAGGCCTTCTACGAAAGGGGCGTAATCGCAGTCAAGGAAGAGCGGCGCGCAGATGGCTTTGAGTGCTTCAGAGGGGGGGCAGCTTTAGGCAGCGCCCGGTGCATGCTAGAGCTCGCGGCTTGCTTTGCCGAAGGCGACAGCTGTCCGCAGGACGTGATAGCCGCGGTCGCTCTCTTTAACCAAGCCCACAATCTCCCTGGTTTCGCTGAAGTGCTTGGGGCCGAGCTCGCTCGGGTGCAATACAAACTTGGCAAGAGTGCTTTCGATGCCGGATCGATCAAAGCGGTGGAGTTCTTGACAGCCGCGGCTGACTATGGGCACCCAGGCGCGCAATATGAACTGGGTACTTTGCACGAACTAGGCTGGGGGGTCGAGCGAAATATGGACGAAGCAATCGTCTGGTGGGGAAAGGCAGCCGACCAAAACGACCTTCTCGCGCTCTACAAGCTGGGAGAATGCCATCGCGATGGCAAAAGAGTTGCCCGAGACAGCGCAAAGGCAGCTGCGCTGTTCAGTAGGGCGGCCGAACTAGGACACGTCAGCGCGGGGTTTGAAGTGGGATGGTGCTACTTCACAGGATGGGGCGTCGCTCGCGACTTTGCGGAAGCGTTCCGCTGGTTTAGGAAGGCGGCGGAACAGGGCGACCGGACAGCGCAGTCTCTCGTGGCTTACTGCTATCGCTCTGGGACCGGCGTGACCAAGAACGTGGAGAAAGGACTCGCGTGGTCAAAAGGGCGGGGGAAGGGAGGTTCCGTTCGAGAGCAACGGACAATGACGGAATGCTAAGTGAATAAGCGCAACGTGGACGCAGCGGCTATGTGGAATCAGAAGGCCGCGACGCGTTAGCATAGAACTTTCGACATCGCGGCGGGCCTAAAGCTTTATAAAGCGGCAACGGTGCAAGAAATATTAGAAAAAGGGCGTCAATTAGGCCAAGGGGGTCGAAAGTGAGGACACTGCTGTCAGGGCTTTGCTGAGAATGCTAGAGAAGGGACCGCTGAGCCAAAGAGCGTAGAGTGCAAGACTTAGATTGTGACCACACTCGCAGCATTACCTAGCCGAGTTCCGAGTCAGCATTTTGTTTGTACAGAAAACGCTCGCTAGAAAAGGTCTACTGGAAAGCAAGAATGGGTACCGGTAGTAGGAAAGTCTACCTGATCAGAGGTGCTTTAGTAACGGACTCGAAAGAAGAAACGAAAGCTAAACGATTGATTGCTTTGGACCATCTAGTACTTCAAGTTGTCAGTGTCGATGCTCAAGAGTGCTTTCCGGCGAGTCTTAGGATTTCGTCGCGCCTGTGACTTGCATCCATGATTACCACATGCGAGTATTAGTTCGACAGTTCCCAGTCCCTTACATCGATCTTGAATAGAATAGGCGGTTTGCTCTTCCACGTCACGAGCTTTTGAGTCATGTTGAGTCGAAGATCTGCACATGTGTGTTTTGGAATACAAGCGTGACGACTGCGGCTGGTCTCAAATGGAAGCACTGCGTCGATCGGTAGTTCGCCCGGTCATGTTAATTTCATCATTTGTTGATTAGAAACGAGGTGCAGAGCGCCATTCGAAGATGCAGAGCGCCACTTAGAGATGATAACAAGTTCTGCTCGTACGGCTGTATGTACGATCGCAGTTCCTTGCCTTATACGGTATCTTGCATTTCTGCCGCCTTGATGCATGTCCGACACTTAGAGCCCGGCTTTATACTATGACAATTCTGTTTGGTTGGCCATGAGGATAGGCACATGGACTGCTGTTAATTTCAGTCCCCAGGCACAACCTAGTTGCATGTCGAAGTCATGGTTGGCCGGATACTTGAATAGGCAAGTCAGCTCGAAAGCGCCATGTAATATCTGCGATCATGCTGAATTTCATCGACCTCTGGATTGATTTGCAACGTACCCATATGCCTGATCTGTAAGCACGTGGTACTTGCATGCATCTTTGTCGGACACCGGAAGTAATGAGCTCGCGAAAGGCGCTCCAGCCCAGAATCCAAGAATGTACGGCGGGTAGCACCGGCCCAGTACGAACAGCCCTGGCTGGTTCGACCGGACCAATCTGCCGCGGAACAGTGTGCCCAATAAAAAACATATATGTTACACGCTTGTCTCTCGGTCTCACCCTTGCCTGCGACACAAGGTAAGACTTCCTTGGCAATGCTGATTGCTGCTGCGTCTGACGTACCTCGACTGGCCAACACGGGGTTCCAACAACGCACCACTTGCGCAACTAGTTTACTGACGTTACCTAACCTATGACAACTAAAGCGATGTGATTTGACGCTACACCGATGCTTTTGAATGTCAACCCAAGGACGTAGAGGCGTAAACGAGACACGAGTGATGTCGCAACGCTTAAAGCTACCCCATAATCACTAGAAACATTAGAAAGAACAAGCGTGCCATGCCTTGGCAAGCTCACACCTTCCTGGTTTTGTTGAAGATCCGGAATGCGAGGACTGCTAGGGCTTTGAACAAGAGAGTGAACGCTATCAAAGCCAGTAAATCATAGCCCCGCCGGCTGTAGGTCAAGTTCTGCAGATCACAGCAAAACAGAAGTGTCAAGGTCTTTCTTCGAGACAACGACAGCCTTGTCAACAGCCATTCGGCGGTAGTCGTTACGAAGATAGTAAAGAGGAACATAAACGCCCATTGAGGACAAACTGTAAGGCTGTTACGAATAATTTCCCAACACCCAAAAGGAACATAGAGAGGGGAAGGAGCAGAACACATACGAAATGCACATGCTTCGTCACAAGCTCACAACCTGCCAAAGCGAAGAGAGCCGACGACAACGTAAGACTACAGGACGGGGGAAAGGGTCTCGCATTTAAACATTCTCCCTGCATTACCGGCATCAAACAGTTCTTCCTTCAAGCGACGGGACGAGCCTTCGTGAATCGCACTTGTACCCGTCTCTAAGCGATAACGGCAGCAAACGAGGGATGTAGAATAGAGTTATCGCACTCACCCATTCTCCCTGCACAACCGGCCATGTGATCCGGTTAAAGTTCGGATGGTCCAATAGCCGCTCACAGCGGCACTGGGGGCACGCGTTCCCGTCGATGAGGCAACCCGCAAGAATGCAGTTCGGCGTGCTAGTGTTGCAGTAAAAGGCGACACTAGCGAGACAGTTGAACGCGTACTGGAGCGGGTTAAGCCAGAAAAGCCAGACGTAAAAGTCGGGGATGTTGGCGCGGTTAACGAGGTAACCCGAGGTTAGGCTCCAGAGGGTGGTGAAGAAGGTGAGGATGAGCGCGGCGACCTGGGGAGGGTTAAGAAGAGGGTTAGGGCGAGACCACGAGGGACGGCAAACACTCGGGGGGTTCAGCAAAAAGATAGGAACGATTAGCAGCGACAAAGGGACTTTGGGTAGCTGCAACATTTCCTCGAATGGAGACGCTGAAGAGAGCAGGGTACAGAAAAGATGACGATGGAATCGAACAAAGAAAAGAACGCCCAGAGAAGGGAGAAAGGCTATAAGGATCATGATGTTGTTTCTAACCGGGGCAGGTAGCGTGCATCTCACAAACTTGGAAGACGAAGAAAGGCTGGTGTACAATGAAGCCACATGTACCGATCTCGGGTGGCTTTGAGCAGTTTTTTGGGCAGTGCGAGATGCATCTAGACTGTTAGCGCGCTCTTCACCAACGGAACCAAGCACACTAGATGCAAGAACTAGATGCAAGTCATAGACCAAAAATTGTTAAGCGCTCGAACTTTACCTTGGCGTTGAGCGCGACCTCGGCCACAAGCAGCCCGAAGTAGACCATGGCCAGGGTGTAGAGAAAGACGGCTGCGAGTGACGTCAGGAAAGTGGTGCCTGACGTCAGCGCGATGTCAGCCATGCCGTAGACGATGATGGTGAAGATGAAAGACGTCACCAGCAGGAAAGGCAGCTGCAAGAGGAGAAGGGCATCGTTAGGAGGGGGGTTACGGATAGGGTCAAATGGGCTTTTGGGAAAGGCCGAGTCCGTGGCCCAAGAAGACCTGCCACAGGGACACCCTTAATCCCTACAAAGGTCGACCACAATCACGCGGTTCCTCACAGGCTGCTCGAGTAAGGAAATGGACAATATATTGGGCTCAGAGTACTGTCTGCTCGGCCTAGAGGGTTGTCAAAGCAATAAGAGTACAGGGAAGCAAACGGAGGATGTGGTCGGCAAAATGGCAACTCCATTGTCTCAACAACGATACCAGGCGGGACGCACTTGGGCAATGAGAGGGAGTCAGCGAAACGCTGCGGTCTTCAAAGTGCAAAACAGCGCAATCTCAACAGCACCACCCGATGCTTTTGGAACCACAAAGGCTGCATCACGGATGTCAAACTAGGACCGCCTCAAAAGAAGATGCGCCCACCTCCGCGAAACCCCAGGCGAGGCTGTAATTGAGCGCGCTGTAGGCCGACACGTGGCGCTCTCGCAGGTACATGGGCTGCTCGCGGTTCCAGGCCATCACCACAAACACCGCGTTCATCAGGCCGAAGAGTAGCACGGCGAGGTAGATCACTCCGACACGTGACACCACGCCGGAGGTAGTGTCTTGGCCAACCTGCGTGGGAGATAGCGAGTGTCAAGCCAAATGTATGGGTTGTGGAAAACAAAGTCAAGAAGTGAGTTTCCAAGGTTGAAGAGCACAAGAAACGACGAGAACCGAGCCGGAATTTGTGTCTGGGTCAAAATCTGGAAGGACGTATAGAATTTGAAAGGACAGTGGTACGGAGTTTGAGCAAAGAATCTAGTTTCGCATTTGTCAGCAGAATAGCAGCACAGACAGGTGTGTCGCGCTCCCGCGTGACACAATGTCGTAGCGTGTGCCTTGACCAAGCTACAGAAAAGATGCGCTGGCGTCAACAGGCACATAAGGGGTGGTCAGAAGGAGCACCGAAGCTACAGCAGATCTCACCTTGAAGCAGAGCGAGCCCAGGATGAGCGCGAGTAGGATGCCCATGAGCGCGCGCCCGAAGCTGTTGTTCACGTTCCGCCAGAAGGTGCGCACCGCGCGCTTCGTCACCTCGCCCTGCCGCCGCCAGGGGGGCGCCGCATAGCCCTGCCAAAAAGTCAGCGGAATGACGTCAGCAAAACGCCTCCTTAGGGGCCCGTCCCGGCACAGACGCATCGAAGTCGTCTGAATGCAAGTTTGTCATCAGAAATGCCCCTCCCCGCCATTATTGCGGTCAGTGTCTCTACTTGATACAATTCCAAACGGTGCCTTTCGAACTTGCTTCGACTCTCATGAAGGGCGTATGACCCCACGAGAATCGCTGTCATCCAACAACTAAGAAGGTGGAGCGTTTCAAAACAAGATACTTCAAAGCTGAAGAAAAGGCGGAAGCACACGGAAAGCGATGGACCGACCTCTTCCGAAAAGTCCGGCCCCGCCTCGCCCTTGCTCCAGCGCAGCGTATCGAGTTCCTCTGCATTGACGTCATACAGCTCGCTCTTCTTGTAGTCTATAGCGTACTCTCGGTGCGCCACGCGCGTAATTCCGGCGCCGATTACCTCCATGATGTACGACGCGGGGTTCTGGTTGTCGCCGCACGCGACAGTTCCGGGTATCGCCTGAGACATGGGGAAGGATATTCAATATGGATGATAAGAAGATTGGTGCAATCTGCTCGATTGAAGCGGAGGCATGTTGACAGCGGATCCCGAGGACCTGCTTGTGACGATGCTGGATTCCGATTGGACTGCAAAAAGGTAAGAAATTTGAGCGTCTGCACTGCATTGTCGCGACAAGACTTTATGCCGGTCAAGGTTCACCAGCCGATATTGAGCTGCAAAATTGCAGAGAAGTGAACTCCTGCATCTATCGATCTTGACAGTTTTTGGGAACAACATGTCAGGAAAGGAACGCACAAGCAAGCAAGCCCGCCGCAGACCACTGAAACCCAGAGTCAGCAAAAATGGCCCATAAACAAAGACGCCAGCCCACCTCGAAGTATTTGACCACGTTTTCTCCGTCAGGCCCGATTGGCCCGAAGAAGACGGTCTCCCCCCCGAACTTAAGCAACAGCAGCATGTCGAATGCGGAGAAGAGGCGCGCGCTGGGCTGGTGTGACGTCATCACAATCGTCCGCCCCGTGTTGGCGATGTTGCGGATGCCGCGCATCAGCCGCTGCGCGCCGCGCGAGTCCAAACCGCTGCAAGGGTAGCGAATAATTTCATAATGAGCGAGCGAGTTTCTCAAGAAGCAGTCCTTTCTTGTTTGTGAGAGATGGCAAGACCCAACGTTGTCTTCAGGATCTGAGTGGTTTGCCAGACCTCTTTGAAAAGGAAGGAACGCTGAAAGCGATGGCTTAATAACTAGGGAAGGTTTGGCAGCCACTTCTCGACTCGATTAAGAAGCTGAAGATTGAGTCGACGAGAATCCCCGACCCGTGGATATTCATGGATAGACAGCCCAAAGCACAACCAATCACCACAAAAAGGTTCGTCGAGTCTATTGGATCCTTGTGCGGTTACTCACGCTGTCGGCTCGTCGAAGAAGATGATGCTCGGGTTCGCCGCGAGCTCCGTGGCGATGCTGACCCGCTTGATCTGCTCGATGCCCAGGCCCACCCGGGTCGGGATGCCCACCAAAAAGTTGCGAATAGGCAGCAGCTCCAGCACCTCCATCACCTGGGGGGATACAATTTGCCTTCTGTTATGCCCCCTTCCGCATTATTTGAAGGTTTTAAGCATCGGAACTGAATCAAAATAAGATTGCCCACGAAAGGAGGCGAACGGAGATATCGCTCAGAACAGCTTGCTTGCACTTATGGGTCTTATGAAGGCCCAACTTCTGAGAATAGCAAATTGGATCGCATCCAGCGTAGGAAAGTCTACTGCAGAAAGGCTTGGAAATACATTTCATGGTCGAGTGAACTTGACGCCGCGCACCACAGCTCAACAAAAGCACAGATGCCCCCAAGGCCTTTGAATATCTGTGGTACAAAGCGGTCCGATTTGCGTCGAGACGTGAAATTTCGAGACGTTTTAAGAACCCTAAAACCCTAAAGCCCTAACACCTTAAAACCCTAAAACCCTAAAACTCGACGCATGCATGTTCTCAACCGCAAAAAGTCTCGTCCCGCTTTCTATCGGTACTCTAAGACCAGCACTTTTCCGCTTGGTGCAAGAGGAAGGCCTGCAACAGATTCCGGAGTGGGGACAAGCCGAGGCGGCCTCACCTCGACGATGAAGGCCTGCAGATGCTGGTCGAGCGTGCTGCTCGGCAACCGCAGCCGTGCCGCGAAGCGCAGCGTCTCCTCGACCGTCAGGTACGGCGACAATGTGTCCTGAAGTGCGACGTACCTGAGCCGAGAAAGTACAGCCACGTTAGGGTTTGCAAATTGCTTTGAAATGTAGCAGCAATTGTGAGAGATTGGTACAGACCACTGAAGAAGAATACATCGGTGAGAGCTGCCGCCAGATGGGGGGAATGTATAAACTTGAAACCTGCAGGAACCTATGGGCTCGAGGTTCGAGTCCCCTCTTCATACATTGCAAGAGGAGCACGAAAACCCAAACTTTGTTGACAGCAGAAGAACAATTTGCCAGCATGACTGGATTCAGTTCCTGAATGCCGCTTCGTAACCCACCCGCTGTAAACTCCGCTTGATCATTACTAGCACGACTTGACTGCTGACAAGAAAACCACTCCTGGTCGAAATTATCTCGAAATCAAAACTTTTGTCAACCGTTATGTTTAAAACCTTACCCGGAAATGCGCTTGAAAGTGCTCTCGACCCGGTCGAACCCGTTCACGAGGATGTCCCCCGTGATGTGACCCTTCTGTTGCCCCGCCAGGACGTCTAGCAGGATGCGCTTCCCAGCCCCAGGGCCGCCCATGATCGCGGTTATGTACCCGGGTTTGGCAAACCCGCTGACGTCACGGAGGAGGACCTTGGGGGCGTCGGGGCTGGTGCCTGGCACGGGGACCTGATAAGAGGAGACGAGGGGCGGACTTTCAGAGCAAACCTAGAAGAGGAGTGAGGAGAGGGTTCCTCGAGTCTTCTTTCAATATCGGCGAGATTGTGGGCTAAGCGAAATGGCAATTCGATTGCGACTTGGGGCCGAAATATGCGCAGTTGCCTTCCGCTTTGAAATGGATGCCACTCTTCTGTTGCTCACAACCAGACGCTGACGAACATTACACAGGATTGGTTGCTCAATCCTTCAAAGCCGAAGCTGGCTTCAATTACCGAAAAGCAGATGCAAGCTGCCGCTTCGAATCACAGCAAATGAAGGAACCAAGAAGCATGTGCAAACCACTTTTGCGCAACTTGACAACAAGCATAACGGCCAGAATAAGGCAACGAGTGGAACGCCCAACTCACATCGTAGTGGATGTTGTGGAAGGACAGCGTCACGGGCACATACTCCAGGATCCCCGGCGGCTTGATCATGTTCTTATGCTCAAACTCCCCGCTCATCCCCCCGTCCCGGATATCGATCTTTTCCAGGGGGGCCGGCTCGTTCGCCTGGTTTGCTAGATACTTCACCGAAAGTGGGTGTTCGGGTGAAGTAGAACCGAGCTGTGCCGCTTCTTTCCGGTCGGTCGGGGGCCGGCCCCCCTTGAGCTTGAAGCGCACCCGTTGGAGAGCGAACGCGGTAGCGAAGATAAAGAGGAGGTAGAAGCCCGCGAGGGCGGCAACGCCGTACCAGACCCACGTGAATGTGACGGGGTACTGCAAGGGCAGAGAATTGCAGCGTTTCAGAATCCTTACTTCTTTTCAATAACTTGATAGTGAAGTGTTGAGCTTTCTTCTGATGACATTTCAAACCGGCTAGGCCGTACCAAACCCACGTTGTCCTGATTAAACCTGTCGAAAGGAAAGTTTGAACTTTAGGCACATGTGATCTCTACAATACCATAAAAAAGTTCTTAAAATCCAGACTTGCAGGGGTTAAAGAAGTAGAGACGGCCGGGTGCTCGAAACACGATGAATCGACATCACGAATGACGGGACAGTGCAGAAGAGCGGAGCGAGATTTTGAGGGAGGGGGCCAGAATTGTGAAGAACCAGAGCGCGGGAGATAAGGAAGCAAGCACAGCGTCCCTGTACGACGTCTTCGAAAGCTTGGAAGGACAAAGAGCGTCTACAACCAGCTCACATTGTATCCTTGGAGGTACGACTTCCCGAGCCGCTCGTCCGGCGCCTGGCAGTAGGTTGCGATCGCAAGCTGCTGCGCGGCGCAGATGGCGTTGTACTTGGAGGAGAGGAACTCGTTGAGAACGAGGCTCGTGTGGGCCCATTGCAGGGGCGACGCATAGTAGGCCCAGATCCAGCCCTTGGGCACCTGGTCCTTGACGACGAAGAAGCCGGAGAAAACGAAGCACAGCGCCAGCACCGAGCCTGCGGGAAAATGAAACTGGGTCAAGTCCAGAATTAGGGTTGTCAGAGAATTAGGGACGACTACGCAGGGTTGGCTTTGAGGGAAGTGGGTTACAAGATTTAGTCATACTTGGCGCCCAAGACGCCGTAGAAGACGAAGCACAGCGCCAGCACGGAGCCTTCGGGAAAATGAACCCGGGTCAAGACCAGATCTAGGGTTTGCGGATAATTTGACGAGCTTGGTTTGGAGTTAGTGGGTTGGTTACTTAAAATAAGATCTGCGCCCAAGGAGCCGAAGAAGACGAAGCACAGCGCCAGCACGGAGCCTGCGGGAAAGTATTCACTGATCCCAAACCTAGCCTACGAACCAACTAGTGCAAGCTCTTGAATTGAGATGAATACGATTGGGTTGATTGCTTTCCTTAGTCTCCGGTCAAGATGCGTCAAGAAGCCGGAATAAGGAAGCACAACGCCAGCACCGAGCCTACCGGAAAGGAAGCTTTCTTGAGCACAAAGTCGGCGTTCAGAAAGTCCGAGCACGACCTCGTGACGTTCAGACGGACTGGGTTGACGTGGTAAATTTTCTTTAGGGCCAGGAAACGAACTAAGGAACTAAGGAACCAACAGTGCAGCGGATCGTGTTCGGCTCGAATAGGGAACCCGTCTGAGCAAAAGGCCGTTCATGATCAGCCCCTCTACATTGCAGTGTCATCAAGGCTTATCAACGCAAAAATGCATCCAATCAGACACGCTTGACGAAAAGGGCCAGTACTAACCGGTGGCTGCGGTGGCCCTGTTTTTGGAGGGGCTGACGGTGACCATGAAGCGCACGAGCGCGGCGCCCACGAGGGAGACCAAAAAGACGACGAGCAGGAAGATGAAGAAGTGGGAGCCGCCGTGGGTGGCGGTGAGGCCGGAGAAGAAGTAGACGAACGGCGCGAAGAACACCACCTGGATCAGAGACAGAGTTTGTTGTAAGATACTTCAGGGGAGTTTTGGAGAGTGAAGAAGGTTACGTGGGCGCCGAGGCCGCCGACAATAGAGTTAGAAGAGTACAGACGATGCGGGAAGAAGGAGTTTGAGCAACGGGAGTCGGTGTCATTGAGTGCTTCGAAAAAGATGACCGCCTTGGCGATCAAAAATATGTCGTGGTCAATGCGTCGACTTTGAGGATTGCACAGCTAAAGTAGCGCACCGCCTCTCAGAAAAAGATGATACCGACCTGAAACTCCTCAAGAGTGTCATTGCTCACCACAAAAGGAAACGACAATCGGCATTCAAACGAGTGTGTCCAGAATGGCTTGAAATATCGAGCACTGCGAGAGAAGATTGAATCCCAAGGACCAAGTCTCGAGTTCACCATGTACGCTCACCTCAAAGACAGAGAACGGCACGCCGACGAGCATGCGTAGTAATGCATGGTTCTTAAAGAACCTCACGGGCAGAGCAGACAGAGATTATGCGCCGTGCGCCCTCACCTCAAACACAGAGAACGGCACGCCGACGAACAAGGTCACAGAAAGGCACGGTCTCCCAGCATTACCAGATCTGAAAGAAAGCATAGAACAAAGTCTCAGAGACCGCCGAGCCAGCTCACCTCAAACACAGAGAAGGGCACGCCGACGAGCGTGTCCGCGATGACGTACGGAACCACCCGGAAAAAGCGTGCGTCGCGCTGCTTGTACAGCACCTGCCGCTCGTCGAACTTTGCGGACACGGACGCGAGCGAGTTGAGGACGGGGATCAGGACGGCCGCGAACGTGATCGCGCGCCGCAGGTCGTAGCTCTCGCGGGACGGCGAGTTGGTCACCTGCCAGAAGATGGTTCCCGTCACCACGGCCAGCAGGAGCGCCTGCCAAAGTAGAGAGGAGCGTTTAGTCTCGAGAAAATTCTGTAGAACTTGGTAAGTTTGAATGGAAGTTAGATGGATTGGCTCAAGCGCAAAGAACCAGTCATTTGTCAGAAATGGAGCTAGTAATCATGGCGAGCAGAGCGGCCGCAGGCCCGAGAGGAGTTGGGCCTTTGTCGGGAACGGTGGTTTTCAATGTCGCTCTGTCGAAAATCTTTCAAACACTATTCGAAAAGTTTGTCTCGTCTCTCGTTTGCCAGGAGATAATGCACATCACCACGGCGAGCAGGAGGGCTTGCGAGGTGGAGAGGAAACGTGCCCTTCAGTTGAATCGTTTCAGATTTGGAAAGTCCGTAAAAGAAAAAAGCATGACGCAAGCGCACAGAATCTGGTCCCCTGCCGGAAGATGGTGCCAGGGCACGGCCAGCAGGAGTACCTGCAAAAAGGATCCGAACATCAAACGGCTTGCTTCTCAAGGAACCGCTCGTCAACCTGACCGAGTCCAAGTGAAGTCGCAACTTACCAGGAACAGTCGTGACAGAGTAAGGTACAAGTCCCGGCTCCCAATGGCCCACTGGCGGCCCGCCAGCGTGGCGGCTGACTTGAAGAAGCCCTGCACGTACTCCTTCTCGTACTCGCGGCGATCCTCTTCCAGCAACTGCATCCGATCAGCAAATCACGTTTTAGGGTGCAGGATGCCACACTTCTTTGTGACGCATGAGAAAGTTGTGACAACGTCCCTCTTTCCAAGTTGCTTCAGAGTCGAAAGAGGCGTTCTGTGTAGCTCTGGAATTCATGTACAGCAGACATGAGCAGTGTGGGCGCAAACAGGTTGGCTCATTTCACTCACCATTATGATCGAGTCAGGACAGCAGTAAAAGTCAAGGCCCCGGAAGCAACCGCTCGTGGGGCCCCCGTTAGAAACGTCATTGAGCAACAGTGAGCAACAGTCCGCAGGTCACATATTCAAAAAAATCAAATTTACCGTGTCTACGATTTGTTAACTGCGCCAGAACTCTCAAGGCAGTTCCTTTTTACGTACCTCAGGCAGCGGCCTCTCAAGCTGTAGGCGAACAGGCTCCCTCGACCGCTCAATCCGCTCTTCCACTGCCTCCGCGCTCCGAATCCTGCAAGGTTGAGGTTTGACCACCTTTTCGCTGCAGTTTCAATCTGGATGGACCATCTTGCTAAATCTGCTCGGTTCGAAAGCTGAGCAGCCATTAGCAACATTTCAAGGAACATGGGTGTACCAACCAGTTTGCCGTATTGCCGTCGATATTGGTCAGGACTTTGGTCTCAAGCTACATCAATAAAGCGTGAAACCTGACAAAGGGTCGAACTTTGATAGTGATCAGAGTCCATAGCAACTTTCTCTTTACCAGTGAGCGAATAATGGCACAGTGCTAACACATATATCCACTCAAAAGTCGAAACAATTCGCAACAGCGACGCCTTAGAAGCACCTCGCAATGAAAGATTGCTGCACCACTTCGCTAATCCTCACAATCAGCATTAGTGCAGAGTAGACCACTCTTTGCCATTCAAAAAGCGTCTGGACTCACCCATTCAGCGCAAGGTATTCCAGCTTTCCGTTGGGCCCAGACACCCCCGTGATCTGATCCCCCGGTAATGGTGGGGCGGTAAAGGTCATGGAGCACACGCGCAGGTTGGCCTCCTCGTCTAGGTTGGACACCAGGGCGCCCTTTCCAACACGGGTGTCTTGCAGATGGAGTCCGAGCGGGTGAGGACACGTGGTCCAAAAGGTCAGGTTGGTCTCGGGGGAGTCCACTATACGCTTGACCTGCGGGAGAACGGAAGTGCACCTGGCGTTCAGAGGCGGGAGAAAGCGGGCGTAGAATTTGCATGTCGATCTCAATCAACGATGCAGAGGAGCAAGTCGTGGTCCAATGCGGAGTCTTGAGACAAGACCCACCCGCGTGACTATGCAGTCCTCAACCTTTCCTAGCTTTCAAAATGAGTCCCAGTTTAACATGAGCAACTAGGTCTATGGTACGAAAATTTCTAAAGTCGCTTCATCATGAAGCCGAACGCCCAACGAGGCTTTCAACGTGAAGGGACTCTGACGTTGCCGGAGTTTTTGAGAGAGCCTCTCCGAACTGCAAAGTTGTTCAATTGGAGAAGCCCGGTCTTGTTGGGAAACCCCTATCCAGAGGACCAAACAATTAGGTGGACATGAAACACAAACAAACACACTCCCAGCGTAGACGTACAGCCAAGAATGATTTCGCCCGTGCCCAGTTCCACCCCTGTAAAATCGACTGACCTCTCGGCAGTACTCGGACGTCTCGTACGCTTGGACAAAGCCGTCGGACGACAGCTTGGGGAAGCCCGGCAGCAGGAACAGCTCTCCGGCGCCCGTCGTCACCTCCTGGAGGAAGTCAGCAACATCGCACAAGGGGGGCTTGATGTACCTGCAGGAGGAGGGGGTAACTTACAATCATCGATGATCGCGTTCTTATGAATTCAGGCGCTCGTAGATGGGAAAGAAAGCGTTCGACTCTGGAAGGGGTAGGTACAGTACCAATAACGGTCCTGCTGAAAAGATTGCTAAGAACGACGCGCCTTGATACCAACATGACGTCGTGCACGTTCCAAGAAGAAGTGGCATCGGAACGTGGATGATGTTTCCCCGTTGAAATGGCCCGGAAGGTTTGCAATCTCCACCAGGTCTAATCTACTTAATGGCAATAACCGCGGCAACGATGGCCCGTAAGAAGGGTATAGCAGACGACTTCACAATTGAATAGCCAAACACCCAGCTCCTTGCTCCAGGCTCTGGAAAAACAAGAAGCGTCTTTGCGGGGTAAACCGACGCAGCCCTCGTCTCAAGTTTGAAGCGGAAGAGAAACACCTATCATTCCTGATTCCGCGGAAAGGCCTCGTACATAACCGCATGGAGGATACAAAAGCAACCTTCTGAGAAACGTGGGCATAAAAGAGTCTACTTCTGACTAAGTCTCTTACCCGAGGCTCTGGAAGTAAGAAAGGACGTCTTCTCGGGGGCCCTGGTAAACGACGCGGCCTTCGTGGAGCAGGATGAGGCGGTCGAAAAGATCAAACACTTCTGGCGGGGGCTGCTGCAGCGAAAACAGGTTGGTGGTGCCAAACACGCGCGCCATCGTGCGGATAGCAGCCACGATGTCATACCTGGAAGTAAGCAGAAGGGTCAGAAACCTCAAGGGTTTCGGTTTGAGCTTTACGAGACAGCCGCCTCCTCAAACAAGAGGTCTGATAGGAGTCTAAGACTTGGTAGCATCTGTGTCAATCGTTTCTTCGAATGATGAACGTCAAGAGACGTCCGAAAAGAAACGTTGTGATGTGTATCATGATGAACACTCAGAGATGGTGTTGCTGATCTGTCAAGGACGCCACTTAGCCCGATTCTCTAACCCCTCACGCTCGGCGCCCCTTTCCAGTCACCTAGTCATTGTGCCTTGTTTGCATCGATCGCGCTCTATCCAATCCCGAACTTGTGGTTTCGCCAAACCCGAATCTTATATCACGGCACCAGCAAAGCTTCGTCAAAGGTAGGGCCTCGGACCCTCGACAGCAACCCAATCGACTCAGGATCGACTGTGAGAATAAGACACGGGTGAAAACCATCGAAACGGCACTCACAACGTTCCGTTATCCAGCCCCGTCGTGAAGTCGTCGAAGAAGTACGCCGCATACGTGCCCGCCAGCATCTCTGCGCTTGTGACCCGCAGCCGCTCGGCCGTCGCGAGGCCCTTCGCGCCCTTGCCGAGCAGCGTGTTGCCTGCCGCGGTCAGGCCCAAAAGCTGGAGAACCACCTCCAGGCGAGGGTCCTGCATGGAACATCAGTGAAGGTTAGAAACAGGGGGGGGGGAACGTACATGGTCCACGTCTGGATCCTGAGCAGAGGACTCTTTCGGCTGGAACACGACCTCCGGAATCTGGTCAGACAATGGGTGTATCAGTTTGAGCTGTTAAAATTGTGCGTGCTTCCAAGGTCAACGGGCTAAACTTGACCATCAAGCGAACCCCAAAATCAGACATTCGTGGCGTCACACAATCACCAGGGTTGTCAAGGTACTTAGAGCTCAGGGCCCCAGCGTAGCACGATTCGCCCGCAGCAAACAGGCCCAGCAGTTGGAAACGGATTCTCCACCGAAACACCGCAAAGCTCAACCTTGTAAAGCCCACAACGTCCTAAAAACTCGTCACTGTACCTCCACCGCCTCTACTTATCAGTCCGGCTAGAAAGAGATACTTGAACAAGCAAAACGTCTCTCACCTGTCCCTCCGCAATCGCATCCCCGACAAGCTGTTTAAGCTCTGCCGCGTCCTTGTTTTTGTGCATGCCTGCATCCGTGCAGTCCCGCGCAAACTCGCACGTCTCGCGCACCGTTAGGTTTGCAAGGTGTTCCCGCTGCTCGGCAATGTAAGCGGCGATCCGCTTGGCATTCAGCTTCGAGAGGGGCTGTCCGTTGTAGGTGATCTCGCCCGCTTTTTCGGTGTTCTTGTCCAGCTTGGCACGACCCGATAGGACCTGACGAGCATGAAAGAGGAGTCTCAGAATTGCGGAATGAGTTTGGAGGGGCTGTCGCAACAAATTGCAATTGTTGCGCAAGAGGCTAGATGAGTTAAAAACGGCTATCCTTCATTTATCGAACGGCCCAAGTCCTGCAATTGTCCAGACCGGGAGTCTGGTAAAGCGGCCAGGCTTGACCAATGTGCGATGAAGAAACTCTAAATTTACCCCTGGAAGGCTCTGATTCGTACCCACTTCCATCCACGAGTTGCGTCGTTTGAGGTGCTCAAGAACCCTCGCATAGTCGAAATAACGTTGTGTTGCTGAAGACTCTTTCCCACCGCCCCTAAAAAGACCGAAGCTCAACACTTACCTGATGCAACGCAGTCTTGCCGCACCCTGGCGGCCCAAGGACCAGTGTCAAGCTGCCTGGCATGAGGAACCCCGTGATCCGATCGAGCATGGGAATGATCTTGTGGGGTCTCGGCAGCACTGCATCGCGGAAACGTCCCAGGAACGCCCGCTCGAAGCTGCTGGCGACCGTGATTCCGCCCTCGATCTCAGGCCGGATGCGCGCGGCGTAGATGACGTCCTTAAACTTGATGACCTGCAAGCGAGAATCGGGGATGCCTTCAAACGGTTTTGAATGGCTTCTTCAAAGCGCTTGTGACGATGATTCGTCGGCAGACGACACGAGAGTCAGTGCTTGTGGCTCACTCTCTTTGCACTTATTACATGTCGCTGGATTGAAAGCTATTTCAGGATAGACGGTGATTGAGCCTTAAGGTGCTCCAACTTGATTTTTGGCTACTGCTGCCCTCAAGGTATGCTATCCATACCAACTTGAAACTGCTATAGCACCACGCTTTTCCCAAAACTTCACCAACTGACGTACTGCCGACTCAACCTAAAAGAATCTGCAACAAATCAAATGAAGTTCTTCTCAACCAGCACACCCAGAGTCCCGTTCTGAGCCCCCACCTGCGCCGGCAGCGGCTTCAGCAGCGGTGCGATGCGCATCAGAAACTCGAGCAGCCCGTGCTTGAGCAGCTTCTCGATCCCCGTCAGGTCGCGGTCCTCCTCCAAATCCGCCGCCACAACGCGCTCCTCCACCAACTCTGACGTCAGCTGGATGGCCGTGTCAACCAACCCGTAATCCATAAGCGTGTCGTAAAACTTGGCCACCAATTCCAATAAGCGATCCTCCCCCGCACCAAAGAGGTACCGTTTCAGCTCGTCCGTGAGAAGCGCCGAACCCCCCTGGCCCATTTCTAACCCCTCAAGATCGTGCAACATGTCCACGTTCAGGGGGGTCCGCTCGGTCACACCGTCCTCCTCGTCGGGCCGGTGCAGCAGCCCCCCGTTCGGTTGTGCGGGTTCCAAGGGGGGTGGCTTCGCAACTGGCGCTTGCTGTTCTTGTTCCCGATTCTCCACCCTCTCACTCTGCATCCGTTCGGCCTGTCTCCTTTCACTGTCTCTCTTCTCTGACTCCATCTCTGGCCGTGACCTGGTTGGGCCTGAGTGCTTTGGTAGGAGTTCCACTTCCCCAGAGGGGATTTCCGGCTTCGAGCTGTTGCTGCGGGGGGGAGTCCTCCAACGAGGAAGCTGCTGGCGTTTCTGTGCGCGCTCTTGTGCGGATTCTTGGCTGGCACCATAAAGGGGGCCCGACCTGAAAAGAGCAGGGTATGTAAGAGGTCAGTGACGGACAAGAAAGGCTTGAAGGCTTAATACTCCTGAAGCCGTGAGATATGAGAAAACTGGAGAGAAAACGAGAAAGTGTTTGTTTGAAGACTCATTCATTGGTCTGCATCCGAAGACTATACTTACCGGGCTCTGTACTGAACTACGGCCCCAGGTATGTAAGAGGTCAGTGACGGACAAGGCCTGATGCAGCTTATGAAGCCGAGCTGTGAATGAAGTCACCAGTGCGCTAGAAATGGTTACTTTAATCAGACGGTGGCATCAAAAGACCACCTTCAAAGACGAAAGTGGGCGAGCAGACCACCTGCAATATTAACAGTGAGCTTTCCACCAAGCTCGTCCGACCTTTGAGCAACCACCTCTACGGGGTTCCACCGATTCAGATTGGAAATAAGATCATGACATCTACGGCTTTTCATCAGTCAACTTCTGCTGTCATCGCCGGCGTTTCTTCTGAAAAAGTCCTCAGAAGAAACGCCACAGGAGCGCCGTCCATAAGGCCGCTCAAATCAGAAGGTACTCCGTAAGCAGCATGTCAGCGAACATTCAGACCCTTGGATCAACTCTCAGAAAGATAACCAAGCCCATTTTTGGTGCTGAAAAGGGTAGGGCCCCTAGTCCTTCCTCAAAAAAGAAGAGGGGCCTCCCCAAGCGCAAGATGGACCTACTTCTCAACTCCAACCCGTCATTCTCGCAAAGATTCACAATGACTGACCTCTGCCTTGGCAGTCTCCCGCCCTCGCTTCCGCTGGCCCATCCCCCCTCCGTTCGGGGGGTCGTTTGCCCATTGTCAATCGACCCCAGCTCCCACTGTCCGCTGTTCGACCTTGAGAGCGGCCCGCTCGGCGTTCTGAGCAGTGTCTGACTGGTGCTGCGAACCATCCCTTGGCTGTCGACGGGGACAAGCCTCCCGCTGGTGGTTCGGACCAAGCCCTGGCCATCTGGGGGCAGAAAATGTCCGCTACTAGTTCTCGCAAGGCCGCGTGAGGGGGGGCGCTGGGGATCGACCGGGTCGTTGGGGTTTGGGGGCTGGTCTAGAGGGCCGCTGAAACTGAGATTGTAGTTCTGTGGACCGCTGAAACTTAGGGACCTGAAAAAGCAGAAAAAGGAGTTAGTTGAACATTCTGTAACTCTGATAGAATGCTTAGCTGAAGAGCACTCTGCCGCCTTTTCTGCACTAGGAGCATGTTGCCATCTCGATCAAATATTAGGGTATGATTCAGATTGGTTAACATACTGACAACAGAGATATGCTCCAAGGACTTGCCGCCTGAAAAGCTGCATTTACATGTAGCAGGCTGTGCAACTTGGAACTCGGTTTGAAATAGAGCTGATATCAAGCGAAGGAACACACTTGACCCTACGGAATGGCTGCCACCGTCAGAAGGACAGACACATACTCTGCTTGCAGATAGACTCAACCTCAGTCGACATGCAAGCTGTACCTCGGCAGAGAGGAGTTACTCTCCGAGCGCCTGATGGGAGCGAGCCCTGCGGACTGCAACCGCTGCTCCATCGTGAGCTCCCCGCTGTAGTTCCCGCTGCCCTGGCGGGCCACCTTGACGGGCCATGAGTTGCCCGACATGGTGACGACGAGCTCACACTAGTAGCTTCACCTGCAGAAAGATAGGGTCTTTCATTTTCCTGGATTCTCATTGCTTTAAAGGTACCTTGAATGTTCTTAGAAATTCCTCACTTCCCAAAAGGCGAAACAGGCCGAAGTTGCCCGAGGCAGTGGGACTGCTTCAATCTCGTCACTTAGACTGCACAGAACAGTCTGTGATGTCGCTTTTGGCTCTACTCCAGAAGTGACGTCATGAAAATGGCAGGCTTGGCTACTCATTCGTCAACTATCCAGCAAGGAATGATCTTCTCCATTGTTCTCAATGGAATTGAGGTTTTACCACTGAACTGAAGCGTGGTGATGTCAGGGGCACCGCCCGTGAGACACTGCTTACACTTCCTCACGGACTGAAAACGAACTTGCAAAACAGAGAATATGAGCGTCATGACCTGGCAATCACAACTAGGAAGTCTCATCTTTTTATGAAAGTCTGGGGCAGTGCTCCTTAGAATGGTATGTTGCTATGCAAATATCTGACCAATCTATCTGTCATACCACAGCAACCCAATCTATCTTCGACATTCTTTCAAAAAGTGCTGTGACCTTGTCTTTACTTAAAAGGCTTGTACTTTTGCACACTGAAGGAACCATAGCATACAAAAAGACCAGTTTGAAGAAACTTTCCGACAAACGAAGACCCTCTACATCTAAGGTTTTAAGACAACAGCTGGTGGTACAAAGCTCGGAGAGTTTTTTCTTAACATGCCCATCTAAGCGCCCAAGGAACGCTGACTGTCAACTCAGATTGAGGGCCAGAGGCAAAGGCAACATGTGCTTGAAGAAGTGCAGAAATAGAAACCACATGTGGCAAGGCACGAGGTTTCGCGCGCAGAAATGATCTGCCTGCCATCCAAATTGGTCAGTAGGCTAACTTCATAACTAGGGACAGTCTGCTGGCACAATGCGTTTGCCGATGGACGAAGTACAACAGTGGTGTGTACAAGTGAATGACCAAGAAACTCTGGCTCCGGTTGCAGTGCAACCAGAGCACAGACTCCTTCCAGAGCTTTCGTTATACATTTCTGAAAGCAGTCCGCGAAGCGATTTGGATACAGAGAATCTCTCAATGATATAGGCAAGCTCAAGTGTTTCTGTGCCCCGCTTACTACAAGTAAAGCTTGATCCCATTCTTAAAAGAAATCAAAACTTGCTTCAGAATAAAGCCCAAGGGTTCATTACACGCACCAAAGCAGTGAGTTTTGATCCTCCATTGTCCCCTTGGAGTCTAAGCTGTAACAATGTACTGTCTCAAAACCCTTTAGTCGCGAATAGTGGAGCCGATGATACGTATTGGCCTTTTCCCCTCCAATTCTGGAGGGCACCCTAGACCCGTCCAGTTCTCAAGGGTTTTTATAAGAACTTCTGTAACTCTTTCCCTTGAGCTCTTAACTCAGACTTACTGGACAGCGACCTACCAGACAGCAGCCCCAAGCATTTGCCTAACGGACTTCTAATGAATCAATGCAGAGCACATCAGTGGCCTACGGTGATCATGAACACCTGCTGTTGATACTGCAACTAACAAGATCATTACCATGGAATATCAAGCTCAAATTTCTGCACCCAAATGACAACTCTGAAGTTCAAAGTACGGTATAGCCAAGTCCACCATAGGACGCCAAATCTGACTCCATCTCAGGGGTGACCTGAGTGTACCCACACTCCTACAAAGATGTGGGCCTTCTTACACATTCCAACATCTGACAAACACCAATCCAGATTCAAAGACAGTGAAGAACAGTAACGCCCTCATGTGACCAGCAACCACTTGTCTCAAAACTTTCTAAAAAGTTGATCTTCGAAAGTGACGAAAGGTTTCCAGATCTGGTAAAATCTGAAGACTTCGGCAACTTCAGCCCCAATACGCGCTACAAGGAATGAACCGATAGGTGCATCAGAAGACAGCACTGAAAAACCATTCTTACAAGATGCCGAAAGCTTACCTCTGTGCTTGGCTCCTGCTCACACTTCTCCCTTTACTTCCCACATCTCTCCGCCATGTACTGAGAGGCAAAACCTGCCCAACAGGCAGAAATTTCAGCAATGCACGACTTTGCTGGCCGCAACTTCAAGTGCAGAATTCTGTGAGAGTTAGCTCTACTCGAACTGCTCGAATCTGTATTTCGCATTTGGATGACAGTTTTGTGCGCTGGCCTGGGGCCTTGTCCAAGACGTTGAGGGTGCGCTGACCACCATTTGCAAGGTTCCCCTTTCAGTCGCAGTCCAGATCTTTGTCGACAACACAGCTAGACAGCCACTGTTGTCAGTGCTGACATCACTGCCCGCAAGGTACGGTACACGGAACAGCAACAAACAACATCTGGGCATCCATTGCGAATGTTAATACGCACCTTGGGAACACATAATACCGCCAACCGGGCACTCCAATGGATCGAAGCGTTTACGGCGTTCATCGCAGAGACTAGGTGGCCGGTTGTATGAGTAAGTACTGAACACCAGATTGGTAGTAGCCGCTTTCTCAAATCCTGATTCACGAGAAGGACTGTCGAACTTGGAAGTGGAACAGGGCCCGGATCGGCCTTGACTGTGAGCTCGACACTGATTTGACATCAGTACTAATAGGGCGGTCACATATCGGTTCTCCCTGAGGGAGCGTATGCTCCCTGAGAATCTGCTTTGGTCATATGAGCTGCACGTTGCAACTTGCAACCTGCAGCCTCCGACAGGCCGGCCAGCTGGATGAGAAGACGCATTAAAATTAAATGTATCAAGACTATTTGCTGCATTCTATCATCAATGCTGGACACTCTTCCTTGATACCACTATTTCCCTGTCTTTAAGCAAGGGTTGTGCAGTTGATCGGCGCCACTGCTCAGATGGCGACCAAACAACGGAGCGGCTACCAAACGGCCGACGAGTTTTATGAGCAGGTGAGGAGTTGCTCTTTTGGCAGGCGACTTGATTATCTATGAGCTCGACGATGAGGGTTTCTGCTAGGTTCAAATACTGCTAATGCATGTGCGCATCCTTTCAGTGGGACATATAAGTCGTCCAGAAATTTGACCTGCTGGCATTCGTTTGCCAGAGTTGGTCTAGCTGGGGATATGCTCGCTTCCAAGTTCCAAGTGAAACAAAAAGGCTGCAGGGCGCAATTCTCCTATTCAATTCTCTATTTCAAACGTAGTCTCATTGGCATTGGCTAATGCCGCGATGGCCGCACTAGTACTTTAAGTGGTGTGGCAGTACATGTAGTGCAAATGACCGCGCAGTAAGAAGCTGCTGGTGCTGTATGTCAGCTGCCTGGTGGAAGTTATGTGAAACTTATTTCTTCTAGCTGTAGTGGTGCGACACTGCTTACCACAGGCTACTTGACCACTCACTTGGAATGCTGGTCCTGACCCTGAATGGACTGATCTAAAATAAAGCTGAGTTGGATCTACTGGCTAGGGCGCACACTTAGTTGCACTGGGGCGACATTTGGAGAAAGTATCCAGACCTAGGATTTTCTCTAGCGCACCGGTCACCACCTTCAACATCAAGGATACTGTAATCTGCTGTTTGATGAACTTAGCAAAGGGCGCATCTTCACTGAAACAATAGGAGCATGAGAGGATCTAAAGATGGATCCCTCATTGATTTTTCGCAGTCACCTCCACTTTCTTTGATGGTACTTTCTCTTCGGATCGTACCGTGCAAGATTTGATGCAGTATATCTGTTTTGCAGTATTACCGAGACCGTGCTCGAGAATATGAAGATTCACAAACACCAGTGTTTGGAAAGGGGGGCCCTGTTTCCATCAAGAAGCAGAATGTTGGAATACTGTTGGCGATGGCAGCGGCAATCGGGGCTGTTGCGTTTTGGAACAAGAACAGGAAAAACGGTGACTGACAAAACCACAAAAGCGCAGTACTCGAGTTGTCTACCTTCCTTCCAAGTTCAGTCTCAGGGCCTCTTAGGGGGCCCTCACATGGCGTTTGTCTCTCCAAATTTTTGAAAGATCTTGAGGAATCGCACAAGCCCCTTATTGCCACCTGCAAGCAAGCTCAAGTTCTCCGTCATCCAGCCAAGACTGAAAAGCGGGATGTTGAAGATTGACTGGACTTTACCGTACACAAGAATAAGATCGGTACGTCTGTGACGGCTGCCAACTTCTGCTCCGGGGACGATTATCTGGGGCAACTTGTCTTTGAAGGCTCCGACTAATTTTGGACCTCGTCTCACTTCTCAGCTGCCCGGAAATGCAACCTGGCCTGGTATAGTATTGCCCTTTGAAAGTCCCACTGCCTTCAGAATTTCTGAAGGCTTACCCAGAGCGACAAAGTGGTCTCAACAGAATTGAATGTTAGGTGTTCAAAGCTTTCTTAGCTGATTTCATCTCCGAGTTTCCTTCCCTTGCAATGGAGTTCATTACGACTCTATGCCATTCGGTGGGTTCATAGTCATGCTATCGAAAAGAGTTTAAGCCCAGGTCACTCCGGCTAGTAGCCATCCGAATGAGAGAACTTGTGTGGCAAGTGCATGACGGTCTCCTAAACTTGGATACCTACGGAGCTGGTCCCATAGAATCCGCTGAGGTTCAATATCCGGGCTGATTCGGTGTTCTTATCCTTGATCCAGGCACACGTTTAGGAAAGGAGCCTCGAAAACCGGCCGTTGCAAGGCAGGGATTAAGCGCCGGGGAAGCGGCGGCCCGGGCGGCAGAGAGGCGATTGTCTGGGCACGGAACTAACCAGTTGACCCCATTGGGGAGAGCCCTAGCGGTCGCTCAGAAGGTGGGAGACTCCCTGAACGTCATTCCTTCCTTTGAAAGTCTTTGCAGAGAAACTTGGATCAAGGAAACAGGTCGGTTCGACAGAGAGGTTAGATCTGGTAGGACCCACTTTGAACGAGGCTTCGATAGTAAGGCCTAGTTGTGTGTTCGAAGCACGATCTCCTCATAGCTTCGAATGCCTACAGCTTAGTTGGAAGGCACCAACGCAAGAACTGAAAGCTATCTTGACCCTAGGTCTTATTCACCAATCGCCCTGCTGTTCTTGATGCGATTGCAATTGTGCCTGGATCCAGAGTTGCGTGCTGGCAAAGCACGCAGCAGACAATGCATGACTCTTCAGCTCGTTTGACTGATTCTCGGGCGGGATGCCCCTCTCTTCACACGACTTCATTCAACCGGCTTCGGGCTTTCAGACTAAGCGTTCGGGCTAATCTCGTATCAGTCTGCTGATGAAGTGTGTCAACAACTGGACTATCGAAGAGGAGCTTGTCGGAGACATGGACTTTCAATCCCTGCAGGTAGATGGTTTGGAGGCCGAGGCGAAGACGCTCGTAGAAAGTGTGCGAAGAGTTGGAAGAGTAGAGGAAGATGTTAGCAAAAAGCAGATCACGTTGATCGAGCTGGTGACGCAGGCGCAAATAGAGATGGACGGTATCCAGGTGAGCCGCTAACGAATCACTTTGAGGTCTCGTTCTCGTGCTACAACGTCTTCTCTTCCAAACGGAGCTCATCGAACCTCAAGAGTTGCGGCCGGCATTTGTACATGGGCACTTATGCAAAGATTGACAAATCTTTTAAACGCAGCTTTTTGTTTGCAGGTAGGAGAAAGTGGCCGAGCGGTCAAGAAGGCCCAGATCATTCGGATGGAACGGATCATAGTGGTAAGAACGTAATCAGACGCATCTCTCGCTTGATTTGAGCGCTCTATGCGTCGGCTGTCTAGGGCTTCTTCTGGGCCGAAAAACACCTACCCGACAGCTTTTGGCTTGCATGATAACTAGAGCTGCGGCTGCTTCTGTTATCGAGATGCAAACGGCTAATCCAATCAAAGACGTTGGTCCATCACAAGCGAAATTCTCCAGTTCTCTGATGGAAGCATATGCTCGTTGCAGTCGCTTGAGCAGCTTGCGGAGACTGCGCATAAGGGACTCGCACAGGGAGAGGTCGCAAGGAGTTCCGAGATTCAAGAAGAACAATCGGACGGGGGGCCCTCATAGGTTTAGTACTTGAAGCTTTCGGCATCCTTTGAACCGCCTCTTGCTGATCGGATTGACAAGCATTCGATGTCCATGCCAATCCAGGCACTGAAGCAGGAGTCGCAAGCGTTTCTCGTCACAACGGATAATTGCAATCATACCTCAATCAGGCTTGCAGGTTCAATGGTCTTCACATGTTGCAATTCAAGGCTGCGAGTCCATTGTAGCGATACGCATCTTTGACTTTGTGGAATGCAATTGGGACCGCTGTCCTTTCCGGCCATCACGCGCGTGAATGGTCACTCTTGAGTCAATAGCGTGGTGGCTGGCCCCGTGTGACGTACACAGCCAGATTTCTACTCATGTGACATGGTCGTTTTCCTTCCTGGACTCGCAGCTCACGAGCTGGCGGGCCGCATTTGGTAAGGTTAGGCAATCTAGCCAGCAAATAATACTATTATGCTCAGAATTCTTAAAGGTACAACGAAGATGTGGTGATTGCCAGCTGTCTAACCTGGACGTCATGTTTCGGATACATGGCCACTCGGAGCAGATACCTAAAAGTTTCAAGGAGCAGCCTTTCTTCAGTTCAAGGTTTCACAGGACGACCCGATGCAGGGGAGCTTGCAAGTCACCGCAGTGCAAGCTTGGGTTAGGTTAGGACGCCAGGTTAGCGTTGCTGGCTCGAGCATGGCCCCGGACGACGGTTAACCAAAGCAGGTTCTGAGTGAAACTTCGGACAATTTGAAGTTTCGTCTTCATATGTAAATGTAGGATAGATATTATGCAGGAGCTTGAGAAAGCCATGCAAGCAGCAAGCAGCAAGCTGAGCACAGCTCAATCAGGCTTGGCTTGATCAGCATAGCAGCCCAATCGAGTGCATCCTTCTACCAAATGAAGTTTTGAGATGCCTGGCCCACGATGAACACGCCACGCAAGCATACAAAGCGCCCCTTCCGGAGGCGGAAGAATGCCCGGCCGTCCTTTTTGAGCAGGGTGCTGCAATTCGGTGCATATTTGCTGGTGTTTGCGCTTGGCGGTTGCTATCTAAAAGTTGCATCCCACGGCGGCTCGTGGCCATTTAAAACTGAGGCTGCGAACACGGTTGATAAACTTGGACGGCAGGTTGGGGGCCTCCAGAGGAAGTTCGGCGGCCTTGCGTCGCAGGGGTTTCAAGTGCTTGACCATGAGAAGGGCGAACAACTTAACCAGGTGAACAAAGGCGGCCAGAAGGAGTCGGAAGGTGTCCAGGGCGATCACCAGATTGAGGAAGCGGTGATTCAGCGAGCGGGCGAGCGAGAGAAGAAGCTGCAGGAAGAGCAGGATGCATTGGGGGTTGACGTCTCGGACGAGGCAGACAACGGGCTTTGGGAGGGGGACTCCCCCACAGAGATAGGATTAGCACTGCACGCTTCGCAGGAGAGTGGGGACAAGGGCTTCAAGAGAAGCTTCCAGCTTCCTTCTCGTCGGCGCCAAAAAGCGCCGGGGCTAGTTTCAAGGGTGGCAGTGGGGTCATGCACGGCGAGGACCGACATTCCGCAGCCCGTCTGGGAGCAGGCCGTAATCCCAGCTGAACCGGATGCGTGGATTTGGTGAGGGTTTCGGTCTACAGATATTTTGTGTGAAGCTTTCACAGCAGAGAAGACCACCACCCAAAACTCACCAGTCTCTCGCTGACCTAATAAGGAAGTGCACCCATCTGGATGATTGGTAGTTAATGTGGACGCCCTTTTTCCCCCCGACGACTTCAGTAGAAGCTGGACCGTCAGCTTCTACTTTTCTGTAGAAGCTGACATTTGTCCTTTTCCACGCTTGGACCAAACACTTCCATCAGGACAAATCCGAGTACTTTTTCAAGCACACCAAACGCTCCATTTTCACCGCAGGGAGACTCCTTGTGTTGCGCCCAGTCGCTTCACATTCTTTAAGACATTTTCTTGAATAGCTTCAAAGCTTGAGGTTTGGCAAAAGAGACAGATCCTACAGGAAAGTTCTTCGAATCTTTGACAGGAGAGCAAGATAACCTGGCTGATTTCCACTCATTCCGACGTCCCTCTTCCCACCGAGTTTGTTGGAAAGTTTATACAATGGAAGTTGTATTCCTGAAGATATCTCCAATATTGTATTGGAAAATAAATGCGTCTTCGTAGATCTCATGCCAAGTCTAGATGAAGAAAGCAATTTCATGCAGGGCGGGGGACCTCGCATACTTGGACTGGCCGGACGTTGATTGCCGTGCATCACCTGAACACCCCAACTGCGATTGCGAGAAGGACTGGCTCAAGTCCTCGTACCAGTCCTGCCTCTCAGGTGAGACTGGCAACCCCAGCATGGTCCATCAGGGAACGACATGACTTAGGAGGAATGTGCGTGTGCATAGTTGGAAATCGGGTCCTCGGCAGACATTCTCTTATGTACTGGTGGCTGAAAGCTCCTCAAGTTGAGAACAATGCGCCCGGTATACTCCCATTTCATGATTTCAAGAGGTATACTTTTGGCCACTAACTTGGAAGCGGTTCAAGACAACCCTTGTCTTTCTGGCTGCCAGCCGGGTCGGAAGAGCCCTTTGTTCGTTTGAAAGTTGGCAAAGGTCCTCTCGACCGAGTCAGGGTGCTGTTTCAATGTTGCCTCGTTGAAATAAGTTGCATCACGCAGTGGATACCAACATGAAATGCTCTAAGGACGATGAAAACCTGGTTACACAATTGGCGGGCATATCTAGAAGGCACTTTCAGTGAGGGCGCCTGGTCATCATTCGAACTGTAACGTAGGTCTACTTGTAATCACAGCAATCCCTCCCCTTAAACATTTCCCTTTGAGGAAGTCCACTGCTCAGCGACATCCTTTTTCTCGTCCTCTTGCGTTCAGGCCTTATGCGCACTAGATTGAAGCCTTCGCTTGAGAATCTTCGACACACTGATTTAGAATCAAAGATACGGTGAACAAATTTCTTCGAATTTGCAACGCAGCTCTAGCCCTTGGTTAGCTCTTCCACCTTCAATTCACCAGAACTTTGTCAGTACTTCAAGACACCCGTCGTCGTCATCGTTTCGAGGCAGAGTTTTCTTGCATCCGTTTTGCACAGGCGACATAATGCAAGCGCGCGCCAAACTGCTTGTGCAACTCGAGCAGCCCAAATACATCATTCCGAACATCAGTCCGCTTATAAATCCTGCTTACCGATTGAATGCGACTTCCGCGACCCCCGGACAGGCGACATGACCCATGCACGCGCCAAGCTCCAAGCGCAGCTGGAGCACCCCGACTACGTGCGCTTCCTCCGCTACATGTGCCCTGCGTGGCAGCCGCACGGGCTCTTCGGGCCCGACGGCGCGGACCCTGCTCTTTGTCCGAGAACGATCCTTGGCACGTGGGACGATCACGACTACAACTGGCAGGACGGGAACCGGAGGCTCCCCCGGAAAGAAGCGCAGAAGCAGCTGTATCTGGACGCGCTGGGCGTTCGGAGGGACGATTCGAGGCGGGAAGTTGGCCGGGGGCTGTATGCGAAGGTGAGCTGATGGGGCCCGATTGAGGGCAGGTTTTACAGTTTGTTCAGAGGACGGTTTTGCTTCTTGAGGTTCTTCGAGATTATTTGGATGGCCAAATCAAAGCAATCATGTTTGGCTGCGCTGCAGGTGCCAGGGGATGGTGTGAGGCGAAGGTTTACACGAGGATAATGTTCGGCAGGGAATTAGCTGTTTGCTGTAAGGTTCGGTCTAGAGTTGCCCCGGGTGACGCCTTCCTGCTCCCAAGCAGCGGAGCGGCGCTTTTCGAGACCCCGATTGATTTGTCCGCAGACTTGCCTCTGACTTCGTGATCCGTAAATCTTCAGCAATGCAACTTCTCGAGTCCTGCAATTCAACACAATCAGCTGCTTCGGGCCGTTTGGCCTACCACTAGTACATAGTCGTGTCTCCATCGATGAAGCTCTATGAATCTTGCGCACATTCCTTGATACTTCCAGCTTTCATTGCAAACGGAACTCAATTGTTTCCCCTCATTTTATGACTTCGTGCCGCTTCTTGAGGCGAATTCGTGTAGCATCCCTACGAAAGTCGAAATCGTGCTTCCCGCGTTCTGCAGCATACCCTCAATCAGGGAGTCGCCGGGAAGGAGATCGATGTATTTTTGTTGGACGGGCGGTACTACCGGGACCCCAAGCCGTGTGCTCTGCGTCGGGACTTTTGCGAAAAGATGGTGCTGACGGACCCAAAGAAGGACAAGTACGCGTGGTAAGTTCCCCTCACCGCTTCAAAGCGTTCTTAGCGTTTGCAACCAGATTGGGCGACTCTGCTGCGTGCTGGCCTCTGTGAAAGGTTGAAGCCGCTCAAGCATTCAAGGAAGTTCGATTCACGTCTAATTCATACAAACCATGTGTGATTTTCTTGATGGGGCGACTCACTCAAGCGCCTCTTCACACAGACCCGTCTGTCCATTCCAATGGCCTCTCCAATTTGGGCAGCGAAGCAAACCGAAGCGACCCGCCCCTTTTCCTTCCGAGTATTTTCCACATAATCTTACTTGTGTCCAACTAGGCGTCGACCTTTTCCCTTGTACAGGTGTCACGACTTCCTGCACGGGGGCCGGAACGGCACCGGCAGTTGCTGCAGAAAAGACGAGGCTTTCCGCGACGGCTGGTGCCGGCTCGAGTCCAGCCAAAACGACTTCCTGTGGGCGTCCGCATGCGACCCGACGTCGGCATCGTTCGGACAGATTCGGACGCGGCTGGAGTGGCGGGAGCACCTGGACAGGATGGCGCTTGTGCGGGTGGAGAACGAGAGCGGGGAGGGCGGGAACGAGAGCGGGGAGGAAGACGAGGAGGAGGGGATGATGTGCGAGGTGAGGATTTTGCGAGAGTCGAATTTCAAAGTCTGCTGACTATTTTGCCGATGGTTTCTTTTTCTGTGGACCAATCATTGGCTCGGCGCATATTGAGACGAGAGTGGGGAGGGAGATACGGCGGAGGGGCTGATGCGGTTTGTGAGGGGTAGTACAAGCTCGTCCGGCTTTCACAGAGTTTCCAGTACCTCCGCTTATGTTATGGGTGGTTATCTGCGGACCAAGATTCAACTGGCGCAGAACGGGAAACGAGGCCTGCTGTTGTGGCAGCAGGAGGTCGGGCCAAGTGGATGCAATTTCAGGGCTGAAAACACGAGTTGCTCGAAAAGATCAAGCAGAGTCAGCTTGCAGCAATGACAGTCAGGTTTGGGGCGTCCGATCTGACGGCCCAATAGTAGGCGTCCACATAGAGAACTGCCATCCGTTCAAAGAAACGGCCAAAGCTATCCAAAATGTCGCCGCTCGTCTTCCAGGCGATGAAAATTTTGGTGCTGACTCCTGAGAAGCACGCGTCTTCCTGTCTCGCCTCTCTGTAGCGGTATGATTTTGCTTGGAAGAGTTGCGCATCAGCCAGGCAAGAACCTCACGTCGATTGCAAAGTAGCGAACTTCCTTTCAGGTTGGCACGATGTCCAAGCCAAAAGTCTTTCTCATGTCATCAGATACACGCGAGAGGCTGTCTTCTTTCGTGTTGTGTTTATTACGGTGAACTGCCCTGCAAAGTGGATTGAAGTGTTATGCGGTGTGGGCAATCAAGTTCTCATCACTTCTCGTGAGAGTTCTCGCCACTGCCTCGAAGTAGTCAGGAACAGAGTGGCTCCTCTTTGGCAAGGACGAAAAACACAGTGGGCTACTCTTTGCCCACTCATCACCACCAGGATGCCCGCTATTATCGACACTATTGGAAACACGTCTTTCTAACATCGGGGGCTTCACGGAATGCTTGTTGGTGGCGCCTGACAATGGGTGGACTGACACCGTTGTACCTCTTGCAAATACAGCATTCCTTTCAAAACCTTCGAAACGCCGACGAACACGTATGCATGCAAGTGGGCCCGACTATCCAAAGGAAGCTTGGGGCCGGGCGATCGCTCATTCGCCAAATGCCTGGATTTTTGACTACTCTAACGGCTGTGGGCTCCAATGCGGAATAGCCGCATCTTTCTGGACTCTTCCTGCCGCACAGCAGCGAGTGCGCTTTGGCCTTAAGGACGTGCGTCTGACCTATTGTCTGCTTGTTACTCGCCCTGTGCTCTGTGGAGTCGTCCTTTATCTATCTATTGGGATGTAGCCAACGGCAGGGTTTTTGCTTTTGCTCATGCTCATGGATCTCGTTCATGGAAGCTTTTTGTTATGGGCGTATGATTACATGCCAGTACCTTTTGTACTGCCTGGCTGTACATGCAAATAGTTGGTCAACCTAATTGAGTCAAGCAATCTCGCATGACCTTTGCGCTATCGTGCGGCGTCAGCTTACATTATTGACGTTTTCTTCTGGGACGCGTGCTGGAGCCTAAGAAGCACTTTGCTAACAAAGGGCGGGCGCACTATTGGAGTTTTTTGAAATCTTGTCTGTCTCGTCGCTAGCTGTTCAAACGGTGTGATTGAGACTATGTTGTTCAGCGCAGTTGGCAATGACGACGTTCGAATAACGGGCGCATGCTGAAGCCCAGAAAAACTCGTTGCTTGCAAGAAGCCACACCGTCCCACTTTATCCGACTTCCTCTTTCCTGTCGACAGTGGTTAGGTTAATGTACTGAGTCGAGCAAAACGTCTCGAAGCGCGCAGGGCCCTTGAAATCAATAGTTGCTTTGGTGTGTCGATTGCTTTGCCCCAACCGCATGGGCTCCCGCGAGGCAGGCGAGTTGCCTAGGATGACTTGAAAGCACATTTGCGAAGCCAATCATTTCGACAGCAGTTTCGATTGTGCTCGGCAATTGGTTGGTGTCAAAGACCAGGCGTGTTGTGGCTGTGACGATGGCTGACCGTCATTAACACAACAAAGAGGTTTCTCCAAAAGCTTGATGCCCATGAGCGAATTTGGTTTGGTTGCAATATGAGGGTGAATTGCCAATCGCTTGACAACATCAGTCATAAGATCAGACCGGCTATCAGTACCCTTCTTGTTTCTTGCATGGATGCGGTGTTTGCCAGGATCCTTTTTGATATTGGTTTGGGATTCTTGAATGTTTTTGGCATAAGCCAGCAGCGTTGTTCACCTGCAAGCCGGCCCGTTGCCCTGCATATTGTACTCGTTGAAAGAAATGTGTACCCGATATTGTTTTCATCGATGGAAAGCAGCGATTGTCTTTGCACGGAAGGCAATTGAAAAATCAGGCCGTGACGAAGTATGCAGTGGGGGTCGTTTTCGCACACATGTGCTTTCAGCGCTGACAGAGGCCACTTGTTGCATCTTTGGGATAGTGGTCACGGGACCGCTTAGATGGCTCGGCGCTCGAATCTCTGCAGTCAAAGCGTGTCTATGAAACTTCCGCACCTATCTAGTCGGACAATTGCGTGGTTAACATCGCAAACCAAGTTGAGGCGACACTTTAATGTCGTGTGGCCAATTCGCTTCTCCTGCAGTTGTTCTTACCTTCCCCGTCCGACTCTCTTGACAGTCTGTTGTCCGGAAGTTATTTCTTGCCCGGCTTATGAGAATTCTGGTATGCTGTCCCCAAGTCTTCCTTCTACATATGCCGTTTGCAACCCTTTGATTCTTTGGTTGGGACACAAAACACAGTTGGGCTCTTTCTCTTTCTAGAGGGCCTGTCAGCATACAATGCCGCTTTGCTCATGCGTCATCACGTCCGGTCATAGAGGGGGAATACGATTTTTAAACTCAAGGTTGACGAACCCCACCATTGTCCGATGACCTTCTTCCAACCAAAATAACAGGAGACACGGTTAGGACCCCTGAATATGGACCCGGTCACCGAGTTTCATTATCGTATGCCACACCTGGAAATACGCCATGCAACTATCCAACCTGCCCTTTTTCTTTGGATATGCAAAGTTGCTTCTTTTGAGTTTATATGTCACTCGGCGCCTGTTTGTCGGAAGAAGATCTGCGGAAGGTTTCGACTCTGTGTCAACTTCCATTCGAATCCTTAAAGAGCTTGCTGTAACCTGGCTTTGGTTCTTTCTCGTCGTTCTCCCCTAGATCTACTACGAATTCGGTGGCTTTGAGACGATGATAACGAATGCTGGCAATGGCGAAGTTTTAGGTGGGGTCAACAGTTACCCCACTTGAGGTATGGTTGCTCCAATGCCAGTCAGATCCTGGGAATGCTCTTTCGCCTTCTTCCAGCAGAATCTGGGATCGGACGCCTTTCGGGCAATGTATGTTCCTGGTGTCTTCCTTGTGCGTCGTCCACGGACCCGTCAAATGAGAGGTCGTGCCCTGTTAGCAGCTTGGGATGTCTCCCAAACCGTCTCGCTTGAAGCTACAGCGTCTGGCAGCTATCGGAAAGTTTGGGGACTCCGAACCTTATCAGAGCCCGCGGTTTCAAGAGCGTCACGAGAGGCTTCCTGGCGTTGAATGGGCTCTGATTCCGACCAATAGCTAAATACCGAACTAAAATTGCAATGGCATACTGGGCTGGTCTTCTCCGCACGCTTGGCAATGTGTCGGCCACGCCGTGTCATATTGCTCCAACTTGGTGACTTTTATGTCAGCCTGTGCACCTCGGAAGTGGAGCTGCGTTCAAAATTATTAAATGGCCTTGACGACCAACAGTGCTACGAGATGGTAGCACGGTAAGGATGGTGGTACAGATGCCAAAGCTTAACGAGACTCCGTCCAAGTGACTGGTGGGGGCACTGGGGAAAGTTGGTGACTGGCGGTTTGTCTCGATCGTGTTCGTCGAACCCCTCTCCAGAAACTGTTCTTTCGTTACATTCGGACGTGGTCACCCCGAGGGGATTGCCACACATGCCTGCGCTGTCTGAGCAATGGTTCTTCTTGCCACGGGGGGCTGATGGTGTTTGTCGTCACCTTTGACCTGCTGGACGAACATTTTACTCAATCTTAGGAAAAGCGTTATTTCAGGGGCGTGGCGTTAGTGAGTCTCCGGCGTCATTAGGAGCAAACCACTATTGCTCCTTATTCAAGATCGGGTTTCACTTCTGGCTATGACGACACTAAAACCTGGGCTGCTTGTGCAGCACAGTTGGTTGATGTAGACTCGGATGTCACCGAGATTCTTGTCTAGCACCTGATTGACGAGGGCGCTTTCGTGAACTGCTGCGCAGGGCAGAATTCAGTGCACCTGTCCCTAAGATTCGTAGGAATGCGCGATGCAAGGAGAAATGAAGAATCTGCAAGGCACGAGTATGCAAGTCCACCATAATTCTTTCAAATTACCTGCTTGCAGTAATTTGCACGCTTCAAGCTGGTTCTACCTGCCGCAACTCGTTCCTCCACCGTTTTAGAATATCCTCATTTCATGGAGGTATGGCTGTAGGGGAGCTCGTATGAGAGTCTGTTATTATCGTTCAATCAAGAGCTTTTCGACGACGTACCTCATCTTTCCTCCTCCTGCGGATGGTTGGTGTGCATGTTGGCTTCTGCTCGAGAGCTTGGATCCAATGACCGAAAGGGGGCAATTGTTTGCATCTCCTTGCGGGGTTTCAACATATCCGCTGAGTTGTCGAGTGATAGATGGAATTTAGCGGGCTTATTTGGCAACCTGAAGTTCTTAATCTCTCTTAAATTGGGCGTATGGTGGCTTCGATAAGACTGTCTTGGTTTACCTTCCACCAGACGAAACGTCGTCTTGCCCGTGGGCCAGCAACGCTTCCGTATTCTGGTATGCACTTCTCTCTGTCAGCAACCCCCGAATGTCTTGGCTCCAAAATATTGAGAGGCCGCTGTTTCCTGCCTTCTCAGGGCTGCCCCACGGATACAACCATTGCGAACAACGCTGCCAGATCGTAGCAGGCCTTCTAATGCGAGGTTCCTCGAAGTTTTGATGATTGCAGGCCCTAAGTCGAGAACTCTGTGGTTGGAATCCATCCATATCCTTTCGACAACAAGCACACTGGCAGTGAAGAGACTCAAGCTGTTCTGCTCTAAGCAGAGGAAGATTCTGTCTCTGATGCCAGGGATGCGCAGCTATTATGTGTTCTGCTGGCTGCTGAATATGCCCACCCCTCTGGGAGCAGCGTGCGAACATTTGTTTCGCCAAGATCAGCGGTGCGATAGTTTTTTCAAGAAGCCAGGCAGCTCGCAAGGAACGTGGCGGGCTGGGAGTGACAATTGTGACGGCACACATATTGTTTCTCTCGCACGCCAGTCGCTCTTCCGGCCTAAAAGTTGATAACCAATCAACGAATCTCCGTGGCTCTTATCTAAATCGACGTGTCCTGCCAAGTGCTTCTGCTTTCCTTATCGTTTTTGGGGTCTTGCTAATGTGCGCTCTGCGTGGGGCAAGGCTCTCAAAGTCATCAACTCTAACTCCTTAAGATACGTCAGCACCTCTTGATTTTTATAACTTAGATCTCTGCTTCTTAGTCTCCCATGCTTGAACTAGCCCTCGTGATATCTTATTGAGTTGCCTTTTTATGACCTAAGCACTATGGGAGAAGCTCGCAGTGTGTATCTCTTGTAGATAGACCGTAAGCGCGGCGCTTTGCAAGTGCAATTCAAGATCCGGACATATTCGGACGGATCTCCTGCATAAGCCAGCGGGGATAGAGAGAAAATACAAGCTCTTTTGTGGTTGACAGACGACATGCAACTAATCGGTTGGTCGTGCTGGCCCTCTTTGGCCTCTTGGATTTGTTGCTTGATATGTCTTGGTTGTGCTCTGTCTCGTGGGTCAGTGATGAGCATCTGTTTGTTCGTTTGGTTTGATGTGCAAGGCCGTCTGTGCAATAGAGTGGACATAGGCCACGGAAAACACCCAAAGCTGGTTCTTGGTGGCGATGAAAGAAAAGGCGTGCACGAGCTCATTTCAGTCCAGCTCAACGCAGCCTGATCCAGCTCTGAGCCATCACGTTCACAGTGGAAAGTCAGTAAGCCCGCCTGCTTCTCTTGGCAAGGTAATTGCCTCGTTATATGCATGAGAACTTGGCCGAAGATGGATTGACCGGCTGCTGGCATCCACGGACCCCCGAAATTTGCATACCCAGCGAACGTTTCTTGCTTCAGTCGTCCTTTGTTTAAGTAACCTTGTATCTTTTTCGGTTCTGGTCTGGCGGAAGTTTCGGTAGGATTGTAACAACAACTGTCGGCTGCAGTGCGTCAGAGACTGTCTTTGGGTCACAATATCTTTTGGAGTACGGTCGGTACTTGGCAATGAAAGATTTGAAGAAGCTGGGCGACAAGAATGCTCATTCACTCCATCTGAGAAGCCACCAAGTTACATCCATTTCAGACTGTTGGCTTTTCTGTGGACGGTATGTCAGCACTTTAAACGAACGATCGCACATACTGCACTTGCACGTCTTCCCTTGTCCCCTCATGTTGAGCTATTTCCAGAAAGCTGCTCAGCACCTCTTTCAGGATCATTTACTCAAACGATTGTTGGTGTCAGTCGCCAATCCCACCGCGGTTGCTTCCGCTCAGTCCTTGCCCCGACCCATCAAAGGTTCAAACCTTCAAAGAAGCTCCGCCGATCTTTGGATTTCCTACTCCTTGCCTCGGCCCTCAAGTTTTTCCTTTTTCGTGAAGATCCGCCGATGTATTCTCTTTCTCCCCCTCTCAGGTCCTCGGCCACGAGCAGCGGCTCTGGCTGACGACCGAGCTCCGCGCATCGCGCGCGCCCCTGAAGCTGGTCGTTGTCGGTTCGCCCGTGTTCAACAACCCCTCCCAGACCCCGTGCAAGGGCAAGGTCCCGAAGGACTTGACGGCGCCCGTCACGTGCCCTTGCTTCGACGACTTCGACTGCTACCGGCCGGCCCAGGTAATCAACCTTGGTTAGACCGTTGATAAAAATGCAGTGGCAATGAGCCCACGTATGGAAAAGTACTGCTGTAATCTTCAACAAAAATTTACAGCGGTCAATGAATTTGCTTCATAAACGCCCTTTTCAGGGATATCTAAGAAGGTAATCGAGGCCAAGTCTTCAACTTCGTGGTTTCTGTAAAACCATATATTTGAAGAGTATCTCTGAATAAGCACCAGTGGAAAATGACGTGCAGAAAATGACGTGCTTTGCACCCCAACCCACCCTAAGCCCCATACTAATCCCGCCCGGATTTGTCAAATTCCTTAGTACTAAGGTACCTTAATGTTGATACTGTTTACTTTGACCTCAGGTCGCGCTCCTCCATGCGCTCGCGAGCGCGCCCGGGTGCCCGGTTGTAATCACCGGGGACTTCCACTTTTCGGATCTGAAGGTTTTGCGACCGGGAAAGAGTTTGTACAGCGAAGAGTATCAGTCGGAGGGATTGGAAAAGCCGATTTACCAAGTAATGGCGAGCGGGCTGACAGTGGACACTGCTAAGCCTGCCACGTGTCAAGGTTTCCACAGAGATCGGATGGGGCTGCGAGTGCCTGGAGAATGTGATTTTGTGGCTGGGCCCGCGTTCGGGGTTGTGGAAGTTGATTGGGAGCAAGAATTGGTTAGCTTGCAGATCAGGGACGGGAGCGAGGGGGAGGTACGAGTGGAAACTAGCTTCCATCTCGGCACGTGCTTAGAGAAGGCATCACTTGCACAGCGAACTTGAGCTCAATTGGTGCGTTATGCCAGCTAATACTCGCAATATGCTGTCAAACCAGAACCTTGCTAGGCGAAATAAAAAAATAAAAATAAAAATAAGCTCAGCAACGCAGTCAACAACGCATGCCTTTTGGTGAACAGGCCAGGTCTTGCACGAGAAGCCGTCCAAAGTTTAGATGTTTTCCGGTGATGCAGGATCTTTCATCATCAAAGTCCCCTGAAGGCACATGTGAGCACGATATTTGCAAAGACAAGCTCTTGTGTATGCATATACTAGATAACCTTCAATATTTGCGATATATACAGCGAGCTTGCAGATCAAGCATCAAAGCGAAGACATGTACTGTAGCTATAGTCAACGGAACGGCAATTCTTCAACATATTAAACCTCGCGAATTGTGCACATGCCTGGCATGCCTGCTGGGATATCGAGCCATGCAGTAAAAAAGAATACACTGTGCATGCTACGCACGGTGATGCATGTTAAATTCCGCTGGATGGGCTGATCTTTCATGCAATGATGTGTCATGGATACATATCTTTACATGATGCCCTTGCACACTAGGCATACGTCATCGTGCATGTATTTACCATATGCGAAATCAAGACGGTCGGTCGACACACCGGTATTTAATAATTGATTGATCTGTCTGGGAGTTTTTCGACCTTTAAGCCCAGTGAGTACCGCCATGCAAGCATGCATCTATAGTATACATTGTTATACTGGGATCATTTGCGCAGAATTGGATACAGCACATCAGTGCCTAGCCTATAGAGCTACCGGCATGGGCGTCGGAGCTCACAATCAAGATCGCAGCCTGCATATGTTGACGGGCCTGCATGTGACTTATATCCGGTATCAATCCAGTACGATGCTATGATGTACATAGAAGCATCATTCTCTAAAGTGCACAAGGCAATATAGCACAGAAGAAAACATGCTTCAATGGAAGCAATGCTCAGGCATATGGCACATCCATATCTCATGTTTCAACTGCGGTAATGCTGAAGAACGGCCGTTTGAGCATGACGACTTAGAAGTGTAGCACACAACAATGTCAGTCGTCTAAGAGTGGAGCTGCCCACGTACCGCTGTTTGTGGCAAGAAACCACATGCAGAAAAACGCCTTGCTAAGCACCTACTCACAGTATCGTACGCACATCTACAATAGGAGCCAAGCACCCCTACAAACTGCTTTCACATAGTGCGGAGCCCCATATGAAACCAGGGCACCAGATTTGAGCCACCTAGTAGCAACTAGACCTCGACTCGAGTCCCTACGCTTGTCCCTTGGTATCAGCCATCGCAACCTCCAGCGTCCGCGTCTGCTGCGGGCGCGGGTACGCCATGACAAGCAGGTGGGTCCCTTGCAGCCGGCTCTTGCTCTTTTGCACGTCGATGCTCGACTGCAGCCCGATCTCATACCGCGTCTCCTCGGGGAACGTCTCGGTCCCCTTGACAATCACCGTCAACCTTCCACAGTCGGTCAGCTCCACAGTCACTAGATCGGGCGAGTTGGCGTGCCATGGCAGGCCCAGCTTGACCTGGAAGAACGGACGCTTGCTCGCCTGGCCCAGGATCTGGCAATCTGTGACCGGGCGCGAGCCGCCGTCCGGAAGGATCTGGATGGCGAACGCGCCGAGCGGGGGCCCGCTCTTCTTGCTGTTGGCCTTGGATGACTTGGACGAGCGGCTGACGCCCGTGATGCCGTGCTCTTGGCGCTCCTTCATGGTCATGTGCGTGACGCCCTTCTTGTACGTCACGGGGTGCTTGTACTCAGCCTCGCTGATGTCCAGGCTCGCACGCCCAACCATCTGACGGAACCTGGGGATTGGAAGAGGGATATGCTCTGAGTAGGCAAGCAGATGCACCACTGACTGGGTAAGCAAGCTAAGCTCGACGAGGCCCTAGGGCTTGTATCCAGGCCGTTCTGAGATGCTTTAGTCATATTTGCAAGCAACAGCACAAAAACCTGTACAGATTGAGAGCCAGAAAATCAGTATTGTGAGCTGGTAAAAAATGCAGCCCTGGAAGACTCTAGGACTAATCGGAGGTGAAGCAGGTCCAAAGTGGTCCATGACAATTGTTGTAGCCTCCAAGGATACAGAGCAAGATATGCTATGGAGAAAGAGCTGCCTGCCAGTGGACCTAAAGCAATGAACCTGTATGGCATTTGAGAAATTTGCAAGCAGATCAAAGAGAACTTGAATACAAAAAAGTCAATGATGGTGTCTCGAGAGCAACACAGTCTTGAGGATCTGAAGATGGACGGAAAGGGCACGATGCAGACGCCTAACAGAGTTGAACAACTGCACAGAGCTTCTGGGCCTCACCGTTGTGGAATTGTCTTTCTGTATTCTGGTCTAAAGCGAAGGTCAAGCAAGGCCCTACAGAGAGGAAGCTTTCAGGACCTCTCAGTAAACAGCAGCACTCTTGGCAAATTTTGGCCCCCACAGAAAACAAGGACCTTACCATTCGATGTCATCCTGGGTAAGATCCACGTTGTTGAGGTCAGGATGGTGCTGGATCTCCAGGCCGTGGATGAGGCGCAGCCTGGTGAAGTCATCCTCCTCCACACCAAGCTCGGGATACAGCTTGGCCACACGAGCGGAGGAGTGAATCTCCTTCTGAGGATAGCTGACCTCCCCTGAACGCACAATTACATCCAGGTAAGAATTGCGGGAACAAGTGTCTTTGTAGAGGACGTGGCTCTTGCCATAACGCAGAATAAGTTTCGAATGGAGGATTGCCAGGCACTTCCTGCTTTTGTCTGATTCACCTGGACAAAAGGATGGATCGAAGGGCTGAAAATGATGGTAAGCAAAAGAGCGTGTAAACACCAGGCCCTCAATACTGGGAAATGAGCCAGTCTGAGCGAAGATGCAAAAGAACACCCATGAGAACAGCGGTAAAAAGAAATACCTCTGCCAAAATGCACATGAGTGAACGCGACAAACAATGCAGTGAGCTACTCATTTATGGCAGGCAAAATAGCAGGCGGAAGTCTGTCTTGGCAAGGAAGAGCACAAAAGCCAAAGCAAGTTCCAGCCTCTTCTATGTTTGGTAGTAGAAAGAGCAATACATCCTCCCACCTATGTTGTCTTTATGGGGCCCTGGTCATTGAGCACCGAGTACAATGCCTTACCTTTCTCTGGGAACACTTTCCTCAGAGCCACAAACAGTCCAGTGGCACTCGTGTTGTCCAGGGCTAGGGTCCTCCCATCCAGTTGAGGCCCCATGGTCTGGCCCAGCCTGGCATCAGCCTCAGCAACCTTCTTATAGTACAGATTTCCAATGAAGACCTTGGGAATCTTGATGCCAGGATGCCCCACATACTTGGTTTCCGCAGAGAAGGCTCCATCGGTCTTCTGCCTCTTCCTGAGAGGCTCATCTGTGGGGATGGCAGCTGCATGCTCGACCGGGATGGCCGTCCCCTTGACATAGAGTCGCACAAAGATGTTGGCAAAGCGGATACGGGCGGAGCGCAGAGCACTTTGAACTGCAAGGTGAACAAGGACTTGTCATTAATAGGTCGTTTGCTGAATATTACAATCGGACCTATGCTGTGACTGTTCCCAAAGAGTAAGGCCACACTCTGCTGACCAAATGACGTATGCATCTATTAGTTGCACACCGGCAGGCATTGCTGTAAAATGCTCACATCAAGCCTCTAATACCTCTTTCATAACACTAGCTAGTTGCCCAAGACATTGTAACCCTACCATTTCTAAACCATCCCTCATGGTCTCTTCATGCGCATCCATCGCTCTGGTGAAGAAACAACATGCGGCAACTCCGTGGCAAAAGCAAAAGCAAGAGCTGGCAAAAGCTCGTGCACCAGCTACTTTGAAGGCTCAAGCACGAACCCCTTTGGTTCACTCCCTTAACCCTACAAGATGCACAGCCACACAGCTCATGATGAACACCTCTGCATAAGCCTCCACTAAGATGAGCAAGAGGGCATTTTGACTCACGAGCGTTGGGCAGGGTCTGCAGCTTGTCCTCGTCAGGGGTCTGCAGCAGGCTTGTCAAGCTCTGGCCATGGTGCTGAGCATGATGGTGCTGCAGCTGCTCCTGCTCTGCCAGATGGTGGCCCAGGCCAATCTGGAGGTGCTCAGCCATCATGGTTGGAGGCTGGGGATACACGAGCGAGAGCCGGAAGGGCGGTTCTTGCACCCTGAGGAGAGCAGGAGAGGGGGACGATGCCCGACAGGAAGCGCCTGGCAGAAGCTGTGCTTGCAAAAATTTGAACTGCTTGGTCCAACCTCCCAACTGATCCTTCCAGAATAAGCAGTGTCAATGCCTTTTACATATCATGGATCAATTGGCAATTGACACCAAAGCAAACCGCTCCAGGAAGAAAGATTCCTGAGCACGCCTGGTGGAAACGCAAGAGGACGACGGGTCGTGGTGGAGAAGCCCCGCCTGCTCCTCGGTCATCCTCTCCGGGCCACGCGTCAGTCTGACCGCTTTGCCCGTTTCATCTTTTTGGGGGGTCTGCTTCATCCAACGGGTGTCATGCTGTGACGCCCGGGACACTCCACTGGGAGAATATCTTAGTGACGCATCTTCAGGTCATACCAGTGTTAAGATTAGGTGCCCGGCGCCTGGTAAAATGGCACCCAATGGCCGCCCGGGACCCCCAGAGGGGGTCCTCAGGGTGCCCAACGGGCACCCAACGAAGAGTGCCAGGGTGCCCGGCGGGCACCCAAAGTTGGGTTCCAAGGTGCCCTGGGGAGTACCTTGAACAAAAGTGTGAATTTGTATTTGCATATAACACAGCCCGGTTTCATGATCTGAGACTCTATAATTCACACTACTCCACAAGTCCTCGGTTTTCTGTGTACAGCTCGGGGGCTGGTTGCAGTCAGCAGGGCCCCCAACCAGCAGTCCTTGACACTTGTGGAACACAGGGTTCCCAGTTTGACATCCAACTCACACGGGGCCAGTGTTGCAAGTGCTACTTAAACTTTGTAGCTGTACAGCTGCCGGCTTCTCCAACGTGACACTGGAGAATCTCAAACGCACTGCGCATCAAAAGCTTGCACTCGGTCGGCTACGGTTAATATGCACCAACCATGTAAGAAACGACGCTACTCTAGGCCCGGGGTGGCCGCGCCTGCTTGGGGCACCCATGGCGCGCCCCAGGGGGCCAGCCGCAAGGGCACACTGGGCACCCAATCCGGGCCTCTGGGGTGCCCACCGGGCACCCGAAAATAACCGGCAGGGTGCCCCAGGGCTCCCATCCCAAAAAGTTAATCTTAACACTGGTTCGCATGCAGCCAAAATCGACAGATTCTGGCGGTTTTGGCCGCAACCCATCACCGCATGTGACCAACACTTCGCCAAAAGTTGGAAAAGTACAATTCGATCGCGCGATCGTACCATCAAAACCAGCAGAATCTGCCTGCTAGTCGGGGGCACCTATCAGAATTTGTCGGTCCCAACATTCCATACCGAGCACTTGTATGGTCTAAATGTGCTGACTGCCAAGGCCCGGTAGGGGCTTTGTATTTTCCATCTTTTTCCCTTACGATTTAAATGCATTTTTCGGGGCTCAATCATTGGGCTTGCCAACACTCTATCGAACGCCTCGTCGAAAACACTGTTTTCAAGCGATTCGTCCGTACCGAAATCGTACAGCCCAAACCAAAGTCAACCCACTACATTCTGTCGGAAATGTGTCGATCTTGGCGGCATGCGAACAGCCCCTAATAAGGCAGCGTAATATATAATAATAGGGCAGCGCCCTTAGGGCCTCGTCGCATGCGGCCGGTTCCGCTTATTGCTTTGCGGGGACATTGCGGGTCCACGTGCCATCAGCCCATCGCGGAAAGGTTGCCGCATGCCGCGGCTTGCCGGTCCGCGTTCGACCGGCCGGCGCGCGGCTGCAGGTTGACCAGTCAGCAGCCAGAGAGTCGGCTTTCACAGTCAGCCAGTCACTGCATGTTGTCATTGTCAGTGCATGCCGCCCGCACGGATTGCAGGCCTGCAAGCGTCTGACTTTGAAGGGCCACCATGGATTCTGCAAGGGGTGCAGCCATTGCAGCAATTGCTGTTACCACAGCTAGCCTTTTACTAGCAATAGCCTCGATTCATGGAACTGTCATCTGCTCTATTGACGACATTCTTCAAGGTCGAGCTTCCAGCTTTTCAAGCCGAGGATCTTACTTCTCAGTGGATGACGAGGAGGAGGATGCGGAGATGGCATACATGGCCTTGAAGATGGAGCGTGATGATGCAGCTGCCGTGGTTATGGCACACTTTGGGAGAGAGATTCTCACAGATGTCCAGCTCTTCGGATCAAACATTGGTGACTGGTATATCAAGCCTCGTTCTTTGACATGGTTTGACAACTTTGTTCAGCAAGTTTATGACAAGGAACGCTGGAAGCGTCTTTTCAGGGTTGGCAGGGAGTCGTTCATGTATCTTCAGGAGAGCTTGGGTGAGCATCTGGTACGCACGCCTCCTGACAGCCTTGCAAGAGCTATACCAACCAGGCTTTTGTCGGTAACCAAGCAGATTGCTGTAGGGCTCTTCAAACTTGGTCATGGAGGGTCCAATTTTGGAGTGGGAGAGCTATTTGGAATTGGTGACAGCACGGTGAGTGATGTTGTGTGGAGAGTGGCACAGGCAATCATGCTCGTTGAAGGGCCCAGGAGATTGCGCTGGCCTGCAGAAGGGGAGGAGCGAGCACTTGCGATCGCTCAAATGGAAGCAGTCCATGGTCTACCAAATTGTGTAGGTGCAATCGACTGCACATATATTCTCCACGAGGCGCCTGCTGGTCATCTTACAACAGACTACTTCGATCGCGATCATAACTTCAGCACGGTGGTGCAACTGGTTTCAGATGTGAGTCCTTTCTACCGACCCTTCGTAAGTTGCGGCTTTAGAAAGAAGGTTCTGTCTTGAAGCACTCTGCCTGTCAGGCCGTTATCAGTGCCCTTACCATGCTGATTCTTGGATTCAGATTTTGCACTTAGTTGTTCTCTTTGTCCGTTCGAAGAACCGCTGTGAGTCTCGTGCCCAGGAAGCATCAATCTGATCAGCAGTCGGTCACAAAAAGACCTTATGTAGTCGCGGTTTTGTGGGATGTGTGGACATTCTCCTACACATGCTTCTTCTATGCAACAATGCTTCCAGCACGTTTGTTGTTGGTCTCTCATTGTAGAGCTTCACTCAGACTAGAACTATGTACCCCTTTGTTCAATGCTTTGGCTACCGGTGGATTTTGTCTTCTAGCACTGTGGTTGTGGGAGATTGGCATTTTGCAATCAACAACCAGCAGATTGGAGATCTATCAGATTGAAATCTTTTAGGTGATGTCCTTGGCACTCAGGTTCAGGAGTGTGGTTGAATGCAAAGACCAGTTTCTAATCGGCTCACTTATTGCAACCTTGTACGAATATTTCAATCTTTGAAAATACCGATCTCCCTCTCTACTGCAGCAGGAGCATCGTATCCTTCATGTAAACGTGGGCTTTCCGGGATCAGTCCATGACGCGCGCGTCCTCTTCAATTCGGCAATCTTCAATGACACAGAGCAATTTTTGGGAGGGCCATCAGTGGACGTCAACGGGGTTGCTGTACCGCAAATGCTCGTCGCGGATGCTGGGTATCCCAATGTCCCGTGGTTGTTGACCCCTTTTCCTGGTCACCATCTTAATCCAACCCAGTCGAGTTTCAATTACAAGCAGTCCAGCACGAGAATTTGTGTCGAGCAAACCAACGCTGATCTGAAAGGAGTACAGCGATATCTTATTCAACGGGTGCAACGACCAAGCCCGATAAGACTGCCTATCTATGTAGGGGCATGTGCGATTTTGCACAATCTGAGATTAGATATGGGCGACGTAATGGATCGCGACCTTCGTTTCAGGGCGGCAAGGTTTGTTCCCAATTTGGACCTGGTTCCTGATGCAGCTTCGGACGTAGAAAGGGCTGCCCAAATTCGAGTAGCAATAGCCGAAGCCTTGTACGATGATTGATATCTATTGTAACATGAGCTTTCAAAGCAACTGAATTGTAACAAACTTTCGTCTTTCGGAGGGATGTTCAAAGGCATGGCAATGGCAACTATCATTTGCAACATGCCAGGTCTCTAGCATACTAACTATGAACTAGTCATCTATGAAAGCCGCGAAGACGGTCTGGCTGGCCCAAGAAAGATGCTTCTTTTGGGTTCGAAGTTGTGTAGACACAGACGCAGATTGCCCATTCGTGGAAACGCGATGCGTTCGCATATCTCACTTGGTTCCGTATACGGTTGTCATGGTGTCTTCGCAGACGCTCATCATTCTCCTTTTGATGTCATGTAATTCACATGCCGAGTCCTCCATTGCGATTACTTACGTGGAAAGTGCTTCTTGCTTGTATTGCAATCATGCATGATATGCAATGAGCACCATGGCTAGTAGTGTGATCAAAGGCTAGTGCAGCGGATTATCATACGGCTAGGTAAAATATGTCTAGCCCCATCTAAGAAAGATTGCATGTATGATCAAGGTCGCCCTAATTTCCTCATGCAACGCTATTGCCTCTTGGCAAACCACATAAAAAGTCCGTTAACCATGGAAGCAATCATATTGCACCTACGTTACATGCCCGTCATTGCCAAAGCATCTACTATCAAGCTCAACAAATGAATGGAACATTTTGATTGAGGCGACCATTATGAGTGTGACACTTTTCTATTTGTTCGCAAGCTGTAGGACGGCCTGCGCAAGCTGCCCTAAAGCATTGATCAATCCTGCACCCGTTTCCTTGGCCTGGTCTGCGTTCCTCTCCGCTACTGCCACTTTCTTCTCCTCAAGGTTCAGTTCCTTCTCCCTCAAGGCTATCGTCTCCTTGTGTCGCACGTTCCTACTCTCCTCATGGTCCTTTAGCGTCTGGTTTGTTGCATCATTGTTGGCTCTGAGAATGTCACTAAGGCCCGATGAGCCCCTTGAACGCTTGTTTCCGAGCTTGTTCCCAGACTTCGCTGACCCTTTGCGCAGGACACCCGAGCTGTCTTCTGGCGACTCCTCCTCCTCCGAGTTGTTCGACTCTCCTGCAGATGAACCTCCGTCGAGCCCCTTGCCACCTGCCTTGGGTACTTCGTACTGCCTTGCGCTGTCAAACACCAATGGGGGGTCAACACTCGCGCGTTCTTTGAGCCAAAACATGCTGCAAACTGAAGAGGAAAGGTGTCAGTGCAGGTCCGATCAATAGAGGAAGATCAAAGCAGGGCAGAATGAAGACAAGCTTTTAAGGGTTGGCGTTATTTGTTAGGACCAGTGGCAAACTTTTTTTTAAAGGCGCTAGTGTGACCGTGACACTGTAAAGCTTCTAACGTTATGCAGCCAGGAACCACCCAGCTGAAAGACACTGTAATCTAACGCGCACCCTAACACAATCTGGGGCAAACGCAGGCGCCGCGTGGGCCCACAACCAGTCAGACAGTCGGACGCAGTGTTGGCACCTCATAAGTACGCCAACATGACACAATAGCAGAGTGAACTCCTACCCTCGAAGATTGCACAGCTTTGAGCCGAAGCAATCTGTTTCAGAAAGCCGTTAATGTGACGTTGTAATGCTTCTAACGTTCGACAGCAGCAAGTCTTCTAAAAGCTGTGCAAGCAGCATGCATTTTCCACATCTTAGACACTACTAGTGCCTACTTGCTGTTCAATCAAGTAAGCAGGCTTTGTGCCGCAAAATGCAACTCCGATTGTCAACACTACTGTGCTCATCCAAGTACAAGAACTTGCTTCTCCACCAGTCTGTGCTTCAGAGCTTCACAGTCTCCTACCAAGATCGCCTGAGTTCAAGTTGCAAGACGCAAGACGAAGCTGCTTCATTGAAACTTTGATCGCTTGCACGAAGCAGACACCACGTAGAGAGCAGAGACTTTTTCCAGGTCCTCACCTGAGTGACCCAAAGACTCACCTGTCAAATAGCTGCTTCGAGAAAGCAGGGGGCAGCCTGTACTCTTTCTTCTGATCCGGTGGCATGTCCCAGTAGGCAGGCTTCCCGCTTGGAGTGTTCTTGTCCCAATCGAAGACCTTCCTAAAGTCAGCAGCAAGCCTGTCCCACTTGTCTTCTACTTGAGAGGGAGTGCGAATAACAGGAGGGTCGAGCTTGGAAAGGCGCTCAGCAATCCTCTCAAACTTCTCTGCAGCGCTCATTGAGCGGTACTTGATGCCAGTGCTCTTGTCCCGCAACATCTCCTCATGCTCTTTGAGCTGCGCATTGAGCATCTCCACGTCGTAAACCCCCCAAACAGCTCTTGGCTTCTTGACAGCACCAGGCACCGCTCCAGGAGCTGCTGGCTTGGGAGGGGCAAGTGGTGTCTGCAGGATGACGGTATCTTCAGCAACTGATGCTGGTGCTGCCTCTTGCCTTGTTGCTCCAGTAGGCGTCTGATGCAATGTGGCTGTTGCTTCATTATTGGCTGCATTGGCGCTTTGCTGGGCTGAAACGATGAAGGCTTCGATTAGACTTGCCACATCCTGAACGCTAGCTTGAGCTGGATCATAGGAAACGGTGTGGGCAAAGTGCCCGTCTGCAATCAGACAACCTGCCAGATGAGCGGGCAACAGCTGCTGGAAGAGGGCTGGATCAAGCAGCGTCAAGTAGTGGGACACCTTCGCTGCAAAGTCCCCCTGAAAAACCTCAGACGACAATGCGGCCATGGTTCCGCTGCACTCCCTTCCTGAACCTTCTGTCTCTGCCTCTCCTTCGGTTAGGTATGTGCTTTTGCCTCCAGGCCTGCCTGAAGCTTCTGACTCCATGTTAACGCAACTTTCTGCTTTTCAAACTTGAACTGTCTGCCAAAACACAAAGCGCGGGCTCTTCTGGGGCTGTTTGGCGGGTGCTTGCAGATTCTGCCGGCTGAACTTGACAGGCACGGTAATGTGACCAATGAGAGTCCTCATATCAGGCACGTAACCTACTTTGCGGGACCCGCAAGAGTCTGTGGATCGAAGAATGGCCGGTCTACGATTAAGCGGAATCGCAACGACTTCGCGGAAATTCGCACGAGCGAACATGCGGAAGCGGGTCCATGCGGCGGTGTTTTTCGATCCGAACGTGTGAAACTCCGCTTAAAATAAGCGGAACCGGCCGCATGCGACGAGGCCCTAAGGCTAGGTCCTTTGGTCAACGCTGTTTTCGGTTCCTCGAATTGCGGACATCGATCGAAATTCTGGGGGGCTTGCCAGTCCAACGATCACCAACTGACCAGTGACCGGCGAACCGCAACTTTTGCAATGTAAAGCCCGGTTCCGTTGGAAAACGTCAGCATCTCCAACCGAACCGGTCCAATGTAATGGAGGTAAGAGCTCACTTACATTGCACCGGTTACGGTTGGATTCCAACCGGTGACGCACAGTTGGACGCTTCCAACCGGAACTGGTAATTACATTGGCCCGGTTGGATGTCCGTCGCGACCCCCTTCGCGAAAGGGGAAAAAGAGCATTGCCACGTGGTCATGAAGCAGTAAATGCAGATTCGGCCGGCATGATCATCAGCTCGATCAGCGTGGCCTGCATGCAGCTGTAACAACTTGCGCAGACTGCACATACTGCACAAACACCTGAGACCTGAGTGCATCGTTCTGATCATAGATTTTTACCGTAGATTCAGATGGTTTTCCGCCCTCCCGCCTTTCCACAAGGTTCAAAGAACGGAGCTTCAAGTCTGAGAAAGCAACCAAGCTTGAACATCTTCACAGGTTCTAAGTGCACCCAGCGGGCACTGAACTTTCTTGTTGCTGCCAGGCAATTGTATCACTTCCAATTGGAAAACTAGAGAGAGAATGGCGTACCCTTTTAGAGCAACGCCAGACAATGTGCTCAGGTTCTCTCAATCCTTCTCACCAGAGAAACTCCAGCAGTATCACATTCGGGCACGCTCCAATCAGGCAGCCTTTGAAGACGATGCACAGGAAGCTTGTAACGATTACGACTGGTTAAGCCTAACCTCGTTCTCGACAGGATTTCGTTGACCGCGGGTTAGCGAAACGGCGGTGGTTACGTCTTAACGACGCACTGCGTGGCTGTCTGCAAGACGGCGTGATATCCCGGATGGATCGGTCTCAGTGAGCCAATGTCACCGTTCAGGATAAGTTGTGTTCGGCTTCGCCGTTCGATGCAGCCAAGCTTATCTGTGCTCTGCACAGCTTGCGTGACAGGTCTTGTCAAAGGTAGTGGACAAGAGAGAGCTATACGATTAGCCGCACAATCCACGTTGTATATAGAGCTGTATGCTATTGGTG